TTTATTGATTTTTTATCGATTTTTTGAAAAATTAAAATTTTTAAAAGTTAAATTATCGATTTATTGATTTTTTATCGATTTTTTGGAAAAATAAAATTTTTGAAAAATAAATTATCGATTTTATCGATTGATATCGATTTATTGATTTTTTATCGATTTTTTGAAAAATTAAAATTTTTAAAAGTTAAATTATCGATTTATTGATTTTTTATCGATTTTTTGGAAAAATAAAATTTTTGAAAAATAAATTATTGATTTTATCGATTGATATCGATTTATTGATTTTTTATCGATTTTTTGGAAAAATAAAATTTTTGAAAAATAAATTTTATCGATTGATATCGATTTATTGATTTTTTATCGATTTTTTGGAAAAATAAAATTTTTGAAAAATAAATTATTGATTTTATCGATTGATATCGATTTATTGATTTTTTATCGATTTTTTGGAAAAATAAAATTTTTGAAAAATAAATTTTATCGATTGATATCGTTTTATTGATTTTTTATCGATTTTTTGGAAAAATAAAATTTTTGAAAAATAAATTATTGATTTTATCGATTGATATCGATTTATTGATTTTTTATCGTTTTTTTGGAAAAATAAAATTTTTGAAAAATAAATTATTGATTTTATCGATTGATATCGATTTATTGATTTTTTATCGATTTTTTGGAAAAATAAAATTTTTGAAAAATAAATTATTGATTTTATCGATTGATATCGATTTATTGATTTTTTATCGATTTTTTGGAAAAATAAAATTTTTGAAAAATAAATTTTATCGATTGATATCGATTTATTGATTTTTTATCGATTTTTTGGAAAAATAAAATTTTTGAAAAATAAATTATTGATTTTATCGATTGATATCGATTTATTGATTTTTTATCGATTTTTTGGAAAAATAAAATTTTTGAAAAATAAATTATCGATTTTATCGATTGATATCGATTTATTGATTTTTTATCGATTTTTTGGAAAAATAAAATTTTTGAAAAATAAATTATTGATTTTATCGATTGATATCGATTTATTGATTTTTTATCGATTTTTTGGAAAAATAAAATTTTTGAAAAATAAATTATTGATTTTATCGATTGATATCGATTTATTGATTTTTTATCGATTTTTTGGAAAAATAAAATTTTTGAAAAATAAATTTTATCGATTGATATCGATTTATTGATTTTTTATCGATTTTTTGAAAAATTAAAATTTTTAAAAGTTAAATTATCGATTTATTGATTTTTTATCGATTTTTTGGAAAAATAAAATTTTTGAAAAATAAATTATTGATTTTATCGATTGATATCGATTTATTGATTTTTTATCGATTTTTTGGAAAAATAAAATTTTTGAAAAATAAATTTTATCGATTGATATCGATTTATTGATTTTTTATCGATTTTTTGGAAAAATAAAATTTTTGAAAAATAAATTATCGATTTTATCGATTGATATCGATTTATTGATTTTTTATCGATTTTTTGAAAAATTAAAATTTTTAAAAGTTAAATTATCGATTTATTGATTTTTTATCGATTTTTTGGAAAAATAAAATTTTTGAAAAATAAATTTTATCGATTGATATCGATTTATTGATTTTTTATCGATTTTTTGGAAAAATAAAATTTTTGAAAAATAAATTATTGATTTTATCGATTGATATCGATTTATTGATTTTTTATCGATTTTTTGGAAAAATAAAATTTTTGAAAAATAAATTATTGATTTTATCGATTGATATCGATTTATTGATTTTTTATCGATTTTTTGGAAAAATAAAATTTTTGAAAAATAAATTTTATCGATTGATATCGATTTATTGATTTTTTATCGATTTTTTGGAAAAATAAAATTTTTGAAAAATAAATTATTGATTTTATCGATTGATATCGATTTATTGATTTTTTATCGATTTTTTGGAAAAATAAAATTTTTGAAAAATAAATTATTGATTTTATCGATTGATATCGATTTATTGATTTTTTTATCGATTTTTTGGAAAAATAAAATTTTTGAAAAATAAATTATTGATTTTATCGATTGATATCGATTTATTGATTTTTTATCGATTTTTTGGAAAAATAAAATTTTTGAAAAATAAATTTTATCGATTGATATCGTTTTATTGATTTTTTATCGATTTTTTGGAAAAATAAAATTTTTGAAAAATAAATTATTGATTTTATCGATTGATATCGATTTATTGATTTTTTATCGTTTTTTTGGAAAAATAAAATTTTTGAAAAATAAATTATTGATTTTATCGATTGATATCGATTTATTGATTTTTTATCGATTTTTTGGAAAAATAAAATTTTTGAAAAATAAATTATTGATTTTATCGATTGATATCGATTTATTGATTTTTTATCGATTTTTTGGAAAAATAAAATTTTTGAAAAATAAATTTTATCGATTGATATCGATTTATTGATTTTTTATCGATTTTTTGGAAAAATAAAATTTTTGAAAAATAAATTATTGATTTTATCGATTGATATCGATTTATTGATTTTTTATCGATTTTTTGGAAAAATAAAATTTTTGAAAAATAAATTATTGATTTTATCGATTGATATCGATTTATTGATTTTTTATCGATTTTTTGGAAAAATAAAATTTTTGAAAAATAAATTATTGATTTTATCGATTGATATCGATTTATTGATTTTTTATCGATTTTTTGGAAAAATAAAATTTTTGAAAAATAAATTATTGATTTTATCGATTGATATCGATTTATTGATTTTTTATCGATTTTTTGGAAAAATAAAATTTTTGAAAAATAAATTATTGATTTTATCGATTGATATCGATTTATTGATTTTTTATCGATTTTTTGGAAAAATAAAATTTTTGAAAAATAAATTATTGATTTTATCGATTGATATCGATTTATTGATTTTTTATCGATTTTTTGGAAAAATAAAATTTTTGAAAAATAAATTTTATCGATTGATATCGATTTATTGATTTTTTATCGATTTTTTGGAAAAATAAAATTTTTGAAAAATAAATTTTATCGATTGATATCGATTTATTGATTTTTTATCGATTTTTTGGAAAAATAAAATTTTTGAAAAATAAATTATTGATTTTATCGATTGATATCGATTTATTGATTTTTTATCGATTTTTTGGAAAAATAAAATTTTTGAAAAATAAATTATTGATTTTATCGATTGATATCGATTTATTGATTTTTTATCGATTTTTTGGAAAAATAAAATTTTTGAAAAATAAATTTTATCGATTGATATCGTTTTATTGATTTTTTATCGATTTTTTGGAAAAATAAAATTTTTGAAAAATAAATTATTGATTTTATCGATTGATATCGATTTATTGATTTTTTATCGTTTTTTTGGAAAAATAAAATTTTTGAAAAATAAATTATTGATTTTATCGATTGATATCGATTTATTGATTTTTTATCGATTTTTTGGAAAAATAAAATTTTTGAAAAATAAATTATTGATTTTATCGATTGATATCGATTTATTGATTTTTTATCGATTTTTTGGAAAAATAAAATTTTTGAAAAATAAATTTTATCGATTGATATCGATTTATTGATTTTTTATCGATTTTTTGGAAAAATAAAATTTTTGAAAAATAAATTATTGATTTTATCGATTGATATCGATTTATTGATTTTTTATCGATTTTTTGGAAAAATAAAATTTTTGAAAAATAAATTATTGATTTTATCGATTGATATCGATTTATTGATTTTTTATCGATTTTTTGGAAAAATAAAATTTTTGAAAAATAAATTTTATCGATTGATATCGATTTATTGATTTTTTATCGATTTTTTGGAAAAATAAAATTTTTGAAAAATAAATTATTGATTTTATCGATTGATATCGATTTATTGATTTTTTATCGATTTTTTGGAAAAATAAAATTTTTGAAAAATAAATTATTGATTTTATCGATTGATATCGATTTATTGATTTTTTATCGATTTTTTGGAAAAATAAAATTTTTGAAAAATAAATTATCGATTTTATCGATTGATATCGATTTATTGATTTTTTATCGATTTTTTGGAAAAATAAAATTTTTGAAAAATAAATTATCGATTGATATCGATTTATTGATTTTTTATCGATTTTTTGGAAAAATAAAATTTTTGAAAAATAAATTATCGATTTTATCGATTGATATCGATTTATTGATTTTTTATCGATTTTTTGGAAAAATAAAATTTTTGAAAAATAAATTATTGATTTTATCGATTGATATCGATTTATTGATTTTTTATCGATTTTTTGGAAAAATAAAATTTTTGAAAAATAAATTATTGATTTTATCGATTGATATCGATTTATTGATTTTTTATCGATTTTTTGGAAAAATAAAATTTTTTAAAAATAAACATTATGACAAACTTCCCGTTTTTTTAAACTACTAATTAATTCGTATATTTCTGAGACTCTAATGTACTAGAAAACAAATTAAAATTTATCAAAACAATATTGCTTAAGAATAAAAGAAAGACATATTATAATAAGTAGTGTTCGGCAAATGACCTTTTCCGGTATTCGGTATCGGTATACCGAAAAAATACCGATACCGAAAAATACCGTTTTTTACAAAAATTGACCGGTACGGTATCGGTATCGGTATACCGGAAAAATACCGATACCGGAAAATACCGTCTCAAAATTTTCGGTATACCGGCCGGTATTCGGTATTTTTTAAAAAATTTAATAAAATTTTTTAAATTTTATTTTTAAAATTTTAACAATAAATCTTGACTAATAATAAGTACAAAATTAATTGAAAAACTTTTTAAAAAATTATTAAAATTAATTGGAGATTACTCTAAAAATTAAAATCCTAAAAATTTCTCCAATTAAATTATAAAGGCAATTATTAATTAATTAATTAAAAATGGCTGCTAAATTATTGCTGACTAGTTAATTTTTAAAATACCTCTCCTCTTCTATTATTTTTAAAATACCTCCTCTATTTTATTTATTTATCCCCATCCACCAGTTAATTTATGAAATCCTTCTTCATCCAAAGTTTGGTTTTGATCTTTGCTTCGTAATGACATAAATATATATCCTCCAATAAATTCATGTACTACCTAGAAAAATTAATTTTAATTTTAAAACCCATAAAAAATTTTTTATTTGGTCAAAATAAACCGAAAAAAATTATAAATCAAAGGAAAAACCCAAACGGACTCGAACCATGAACCTAAAAGTAGTGTATCAGAGAACGCTAACCACTACTCCACAGGTGATCATAACAAAGTTATAAGGCAAAAAGAGATTTGAGAAAAGACTCGTTTAAAATTTGGAAAGCTACCTTAGGAAAATTTTAAAAAATAAAATCTAATTTTTTATAAAAATCCCCCCAATTTTAACAAACTTAAGACAAGCCTAGACTATTTTTAGATTTAATTTTAAAAAATCTTTTTTAAATAAAATAACCTTGCAATCAGCACTTAACGGTTTAAATTCAATATCTTCCGTATCAAATTGTACTTTTATATGACGAATTTCCCAGTTAACGTGCCATTTTTTCATTCCAGCAAATCTTAGAAAAAAATTTTTAAGAAAATAAAATAATTAAAAAATATTTAAACCCGAAAGGAATCGAACCCATTACCTATATAGAAGTGAAACCTAGAACGCTAACCAATGTACCACCAGTGAAGTAAGTGGAATCACTTAAAAAATTAATACAAGGGTACAGAAAACAAAAAATTGGGCTGGGGGAAGCAACAGACTTGAGGCCATATTTTCCCCACAACTTTTTTGGTTCTTAACCGATTTAAGTACATATAATACCAATCGAAAGCTCTTAATTTGCAGATTATTTTATCTAACAGGATTCTTTTAATTAGATCATCATATCCAAAGTTATAGCCAAAAAACCATCAAAAATCACGATTCCACGCACTTACCCAAATACAACTTTTAGTAAAATAATCAGATTAAGTCAACTTTAACGGGTAAAATAATCCTCACATTTAGAGCTTTCGATTGATATAATAAGTGCTCAAATCGGTTAAAGAAAATATTTTATAATTTTAAAAAAAACCTCCAAGTCTTTGTAGCTTCCCCATTGTCACTATTTATTTTCATTATTCTATTGTGTGCTACAGCAATTAATTCTGATTTATTATTCTTTCCGTTTCTTTAAAAAATAAATTTTAATCTAAAAAAATTAAACCATACAAACCTAAACTTAACAATAAAATAATGCAATCCATGCTCTGGTAAAGCTTCCCAATTTCTAATATATTGCAATTTTGCTTCAGAACAACTGAGGGTTTTGACATTTGAATGGGCATCGGAAATTCGATGTTGTAACTTTAAAATTAAAAATTAATTTATAGAAAAATGTCGGTTAGAGGGTAGAGAGTTTGTTCGTAATCTGAATTTTTAGGCCAGCCACTTTCTGATGATAAAAGTAAAAATTAATTCGAAAAATAAAAAAAGAAAGGGTATGGAATTTGTCCGCAAATTTTGGTCCGCAAATATAAAATTAAAAAAAATTATTATTAGAAATACCGAATCTAAGGATAACCCCCCCCCCCCATATAATTCAGGTTTTTTTAAATCTAATAAAAGTTAGAAGGGCATGTGTTGACCCTTATAAGATTTTTACAAGATTTAAGGATAAAATTTCGGACAAATTTCAGCATAATTTGGTGGATTGACTTATCCCCCTCAAAAAATTTCACAAAAAAAATAAAAAAAACCAAAAAACAAACATTTCTGTTTCCCGTTCGACGAACATAACGTTGAGAGGCATATTCTTCTGTATTAAAATCTGGAGGTAATTGAACTGGTTGTCTAACTTTTCTTTTATCAACAGAACTTCCATTTTGTTGTTTGGCTCCTTAAAAAATTTTTTTGAAAATTTTTTGTCCGAAAATCTAAGAAATTACTTCCAGCCTGCATCTGCAAAACTTTTTTGATTGATTCCATTTCAGAATTATACGAAGAATCGGCCATTGTTTTACCACGGGAAGCGAGACGACAAGCAGCCATCCACTTGGAAAATTGTTGTTCCTAGAAAAAGGAAAATAAAAAATTTGTTTCGGTATTAAAATCAAAAAAGTCCGCAAATTCAATCCGCATTTCCAAAATATTTTTTTAAATTCTTTTTATGTCTTCAATTGATTTTTAAAAATCAATTAAAAGACGTTAAAGACTATTAGGAATCTCAGAAAAAAAAATAAAGAAAAAAATTTAAATTTAGTCTAAAAAATAAAATTTGCGGACTAAACTTGCGGACAAAAAAATTTTTTAAGAATTCCCCCACAAACCGTGTCACATTTCAAAATCATTTCAGTCATCCCTTCAGCACTTGGCAATTGTAATTTAATGTGGAATTTGCCTTGGGTCACACTCAATTCTTGAGTTACTTCACATCCTTTCATGTAATAATGACCAAGGGGAGGGCCTAAAAAAGAAATTTTTTGAATTTTTAACTTTAACAGAACCATTAGCATCCTGTGCAGAATTGTAGTAACTTAAATAGAGGTCACGAAACGTAAAATATGCACGTTTGAAATTGTTGAAACCGAGCTTTTTTGGTCTAAAAATAAAAAAAGAAATGATTTTATAAAAAAAATTGCGGACAAAACTTGCGGACAAAATTTGCGGACACAAAAAAACACCTCAAAAATTTGTGTCCGCAAGTTTATGAATTTTTCTTCTAAAGAATAATTTTTTTATAGTAAATCCAAAATTTATTTAATTAAAAAACCTTACTTTACATATTTTAAATATTCGGTCAATTCAGGCACATAAGTTAATTCTCTTCGACTTATAGAAGCAGCAGCATCCAAAGTTTGTTCCTTTAAAAATTTTTTTTCAAAATTTAAAAATAAAAAGAAAACCAATTCATCAAGCATAACATCAACTTCATCTCGTTCAGGCGATTCTCGTTCAGGTGTGTCTCTTTGAAGTGTTGCTTGTAGCTTTAAAAAAGATTAAATAATTATTAAAAAAATTAACTTAAAAATTCAAAAATGGCCCTTAAAAATGGAAAAAAATTTTTAAATAAGGTAGACCCAGGTCTAAACAATTTTTAAACGAAAATAGAGCAACTCAAAAAAGAGTATAACCATTGGGAGTCGAACCCTCACCCACTCTTAGGGTGAACCAAAACCACTAACCAATACACCACCACTCACATATCCTTCATCTCAATATAATGATATTTAATATTAACATAATATTAAATAAACCCTAAAAACCAAGGGAATACCCTCAAAAAATTTTTTCTAAAAATTTCCAAAGAAAATTCCAAACATAAAAATTCGAAATATAGAAACCTGTAAAGCAGCAAACAAAGCAGCCTCCTCTTCCGTATGTTCCACTTCCTCCAATAAAATAGACCACTTTGCTTGTTCGTATAATTGATTAATACGTACAGGGTCATATTTCAAATTTATATCAAAAAATGTAGCAAATTTAAATCGAAGCAAAACAGTTTCCCCTTCAAATATGCTTTGCTCCATTAATGAGCTAAGTTAAAAAAAATTTTCTTTAATTTTTTTCAAAAAAACCGTGAAGAATCAAGCCATCCTCTGTTTAATGCTGCCTTTTCCAAATAATTTTGAGGCTTAAAAGAATCACGGCTAGGCACAATTTTGGGCGAATTTATTAAATTGTGGTCGAAAAAATCGTCTTCGAGGCCTAGAATTTTTTAAAAAATTTTTAGAAATTTTTTTGGAAACCTTCACTAAATCCGGGTTCAGGTGTTCTTCCAAGAGCTTCACGATACTTTAAAATTAATTTGAATAAATTTAAAAAATAATAGAAAATACAGCAGCAGGTCCAGGACTCATTCCTCGAGGCAGCGTTCCAGGTTTAGGCAATGTACCAATTTCTGACGCCTAAAAATTAATAGGAAAAAAATTTTTCTTGTAAAGGTTGATTTTAAATAATCGGACTTCCCTCTAAACTACGTCGTCTTAAAATAATTTTTTAATCGAATTGCCATGGGTCCTAGAAAATTTTCCAAAATCTAATACGACTTTTCCCTTCTCAACTCCCTCTACTGACCCGACCCAAGATCCAGACATTTTTTTCAACCCAAAACCCGACCCAAGACTTTTTTTTCAACCCATGACATTACTGGGTAAGCACAACTTCTTTAAGGTGATACTCCTTTAAGGTACCCCCACTCCTTATAAATTTTTTCCAACCCCAAGGAGTGTTCTTATAGTGAGGCCCTCTATTTACTCGAACAAAAAAATTTTAAAACAGACTTTTTTCACCCCTAACATTCCTGGTAGGCAAATTCCTTTAACGTGATATTTCTTTAAGGTACTCCCTCTCCTTATAAATTTTTTTCCCAAACCCAAGGGGGAGGGGGTATTCTTATAGTGAGGACCTTCTAATTATTCAACAAAAAAATTGAAAAACAAACGTTAAAAGGATGTCCAGGTCCCATAGCAGCAGCACCAGAAACAGGCGATCCTCTCCCTCCACTTAAATTCATTGTGGATGCTCTAATCGGTTTTGCAGTTCTCAACGTTCCAGGTCCAATAGATTCTTCTCCCGGCTTCATATAAGGCTGTATATGTTGATCTGCCTCCACATGGGCACCTTTACGTAAAATATCTGTTGGAATATCGCGTTTAATTGACAATTCTTCTGGGTGGCGAATTCCTAATTCTTGGCACAATTTTTGTGTGACTTTGAGTACTGGCACAGAAAAGTCTAGACGAGCGTCTAAAATCTGAAAAGAAAATTATTTAATTAAAAATAAAAAAATAACATAAAAAATTGTAAAAAATTTTTAGAAATAAGCAGAAAAATTTTTAAAAGTCAAAAACCACTCAAAACTACAAAAATAAATTAAAAAATATTTTTAGAAAAAATTCTAAAGCTAAAGAAAAAAGTTGGATTCGAACCCATAACCTCCTCCCCCACAAATTCCGACGCCCTAACCACTCGGCCACCGAGAACTCATACCCAAAATAATAAATTAACGATTATAAAATAACCTGTCTATCGGGCAACTCCACTCTTTAAAAAAACAAAAATAACTTTCAAAAAATATTTTCTAGAAAACCTCGCAGGTTTATGCATCGGTGTAAACTCCAAAAATGTTGTAGCAGTAACTCCAATTTGATCCAAAGTGCTTCTTGTATGTTTAAGCCATTTTCGTCTGTCAGGCCACCAAATTGCGTGATCACTCCAATCCTGATTTTCTTCTGAAAAAAATTTTTTTTGGAAAAAATTCTCCTCAAAATAAAATTAAAAACCCATTTGTTCAACCAATTGCATCATTAAATTTCCAATTGTCAAGTCTCCTCTAACCAATATATCCTTTGATTTGTTTAGATCGGTAATGAATATTCCCAATTTCCATTTGGCGTCATTCACAACAAAACCATCCTGAATTAAATGAGCCATATTTTAGAAAGACTTTTACTTCAAAAAAGAATTTTTAAAATCTAAAAAATATTTTAAAAATATTTAACTAAAAAAAATAAAAATTAAAATAATTTTCTTCTAAATTCGCGACAAAAATCCCGAAAATATCATTAAATCTCCTCTAAAACAACACTAAAAATAATTTAAAAATATTTAAAATACAAATCTCTTACTTAAAATCACAAAAAAACGCGTTAGAAATCATAAGAAAAATAGAAACACTCGAAAGGATTCGAACCCAGCAGGTGTTCCCCAACAAGCCCAACACCTTACCCACTACACCACCGACAACACATCTTCAAATTAAATTTTTAGGAACTTATACTCTTTAAAAATATCTTTTAATTTAATTAACGCACTAATAGCGTCAGATTAATTTTAGAAAATGACCAGAAAAAAAATATTTTCATCATACTACAAAAAGAGAAACACTAAAAAGATTATAAAAAAGATTAAAAAAATAAAAATAAAATAAATTAGCAAAATTAAAAACTGAAAAAAAATCAAAAAAAAAAAATTCCTCTACACAAACAACAAAACAAAAATACACTAAAAACTATTAAATAATTCACAAGTGAAAAAAAAAATTTTTTTAAAGGAAGCAACAGCCACCCTTCTATTTATTTTTATTTTTCTCTCCACTAGGAAAGGTCTCTTCTTCCCAATCGATTAAAAAAAATTTTCTTTTGTTTTGCTGTTGTGTGTTAAAAGGAGTTTAAACATTGGGGGAGAGTCTCCTCGTTTTACTAGGGACGAGGAAACATTTGTTACTTTTTTTTCTTAAAAATCATTTTAGACAACTAAAAATCCCCACAATTAAAAATCCCCCACAAAATCCCCTATAAAAACCTTTTTAATTACTAAGGGTACACTAGAGTCTAGAACATTTTCTCTTGGGTACAGCCCAAAACGGCGCGCGGCCATAACGGCACAGAGCCATAACTTGCTTCAAGATTTCCTAATCTTACCAAATTTGGTATTAAACGATTCCTCTCAACGAGCTAAAGAGAACGGTACAAAAAAGGAAAAGGGCCAGACATTTTCCAGCAAGTTATGCTTTGCGCCGTTATGGCCGCGCGCCGATTTGGGCGTGTCCCTTTTCCTTCCCCTATTTTCCCCCTATTTTTCCAAAATTTCAAAAATTTTTCCAAAAAATTTTTTAGAGCCTATAAAGATTACTTAATTATCTATTCTTCATCTATTTATACAAAAAAGACGAATCTAATTTTTCAAAAATGGTTGGAACTCCAGTATTTCTTAATGTATACGACATGTATTGGTTAAATGATTATGCTTTTGGGTTAGGCGTTGGTGTTTTTCATAGTGGAATTGAAGTTCATAATATTGGTTTGTAATTTTATTTTTAACTTTAAAATCATCAAAATTGAGTATTTTATTAATATTGAGTAGAAAAAAGTTAATAAAAAAATAATTTCCCCCAAGCGGGTTCGAACCCACGACCCCCTTCCCTCCCACCTTTAAAGTCATAGACAGCATTTTTAAATGCCTTTCCATTAAAAAATTGTTTTTAACTTTAGAAGTCATCAAAATTGAGAATTTTGTTAAAATCAAGTAGAAAACATTTAATAAAAAAATAATTTCCCTCGAGCGGGTTCGAACCCACGACCCCTCAATGTCCTCCATCCGCAAAACTTCCTCAAGCCGCAAATCCCAAGAATTAAGATTATTATCATCTATAATATTCTAAACAAATTTTCACCTTATTTTCTTGTTCCCCAGCTATATCTACTCCATAAAATTAATTAAATTTTCTTTTCAAAGAATATTCCTATGGAGGCCATCCCTTCCCCCTGTCCGGAATATTTGAAAATTCTCCAAAAGATCCAGACGAACTTGGAGATAATTTTAAATTCAGGTTTCGTTCTTTTTTAATTAATTTTAAATTTATATTTTTAAAGAGAAAGTATTCATCTAGGAGAAACAGATTTTTCTCCCGAAGACGTGCAGAAAATTATTCGACAAATGGGGAATGAATATCAAGGGGATAAATACCATTTGATTTCGAAGAATTGTAATCACTTTAGTAATCAGCTTAGCAAAGTTTGTTCTTTTATTTTTAAAATAAGAAAAAAAAGTTTTATTTGTCCGCAAAAAATTGCGAATTGTCCGCAAGTTTTTTGCGGACAACGTCCATCCAGTTTTTTTCCTAAATTAATCCTTCCCCCAAAAATATACTTTAAAAATCAACTTTTTAGACACTTACCGGAAAAGAATTACCTTCATGGATCAACAGATTAGCAAATATTTCAGGTTCATTCCCCTTTATCGAGCGCTGGATACCTGCGGTTTGAAATTTTTTTCTTTTCTCCTCAGAAAAAAAATATAATTTTTAGGAGTGGCTAACCCCAATAGCTTTACAACAAAAATTAAATACTAGTCGAAATGGAAGTTTGTCAACTAGCACTGCAAATAATAATTCAACTAACCCTCCTCCTCAACGTGTAGTTTCTCAAACCACAATTAATAATACTAGATTGAGGACTAATAGTGAAGATGCTAATGGTGGTGGTGAAAAACTTTCTAATAGTAAGAAAACATTTTTTAAACAAAAAAATTTTTTTTAATTCAAATTTTGTCCGCAAGTTTTTTGCGGATTGTCCGCAAGTTTTTTGCGGACAAATTTTTTTCGTCCGCAAAAATTTTTTTTTGTTTTTTTTTTCAGCAAAATCTACTACTACACAAGCATCAAGATGGGGTTGGTTCCAACGTAAAAATCCAACAGAAAATAATAACAATACTTCTTCTTCCGCCCCTGTTACAGCGAGACAAACAAATAATTCGAATAATCAACAAGCTGGACTTTCGCGTTTTTGGGGTTCATTAAAATCGAAAGAAAATGGAACTTCTACCTCCACCCCTTCAAATTCCCAACAAGACTGAATGAATAATAAAAAAATTTTCCAAAATTTTCGGTATAACTCGTAATGCCAAAAACGCCGAAATACCAAACAACCTAATCGATGCTTTTTGGGGATTTTTCTGATACCTCGGAGTCCGAACTGCCTCATAACCGGCGGCTTCTAGAGCGGAGCAGTTCAACTGAGTCCCAGCCCTATAACTTAGCAAGGAATGGTCACTTTTTCATGTTATTGGTATCATTGGATAGAGAATCCAGAGCTCTATAACATATCAGAGGTTTGTACTTTTACGTCTTTTTTCTCCTCTGTTTGGGGTTTCTATGGTTTTTTCAGTTTATTTGGTATTTTTCGGCGTTTTGGTATTTCGGCGTTTTTTTTCCTAGACTTCCCCTTCCTTTGATAATTCCCTCCACCCCTCCCTCAATAAAATATCCTTCCTCATCAATCACTTTATTATTTAATTTTTCTTGTTCAAATTCCTTGAGACTTTTATTTTAAATTGTAAGTAATTTTTTGTGGCTCTCTCGATTCTTTAAAATAATAAAAATATATACTTATGGAAATAAAAAATTTTTTTTGTGTATTTCTCTGAAGGACTTTTTATAGTCCTATCACCTCAAAAGACTGCTATTTTCTATACAAAATTTTTTTTTAATTTGTGTGTTAAAATGATTCTAATGTCAATTTTCGGATCATTTCTTTTCTAAAAAAATACAAGAATTCTTGTTGAAAACTAGAGCCTCTAAATAAATCCAAAACCTTTGGGTTTTTGTCCGCAAATTTTTTGCGGACAAAATTTTTGTCCGCAAATTTTTTGCGGACAAAATTTAAAAGAAGTGTTATCTTAAGAAGTCTAGTCCGTAAACTGAATGCGGACTTTAAGGAAATATAAAAAGCACTCAAAATCGTTTCTTAAAATTTTTTTAAAAATTTCTAACCCCCTCTAGGAATTTGTTATTAATTTAATAAAAATTTCTATTTTCTACCGAAAAAAAATTTTTCCAAAAAATATTTTTTTCCAAAAACAAATTTTTTATATTCTCAAGATATAACAACAATTTTCATCTTTTTTTTAACAAAATTTTTCCCATCTTAATACTTTCATTTCTCTTATCATAAAAAACCTCTTTATGTTTACCAGCCACTATCTCCAGTCGTAAAATTTCCTCCATCGTCACCTCCTTGCGGCTCCTGTGGTGGCGGTGTTGGAACTGAAGTTGGCGGCCCTCCACGACCAAATCCTTGACGAACAGGCATAGAGCCAGGTCCAGCATCTGCTTGCTTATCACCCATTGTACGATAAGCTCCACGATCGTCACCAGAACGAAAACCTTTGAAATTTATTTTATTGAATTTTCTTGATTGAATTCGAAGTTGGTTAAACCACAACCTAAATTTTGGGGTGAAATTTAATTGCTTGACTAATTCCTAAAAAATGAGGGAAGGAAAAAATCTATTAACAAATTCACATGTGCTATGATTCCGGACATTTTGTCACCAAAATCTTAACACTTCAATGGATCAATTAGAAATCGTGAAGAGACTGGGTATGACTAATTTCCGAATCTGTTGACTAGAACGGATCCTGAGTCGGTCTAGACAAAGAAAGGAAGCAATTAAAAAAGGCCCATATCCAAAAAAAACCCAGAACTTGACCCATATTTAACGCTATCTCTAAACTACACCAAAGTCGACTAAACTTATTGAAAGGGTAGAGCGTTTGAACTAGAGATCGAGATTTTTGAAAAGCCTGGACCTGTTCCTGGACTCTGGAGTCGATTTCTTGACCTGGATCCTGGGCCTGTAGTCCAGGAAAAACCCAGGAAGGTCAAAAAATGCCTGGACCTGGACTCTGTGTACAGGAAAAACCCAGGCCTTGGTCCAGGTCCAGCTCGATCTCTAGTCCAGCTCGATAGTCTAGCCTAAACCCATTGTCCTCCATCCTCACCTCTCCCCTAAATTTATCAACCCTCCCTAAAAAACTTATAAAAAACCTCGTCCTGCACCTCCACCTCCCATCTTATCCGGATACGACATTCTCGAAGGCTCAGTACGCTGTTTATGCGTATTTGGCAAAACATCTTCGGGCAAGCCAAGATATTCACGCAAATAAGGAACACCGTCCTCTTTCAAATAAAAGTAGTAATGGCGCCAAGCATACTTTGAAAATAATTTTAATAAAAGAAAAATTTAAAAGAAAACCTGTTCTCTAACAAGGCCTTTGGATGTCAAACTCTAAAATTAAAAAAAGTTGTGAAAAAAGTGAAACGAGAATAGGACTTAAGGATCTAATGAGTAATAAAAGCCATCAAAGAGCAAGAAGGTATAAGGGTAAAAGTAGGGTTGTCGATTTCAACCCGAACCGAAAACCTTAAAATTGTCGGTTCGGCTAACCGAAGAAATTGGTGAAGTCGACACCTTGAGTAAGAGGCCACAAGCAAGTCTATCCGAGCTCTTGTTAGCTGTTTAGTAATCCTAAGACACTGACTTGTAAGAAGGAATACATCCATTTAACCAAGAGCATCCACTACTCAGTAGGCGTTCTAATAAGAGACCTCCTATGGCCAACCCGTGAACTATTCGAATATTCAAATAAATCCTCTCCTGCTCCACGCGTTGTGTATTTAATAGACTCAAGACCCAATGCCCAAGACATGACTATTCTAAAATCCTAAACCCTGTTTCTACACAGAATTCTAAAAACAAACAAACCTTAAGTGCTTTAATCACATACAAATTGCGAACACCCTTAATTTCCGGATGCGACTTCGAGACGTAATCCTTCTTTGCAATACACACTCCATCTTCAAACAAATGTTCATAAATCTTTTTTCTGTCAGCTTGTGGAATTAACATTTTATTGAAGAAATATAAGAATTGTCTTTAAATTATCTGAAAATTTAAAAATTAATTCGGGAAATCCCCCCAAAAAACTCCAAAAAAACCCACAAAAACGGGTACAGCCCAAATTCGGCGCGCGGCCATAACGGCGCAAAGCCATAACTTGCTTCAAAATTTCCGAATCTTACCAAATTTAGTATTTAACGATTCCTCTCATCGAGCTAAAGAGATTGGTACCAAAATTGATAAGGGCCAGAAATTTTCTAGCAACTTATGGCTTTGCGCCTTTATGGCGCGCGCCTATTTGGGTGTGTCCAACAAAAACCGTACTTCCTAAAAAAATTTTATTTTTACTCTTTTTCTCTTCCCCTTATAGTCTCTCGTCTTTCATTGTGTTAAAAATCATTTTTGCCAAAGGACTTTTATTTTTTCACTTCACCAAAAGACAAAATGCCCATTGGCTTATTTTTCGCATATTGTCTAAGGGAACCTGGGGAACTTGAGTTCTCAAGGGAAACTTAAGTTTTTGGAAAGTTGAGTTGGAACTTGAATTTTTTTTAATATTTTTTAATGCGTATTTTAAAGAAAAACAAAAGGAAAAAAATATTTTCAAAAATTAAAATAAAAAAAATATGTAAAGTATATTGTACATATACGTTAATTAAAACATAGTAGCAAAATTATATAAAAAAAAAATAATAACATTTTCTCCCATCACAACAAAAATTACTTTTGCAATAAAAAAAAATTAAAAAAAATTTTTAAAAATTGTTACAAAGAAAACTGAAGCAAAGAAAAGGATATTTATGAAAAAAAGCAGCAAATTATATTTTTAATAAAAAAAATTTTTTTTTGAAAGGGTTAAGGGTTTTTGTGTAAACTTTTTTTTTGCTTGAAAATGAGAATTAAAATATAAAAACATTCTTTTTTAAAAATAAAACAGAGAAAAAGAAGTTTGTAAAAATTAGAAAGTATTAAAAAAAAGTTGCATATAATTAGAGAGACAGTTAGAGTACCAAAAACACATAAATATAATTGTAAAAACATTTTTTACAAATTGTAAAAAGTTTTTGTTTGTTTAATGTTTTTACACCTTGTTTTAAAATAAACTTGTTTTAGAAACTTGTTTTTAAATAAACTTGTTTATTTAAAAAATAAACTTGTTTTTGAACAAACATGTTTTAAAAAATATAAAACTTGTTTTTAAATAAACTTGTTTTTAAAAACAATTTTTATAAATTCATATAAATATATGTTTGTTTTGTTTGTTTGTACGAACTTGTTTTTTTTTGTTTTCCCCCACAAACATTTGTTTTTAAACAATTTATTTTGTTTTTCTTTTTAATGTTTGTGCAACAAATTAAAGGTTCAACTCTTGCGCGATTTTTGAAGCAATGTTTTTAAAGCCAATGGATGTTCCAGAAATTCCTTCAAAAATTATTTTAAAAATTTTTTAAAATTTTTTTAACAACTAACGCTTAAATCTGACTCCATTCAAACTAAGACGAGGCAACTTGCATACCTTTAAAAAAATTTTTCATTAGAAAAATTATTTTCTCCCTTAAATCACCTCCATTTCCCACTGAACAAGTGTGTCCTTTTGTGGATCCCCATGCATACAAAGAAGCAAATATCGTTCCCTTTGTTCATATTCACACCCGTTATTGTCCAAAACCTTACGGATTTCTCTGAAAAAAATTTTTTTAATTAAAAAAAATTTTTCAAATAAAAAAAATTTTTTTTCTCTCAGACTTGATAATTTCATCAGGTGCCAATGAACTTGTAGTTTTCATTGACCAAGTAAAACGCAAAGAGCGCGGTTTAACTTCTTCTCCTCCACCACTAATTGCTTCACCGCTTGGACTATTTTGTCCGTCAGTTTCAAATAATTTTTGGAGGCATTGTTGTTGTTGTTGCTGTTGGGCCTTTGGAAATATTTTTAAGTAAAAATTAAAAAAATAATTTTTTATCAACCTGATTAGGAGTATTCGGAGCAGAAAAAGCAGCTTGTTGCTGTTGATGTTGCAAAAATTGTTGATGTTGGGCGGCTAAAGCTGCGCCCGTGGATGGACCTAAGTATTTTTTAAATTAAAATAACGTACTAAACGTCCACTTAGAATAAGCAAAATAATTCTGATGTTTACGGAAAGTTTTAATATTAAAATTCTGATTTTTTTCGAATGTTTGTATTAAATTCTGATTTGTTTTGTTTTAAAAGATGTTTAGGTCAATTAAATTCTGATTTTTTTTCGTTTCCGGAATGTTCAGATTAAATTCTGATTTGCTTATTTACAGTTGAGAATGTTTAAATTAAACTCTGTTTTTTCCGGAATGTTTAAATTAAATTCTGATTTTTTTCAGAATGTTTAAATTAAACTCTGATTTTTCCGGAATGTTTAAATTAAATTCTGATTTTTTTCAGAATGTTTAAATTAAATTCTGATTTATTTGTTTTAAAAGATGTTCAGATTAAATTCTGATTTTTTCGGTATGTTTAAATTAAATTCTGATTTGTTTTAAAAGATGTTCAGATTAAATTCTGATTTTTTCGGTATGTTTAAATTAAATTCTGATTATAAATTAAATTACAACAACAACCTATTGTTCCAGCTCTCCCAACAGCATGTTGATTATGTTTATTATTTGTAGTGTTTAAAGGTGGTTGAGGGTGTTGCTGTTGTTGTTGATGTGTTGCTTGTATTACTGGAGAAGTTTGTTGATGATGAATTTGTGGTGGTGGTTGTGCATATATTGACGACTGATGATCTGTTGGTCCAGTCCCCCTTAGAATTGAGAAGAGGGAAGTGATTTTTCTAGAAAGTTTTGAGTAAACGGAAAGAGAAATTAAACTGAAATTTGGTCTGAAAGTGGAACAGAGACACTAAAAAAATTTTTTTTGAATTAAATAATTTCTCTTCCTTCCTATTTTAACTATTTTTAATTAAATATATATTGCTCTAAGCTAATTATTAATGCTACCTTTTTGTCAATTTTGTCAATTTGGAAAGAAAGGAACCACGTTGTTGTTGATGTTGATGATACTGACTAGTAGGCATTGTTCCCCCACCGCTTGATGAAGGAATTGGTCCAATTGTTAATGCATTAGCTTCTTCAATCTCAGACTCATTTGCTCCTATTGCAGACGCATCGTCTTCAGTAAAGGCACCTTAATGTTTTACAAACTTGTTTTTAAATAAATAAACTTGTTTTTAAAATGTTTGCTTTGTGTTAAGTTTGCCAAACTTGAATTTTCAAGTTTAATTAATTTAGATGTTTTGCAAACTTGTTTTCAATATTCGCAATGTTTTAGTTATAAGAAACAAGTTGGCGAAAACAAACAAAAAAAAATGTTTTGCAAACATGTTTTTGTGTTAAACTTGTTTTGCTTAAGTTTGCAAACTTGAATTTTCAAGTTTAACTAATCTGATGTTTTGCAAACTTGTTTTAAAATAAACTTGTTGCCTATAAATCTGAACAAGTTGTAAACTTTAATTTAATTGCATAAACTTTGTTTACAACATGTTTGAATTAAATCCATGTTGCAAACTTTTAAAAACATTCAAAGAAAGATTATAAAAACATACCAGAACCAATACAACTCCCCTTGTTGTATTCAGTTTTGCCATGAAATGTTTGTCTGTTGCGTGAACCACGCGGAAAATTACTATTACTACTGTTGTTGCTAGTGTTGCTAGAGTTTGTAGTGTTTTGTTGGAGAAGGCCAAACATTGTTTGTGAATTTTCCATTTGTTGTTGCTGCTGTTGATTGAAAGGTTGTTGAACTCCGTGATGAAGTTGAGTGCTCATTGGAGAAATATGAGTGCCTGTAGCAGATTTTGTCATTTTAGAAGAATATTCATTTGTTTCTCCTCCTCCTCCTATTGTTGTTCCTCCCAATTCTGCTGCTGCTGCGCTCAACAAAGTTTTCATCATAATTGGAGGCATTGATGGACTCTGATGTAGACCAAGGCACCTACAACAAGAAAAAATTTTGTTCGTAGAAAAATGTTTGATGTTTTGATTTTGAAACTTGTTTAATTAAAACTTGTTTGTTGTTATTAAAAACAAGTTTGTTCAAACAATGTTTGATTAAAACACGGTGTTTAAACAAGTTCATTTAGCCAATGTTTGATTAAAACTTGTCGTTAAAACTTGTTTGTTTTAAACAAACTTGTTTTTAATAAACCATGTTTTTAATAAACTTGTTTTTAATAAAACATGTTTTTAAGTTTGTAACTTGTGTTTAACATGTTTTTAAAACTTGTTTGTTTTATTAAAAACAAGTTGCAAACATTTTTTTCAGTTTGTGAAAATTAGAAAGTACAACAAAACCACCACCAACAAACAAAACATCAACACAACAACAAAGGAGTAATTTATAAAATAAACAAATGTTTTTGATCGAAGAAAAATGGGGGAAAACAAGAAGACAAACATCAAAATAATTAAAGTTGGTATCAAAACATTTTTTAGAAGAATGTTATGGGGTGTAAAAATAATTTCAACTAAAATTCAAAACAAAGAAATTTTTTTACTACAAAGAAAAAAAATTCTAAATTATTGTCAGATAATCTGCTATAAATTTAATTATTTTATTCCTAAAGAAAACTAAAAACACAAAAAAAACCAAACAAAAAAAACTAAAATTTTAAGCAAAAAATTTTTATGCAAGGATCACTAAAAAGCAGATCAGCAAACAAAAAAATTTAAAATAAAGAACCAAATTTATATAGTATAAATTCAAGTGTGCAAGGCAAGTTAAAAGAGAAAATAAAGGCCGTGTTACAATAAATTAAAAAAAAAATATATGGCCAAAAGAAAAATAAAATAAAATGGAAATGTTAAATAGGTAGATAGGGGTAGATAATATTTTCAAAAATATATTTTTCAAATAAAGAAAATATATTTTTAAAATACATATAGTAGATAATATGTAGTATATATAAAAAATAAATTTTTTTGTGTAATGCCAAAAATAAGAGCCCGGATTAAATTTTATAACAGCAACAATGTGCCAATTTTTAAGAAATGTTATGTGGACAAAAAAAATTATTTTTTTGTGAACGAAAAAATATTCTGGAGTGAAAAAAAATTTTTTGGAGACGAAAAAAAATTTTTTTTTCGGAAGAAAAATTTTTTGGAGATGAAAAAAAAAATTTTAAAGACGGAAAAAAAATTTTTGGAAACGAAAAAAATTTTTTTGTTGAAAAAATTTTTTTTGGTGGTCCTAATTTCTCCTAGCTTAAAAATAATATTGAAACCCAATTTAAAAAATAGTCTACTTTTCCAAAAAAAAACAAGGAAATAAAATCTGGGCTCTAAAAAACAAAAAATTTTCAAAAATAAAAAAAAGAAAGAAGCAAAAATATGTAGGTAGGTTATATATTTTTAATTTAATGATAAATTTTAAAACGGAAAAAAATTTTTTTTTTCTCAAAAATATTCTTCAAACACCATCTCCCTCTCTCACTCCCTCTATTAAAATTTAAAGGAACACCCTAATACCCTTTTTAAAAAAAATATTTATTTTTGTTTTTTCCCTTACGCGAAATCAGAAGCCATTCCAGCAGCAACAGTTGATGATTGATTTGATTGTTGTTGTTGTTGTTGACCACCACCACCACGTTCAGTCATTGGTCTTGGAGAAGTTAACATAAATTCTGTATCATTAATGCATTTATCTGTAGCAGAGGCACCATCATCAAAAGATAAACGTCCACCACTTCGAATAAGTGGAGGTATTACTATTGGTGGTGGAGGAACTAAAAAAAAAATAAATAAAATAAAATTTGGAGAGACTTTATATATGTAGAAAAATTTTTGTAAAGAAAAATTTCAAATAGGAAGGAAAAAAAGTTTGCTCCACAAAAATCTTATCCCATTACCAGTAAGGAAACATCAACATAAGCCAAAACAAAAATTTTTTTTTGATGTCACCATCCCTCTAATAGTTTATTTTTTTCCAAAAAATGGGAGGGAGAAGGGGGTAGTGTCCTAAACCAATAATAGGATTGATCCCCGACGGAGAGAGGGACATGGTGAACAATTTTCGGGCAGGCAGCAACACAGGGAGGGGGGACGGGGAACAATTTTATAATGGGAAATTTCATGGAATCAAAATTATTTTGGCGCCTACGCGCGCTTTCGGAGACGGAAACCAACCCTAACCAGTAATGTTTATAAAAAATATAAAAATAGAATACCAGTTGTTGAAATTGTTGCTGTAGGTGCAATTATTGGTTGTTGTTTTGTTCCATGCATTGGAGGCGTTTTACGACTTGAAGATGACCGTTCATCTTCATCCTCTTTAATAGAAGGTTCACGTGGTGCATGAGAAACGCTCTTCTTTAAAAAATTCTTTTTTATTTTCCAAAAATTTTTCAAAATAAACCTGCATAGCAGAAGAAACAATTCCTCCTCCACCTCCACTACCAGCCGTTGGAACAACATAACCTCCTCCAGTTGTTGCTTTTGCAACCAATTTTGCTGATAATGGATTACTAGCTGATGCATTATAAAAACCTGGTGGAGCTCTTGTTATAGAAGATGAATTTGAACCATTCGAAATGTTTTTGCTAAAAGAAAAAAATTTTTTCAAGATTAAATAAATACTAAAAGGACCAAAAAATAAGAAAAAATTAAAAATTCGGAAAAAAAAATTAAAAGAAAATTCGGCTCTAGTGTAAATTAGGAGTTCAATGAACTTTACCGAGCACAAAAAAATTTTTTTTTTGCAGAATTATTCTGAATCATAAACTTTCATTAAATCTTCCTTGGAGTTATGACTAGAGTTGTTGGTTTCACCAAATTCTTCGGTTAACCGGAACCGAACCGAAAATCTTAAATTTCTCGGTTTGGCTTGAAACCGACAATCCTAATTATGACCAAGATTAGAGTTTGGAATTTATAAAGAAAAAAAATTTTTTTAAAAGGAGAAGAGGACAAAAAAATTTTAGATTTTTAACAATAAACTCATTTATATCAAACCGATTTTGTTGATGAGCAGCAGAAGCAGCAGAATTATTCGTCCCACCAATTGGTGCAATTTGTTGTTGTTGCTGTTGAATACCCGTCCGCAATCCAAGATTTGGAAGAGGTACACGTCCACCTGGAGCTGAACCTTTTCGATGATTTCCTGAAGCAACAACTGTACCACCAGCACCTGCTGGTAAATTACGAACATTTGCATTTTGGATTGGATGAATATAGGCTGGAGAAGCTTGAAAAAAAAAGTGAGGAAAATTACTTAAGGTTAGTTCAAAAATTTAAATAAGGTAATAGGTGGAAAAATTGGCCTCAATTCAATTTCTCACATGCCCCTTGAAGAAATTTAGATCACAAAAAATCAAATGGCTAACCAAATTCCAAGTTCAACGATAGATTTAACGCCAAAAAGTATATTAAGGAACTTAACACCAGATTAGGTCCCAAGAACAAGTCCCTAGAAAACGTCAAATAGTCAAAATCCAACCTTGAAACAAAAAATCAACCCAAGTCTCAAGTCTAACCCAAAGAAACCCAACAAGCGCAAACGTTCTGGATATCTAAATCCGAAAAGTTTGGGATATCCGAAAATTTACGAGGATCCGAAGTTCAAATCCCGATCTTAGAAACAAAAAAATCAAATAATACGAAACAAAAAAATCATCAAAGGACCCACAAACTCAACAAAAGACTCGAATCACTTGGGATTTAAATACCAAAAAAACGTTAAGAAACCCGAAAACCAAACTTTGTAACTTAAACCCAACGATACGGGGACATAAAAAATCTTCATAGGACCCACAAACTCAATAAGAGCCTTAAAATTTTCAAAAAATATTCACACAAACCTAATGGTTGAACACTTAAAGCAGGCTGCCGACCACTTGTTACACCTCCAAAAGCAGCATTACGAAAGGCAACTTGTTGTTGCTGCTGCTGTTGTTGTTGAACAGCATTTTGTTGTGCTCTCATAGCTGTTACTGATAAATTTGCAGCTTGAGGGGGTTGAGTGGAGGGAGGAGGCATTATATTTGTATTTGATGGAGTTGTTGTTGTCAAAGCATTATTGGGTTCTACAACAGCAGTTGGTGGAACAGCTTGGAGTTGATCAGCATTTGAAGATGCACGTCTTGTGTTTTTGGAAGCTGAAGTTTGGACAGAAGTGTAGGGACGTTGGGGATACTAAAAAAATATGTGTTAATTTTAAATAAGGAATAAATTATATCAAGTAAGGGTTGGGTAAAAATCTGGGTAAAGAAAACTTCAAAGGACACACAGACTCAACGAGAGACTCAAAATTTTTCAAAAAATATGGAACCGCTTGAAGTTGATCTGCATTAGAAGATGCACGCCTTGTCCGGAAAAAACACACCAACCCGAAGAAAAGAGTCGGTTTGGGTTTTTGGCCCGGGTTTGGGTTTCGGGTCAAAAAATTTCGAGTTCCGTATCTCTAGTCAATTTCCCTCATATCCTATTAATCCCTTGCAAAACAAAGATTATAGGCAATAGCCCTAGCTTCCGATGACCTCTCCTTGAAAAAATTGAGGGTTTGCCCAAAAATTGACATGGATTCTAGCGTTGAGGTCCTTTCTTTCAAAAATCCCAAAAACATATCCCGACACACAAAAATACACTCCTTGCCAGATTTTGAGGTTCCTACCAATAAAATCAACGGAGTTTCCGATCAGAGGCGGGCGCAAAAGACAATCCCCAAAAACGTAATGCAAGGCCAAAAATCAACGCAAAACGCAATGCGCCCGCCCCTGTTTCCAATGGTAAAAGTTTTATCTACCCTACCAAAACCCCCAAAAAATTTTTTACACAAACCTGTCCAGTCGACCCCATTGATTGATTAAAAGGAAGATTATCTGCAGTAGAAGCAGTAACATTTCCCCCAACACCTGCAGTAGCAGAAGAAATGCTTCCTTCTTGATGATGCTGAACTCCTTGAACTTGTTGTTGTTGCTGCTGTTGTGCAGACTGCTGCTGTTGTTGCAATTGTTGTTTTTTAGCTTCTTTTAATAGCAAGTAAGTCCCAAAAATTTCATCAAATTTTTCACATTCCAAAGATTCATGGATTGCTTGTAAAGTATATCCAAAAACTTGTAATTTTAATATTCTTCTTTCATCCCTAACATCTTTTGTTGGTTCTGTATATGGTCTCAATTCTTCTTCTTCATAACCCATATTCATCCATTTATCACGCATTATTGTTTCTAATGTTCCACGTCTTGCAGGATTTAAAACGAGGAATTTTTTGACAAGATTTTCGCAATCTAAATGAAATAGAAAAGTTTGAAAATTTTCAAAAATATGACGAAATTTAAGGGCTTAAACACATTCAAAACGCCAAAGGCGCACCTCCTCCATTTTAGCTACCCTGAACTTGACAACACTCACATCAGGCTAGGGACACGCACACAAAACAACGCGCGGCCATAACAACGCAAAGCCATAACTAGCCGGAAATTTTCCGGCTAGTTATAAATTTTCCGGCCCTCTGGCTACGCCCTTGACGGAATTTAAAATCGAAGCTATGGCAAGAGTTTTATACTTAAAAAAGCGTATCCGGAGAGGATTTCAGGGGGCTATAATGAATATCCAGACTCCTAGAACGGTTAGGCATTCATGTGGTCGAAAAAAAGCAAAATAAAAAATAACTTCCATTAATCGTTTTTGACCATTTTGTAGTCTTAAGGAGAAATTAGAAATGAAGGCTTGAAAAGGAAAGGAGAAGGAAATGGAGGGGGTATAAAAATGAAGGCAACTAACCCGAGTACCGAGAGGTTTTAAAATACCAGGTTCCACTTAAAAATGATCTTAAGGAAATTTTATCTTATGAAATACATAAGAAAAATTCTTTTTAAAAATATTAAAAAAAACCTGTTGATAAATAGAAAGGAACACGATATTTGCCACGAAGAACCCGTTCTCTCAATTCCTACAAAAAAAAATTTACATTAAAACAAAAAAATTTAAGAAAAAACCTTGAGATTCTGCCCGTCAAAAGGAAGGCTACCAGAGACGAGAGTATAAAGAATTACTCCCAAACTCCATACATCAACCTCTGGACCATCATATTTTTTTCCTTGAAAGAGTTCTGGTGCAGCATAAGGTGGTGACCCGCAAAATGTGTCCAATTTATTTCCTTTTAAATTTTGATTAAAAACAGTGAAAAGGATGGTACTTGTGAGTTATCCCAAACCAGTTTTTGCGGACATATTTTGCAAACTCTTTTGTATACACAGAATGGTCAGTCTTCCTCCTTTCCTCAATTTCACCCTATTTCACGATGGCATTATTTAATGAGAGGCAATAAAGAAAGGATTATTTTTAAATATAAATGGCCGATTTTTAAATCATGTTTGCCTCTCATTGAATAATGCCATAGTGAAATTGAGTGAAATTGAGGAAAGGAGGAAGACTGACCATTCTGTGTATACAAAAGAGTCCGCAAAATATGTCCGCAAAAACTGGTTTGGAATAACTCACAAGTACCAAAAGGATATACATAAACCAAGTAATCAAAAATAGGTTGTCGGTTAGAACCCGAACGGATAATTTTCCGGTTCGATTTTAGATATCAAAAAATTTCAGTTTGATTCCTGGTTTCGGTCCCAGATAAGAAACGAATATTCTGGGCAAGAATAAAGGAAGAAACTGCTAAAAATCATCATTCCCTGTCCCTGCGACAAAAAGAAAGTTCCCAGGAAAAACACGGATTTTTGTCAGTAAACGGGACGGGACGGACAAGATCAAGTGTAAAGGGTCTAGAGCAGGCCCGTAACTAGGATTTTTTTTCGGGGGGGGGGGGGGGGAAATTTTATTGCGCCAAATTTTTGGCGCCGAAGGCGCCAAAAATTTTTATTTTTAGCGCCGCAGGCGAAAATTTTTTTAATTTTAGAAGGCCGTAGGCCAAAAAATTCACTTTTTCGGCGCCGCAGGCGCCAAAAATTTGATTTTCAGCGCCGCAGGCGAAAATTTTTTGAATTTTGGACCTCAAGAAGCCAGATTTCGTCCTTTTTTAGCGCCGCAGGCGAAAATTTTGAAAATTTCGAAGGCCGTAGGCCAAAAAAATTCACTTTTTTGCCCCAGCCCTTCCCCAAATTTTTTCCTTTTTCCCATTTCGGGGGGGGGGAATTCCCCCCCTCACCCCCCCCCTGGTTACGGGCCTGGTCTAGAGAATCCTTAGCTGTATATGATTAATTTTGTGGGAGCTAGAATTCCACATGTCGTATTCAATTGGGTTAAATTCAAATGGGATTCAAAAAAAAATTTAAAATCCATAGAATTACTCACCTGGAGAAAAAGTATTGCTAAATCCAAAATCGGCAATTTTGATATTCATAGCAGAATCCAACAATAAATTTTCTGCCTACAAAATTTTTATTTTTAAAAATTTAGGAAAAATCCAAAAAACCTTCAAATCCCTGTGTATCACATTTTTAGAATGTAAATATTGAACAGCTGAAACAATTTGTCTAAATTTTGCTCTAGCTTCTTTTTCTTTCATTCTTCCATGAGCTACCAAATAATCGAATAATTCACCACCACTAGCATATTCCATTACCAAATATAATGTTGTTTCATTTTCAATAACTTGATAAAGTTTTACAATATTTGGATGGTCTAATTGTTTCATTATTCGAACTTCTCGGAATAACTTGAATAGAAATTGAGTAAATTGATTTTAATTTATTAAATAGAGATTGAGCTGGTGGCTTAACTTTTCATATACCCAAAGTGATTAGAATCCTTGTTACTCAAAGTATAATCAAAGGGTTGTCAGGATTTGACTGGCCAACCTTCTATAAGAGTTGAATCCTATTATGCTGATATTTCATCTGACACGAGCTTTCCCTGTACATTCATTATTCGAACTGTACCCAGAGAGGGTCAAACGTCTCCGGATTGAAACTGAGCGTATGCTAAATTGGGCTGACATGAACATGGCTTTCCGATACCCATATCCAAACTAGGGTCCATACTTAACCTCGGGATAAATCTGGAGATGTGTCTCACCAAAGATATGAGACGGCTCTTCTACAAGAGCCGTCGATCCCTAACTAAAGATGACAAAATTGACTATCTATTATTAGCCCGTTCGAGGTGGAGTGGACGGGGAAAAATAGTTAGGGGCTGCCTTCTTCTAACAAAAAAAAACCAAACACAAAATTAAACTAAAACCTTTTGAAGGCTGCTCGGATTTAAGGCAGTTTTATCAATAATTTTAATAGCAACTTCAACACCTGTTGGAATGTGTTTAGCCAACTTGACCTAGAAAACAATTGCTTTTTTAATAAAAACAAAAAAATCGATAAACCTTTGCAAAATTGCCCTTTCCAATCGTTTTTAACAACTTGTATTTTCCAGTAGTATCATCAGCCCGTAGCCGTGACCTTTGGGTTCTAGACATTGAAGAATGCATATTGGCAGCTAAATTTGTTGGTAAAATTAGTAAAATTGAACTTTGACCCCCCACATCTTTTTTATTAAAAATGGTCAGACTTGTGTTAAAATGAGTAAAACATTACCCTATGGCTAATAGAGAGCAAGATTTTCGAAAAAACCTTGATTCTTAATTTTTGTCAGGTACATTGACCAGATCAAGAGTCAAGGAAAAATCAAAAAACGCTGAAAAATGCCTTGATCTGGACTCTGTATCTAAGAAAAATCAAGGTCTAAACCAGATCCAGCTCGCTCTAAAATGGCTATCAAGTACCCGCTCTGCGTTTTAGAACCAAAGATTAGGTACATTGCGTGTGCACCAAAACTCTTGATTATTAGGGCTTCTATCCAGATAAAAAATATTTTTGAAATAGGGTGAACCTATTGAAAAAAGAGATCTGACCATTTTTAACTTAAAGAAAGAAAACGGAACCGAAGTTCAATTTTACCCCAAAAATTAAACAAAAATCAAAAATAAAAAATACTTTCAGCAGCAGCACTAGAATGCCTATGATGATGACTGGATGTTGCTGATTGAGTAGTAACAGCAGATGATCCAACATTTGTAGGTTGTTGTTGATGGTGTGAATGAGAAGATTGTTGTTGTTGCTTTTGTTGTACCATTGCACTAAAAAAATAAAATTTCTCGTATACTTTTAATAAACAATCGAAGAGAGAGAAAAGCTAATTAAACACAAAAGTACATATCCCTCCTAACTCAATAAATTTAAGTTACGTAAACAAAAAAAAAGTTTGGGAACAAAAAACATATTTACAAAATAAATTGGTGGTTCAAAATCCTTTCTGGATATTTTAATTAAAATAAAATAAATTTATACCATAAATGTTCCAATAGAAGCCCTGGGCGTCTATTTTTCAATGGGTCCCATTAGGTGGGCTTCTAATAGGGCATGGGCTTCTATAAGGGCTTGGCTGTTTATTCTTCAATACCCCTAATTGGGTGGGCTTCTACTAAAACATGGGCTTCTATAAGAGCATGGGCGTTTATTCTTCAATACCCCTAATTGAATGAGCTTCTAATAGAGCATTGGCACCTATTGGAGCCGGGCTCCTATTAGAACATTTACGGTAATTAAACAAAAAAAATAAACAATAAAACTCAAAACCCCCCAAAAAACCCCCAAAATCCCCAATCAATACAAAAAAAATTTTTATTTGGCGAAATGAAAAATGATGTGTTTTGGTGAAATGAAAAACTTCACTTTAAAAATGGAAAAAAAAAGATAATGGAAAAATGAGAGACCAAAAATAGAAAAAGAGAAAAAAAAGAAAACAGACAGACAATGAAAGAAAAAATTAAATAAAATGCCAATTAAGTGAAAATTTAGTAATTTTTAAAGTTTTAAATGAGTATTCGAACACTTGGAAGATTGAAAAAATGTATAGCAGGGATGAACGGATTGAGACAAAAAAGGTCGGGTCGCGTTTCGGATCGGGGGTTTTTAAAAATTTCCTTGGATCCGGTTCGGGCAACCCAGCCTCTATGTAGAGAGTATGATCGAAATTTTTGAAAGCCTTGATCTGGGCTTGTTCCTAGGTGGGCCGGATCCTGGGCCTGTATTCCAGGAAAACCCCGGGCCTTGGTCCAGACCCTGCTCGATCTCTAGTAGAAGGATGATCTTCGAATTTTACAAAATTGTAAAATTCAACAAATACAATTGTAAAAATACACTAAAAAACATTTTAAGGTGCAACAAAACTAAAAAAAATTTTTTTTTCTGCAAAAACAACACACTCTACCTAGAGAATATTACTATTCTCAAACTCTCCCTATTTATTCTCTCAAACTCCCTCCCTCCCTTCCTCCTACAAATTTATTTATGACCTTGACTGAATATAGAAAAAAAAAGATTGGAAGAAAGGGTGGATTGATTGGAAGAATTTTTTTATTTATAATTTTTTCTTCCTTCTTTGTATTAAAATTTGTAAAAAAAAATATAAATTATTGTCTTTATTTAAAAAAGATTTATATTTTCCCACATTAAATTGGAAGAAAAAATAAAAAAAAAACAAAAATCACCTTCCTCCCCCCAAGTTAAAAAAAAATCATTTGATGTAAAAAAAGGATGACTATGAATAATTGTGTTAAAAAATAAATATTTTAGGGGTTTTTGTCAAAAAATATATATAATTTTTATTAATATTAAAATGCTAAATTTGTGGAAGAAAAGGAGGGAAAAAACAAAAATCACCCCAAAATCCCCCAAAAATATGTGTAATATGTATCAATAGATTTTTTTACAGGAATTTTTTTTGTAAATGTCGAAAATAAATTCGCTTTAAGGAGGTCATTTTCAAGACAAAAAAGAATAAAATAAAAACGTCTATAATTTTATCTGGGCTTGTTCCTAGGTGGGCCGGATCCTGGGCCTGTATTCCAGGAAAACCCCGGGCCTTGGTCCAGACCCTGCTCGATCTCTAGTAGAAGGATGATCTTCGAATTTTACAAAATTGTAAAATTCAACAAATACAATTGTAAAAATACACTAAAAAACATTTTAAGGTGCAACAAAACTAAAAAAAATTTTTTTTTCTGCAAAAACAACACACTCTACCTAGAGAATATTACTATTCTCAAACTCTCCCTATTTATTCTCTCAAACTCCCTCCCTCCCTTCCTCCTACAAATTTATTTATGACCTTGACTGAATATAGAAAAAAAAAGATTGGAAGAAAGGGTGGATTGATTGGAAGAATTTTTTTATTTATAATTTTTTCTTCCTTCTTTGTATTAAAATTTGTAAAAAAAAATATAAATTATTGTCTTTATTTAAAAAAGATTTATATTTTCCCACATTAAATTGGAAGAAAAAATAAAAAAAAAACAAAAATCACCTTCCTCCCCCCAAGTTAAAAAAAAATCATTTGATGTAAAAAAAGGATGACTATGAATAATTGTGTTAAAAAATAAATATTTTAGGGGTTTTTGTCAAAAAATATATATAATTTTTATTAATATTAAAATGCTAAATTTGTGGAAGAAAAGGAGGGAAAAAACAAAAATCACCCCAAAATCCCCCAAAAATATGTGTAATATGTATCAATAGATTTTTTTACAGGAATTTTTTTTGTAAATGTCGAAAATAAATTCGCTTTAAGGAGGTCATTTTCAAGACAAAAAAGAATAAAATAAAAACGTCTATAATTTTAATAGTAAAAATTTTTAATTAAAAATTTTTTAAAGATGATTCTTGTGGCCTAAAAACACTTGTTTAACTGGTAAAAATAAAAAAAAAATGAGCGGCTTTAAAGTAGGGTAGCTCCCAAGCCTTCGGGGTCTGGATCGTCGGTGATAGGAGTAGAGTCTTCGGAGTTGCAGTCTGGGGTTTTTGCCAATAAAATCGTCGGTGAGCTATCCTAGTTTAAAAATATATGGAGATTTTACGGATTTTTGTCAAAAAATATTTTTTAACATTTATTAAAATGCTAAATTTGGGGAAGAAAAAAATACATATTTATTTGTTTAGTGTATTTTTTAGGTATTAGATGACGTGGGTTTTTTTTGACTGGACAATAACAACATCTACCCCCCCCCCCCCCCAAAAAATTATTATTTTATTTTCTCGACTTATTTTTAAAATAATTCTTTTAATATTCTATAAATGCACACTAATAAATTAACTAATAAAAAGGACAACAAAACAAAAAATTCCTTTGAAAAAAAAAATTTTTTTTATTTTTTTTTACTAAGCAAAAAATGGGTATCTGGTCGTTAAACTCATAATGTGGGTTTTTCTCAAGTCCTCAACTCAAAAAATTTCAATAAAATTTTTTTTATAATCTTCGCTAAAAAATCTATGAACTGAATCAGAAAAATTAACAAGAGAAAAAAAATAATTTTTTAAGTTCAGACTCAAACTCGATAAATTATGTATGAGAGATCTGGATTCTCAAAAAATTCTCAATCTCATTACAAAAATAGTTCCCTAAACCTTTTAAAAAAAGACTCCCAACATCACTAAAAAATTATAATTTACTCTCTAAATTATCAAAAAATTTAATTTAAAAAATCTTTCCCCGGTTAATTTTTAAAAAATTATTTTTAAATAGAAAAAGAACAAAAATATATTCTTATCATGCTTCTTCTTTCCAAAAATAAAATTTTAAAGATTTTTAAAGATAAACAAAAATAAAAAAAAAAGTTAATTGTCTCAAGGATGCTCTCCCTCCTCAAAAAATAAATAAAAGTAAAAATCAGTCAAAAAAAAATCTTTAAAACATTAAAAGAAAGGTTAAGGGTTACCGGCTTTATTATTTTTTTATAAAAATTTAATTCCACCTTTGTGTAAATATATGAGGAAATTATTTATTTATTTGTTTGGTCGATTGGTCTCGACTATTACATTTATTTTTTTTTATTTTTTACTTTTAAAATTGAATGAATCAGCAATATAGAAAAATTTAAAGATTAGGAAATACTTTAAAATTCTTTGGAGGGAAAAGTGCAATTTGAATTGCTTAATAAGCAAAATGTTTTTGTATAAAATGACATTTTGTCATCAACATGTTTTACAAACTTAAAGTTTATAAATAAACCTAAAACTTAAGTTCTAAGCAATTAAAAAATGAATTAAACTTTACAAACTTAAAAATTATAAACTTGTTTACAAACTTTGTTGAGATTAAACTTAAGTTTTTAAATAAGTTTATAAACATTTTACAATTTTTGTTTGTTAAGCTTAACAAACAAACATAAAAACAAATTAAAATCCACAAACATATTTAAACATGTTTTACAAACTACAACTTACAAACAAACATAAAAACATACAAACAAATAAAATAAACTTTAAATTAAACTTGACAAGTTCCCCAACTTGTTTTACAAATTTAACATTTACAAACAACTTTAAAAACTTATTAAACTTTACAAACATTTTACAAACATTAAAACTTGTTTCTCAAACATTGAACCGAACAAACTTAAACTCAGTTTAAATTAAACTTTAAAAAACCTACTTGAAAGCATCCATTGTATATCCCCCCGTTGCTGGCACCCCACGAACAACAGCCTTCTCATCAATTTTTATTTGTTGTCTATTTTGTTGTCCACTATTTTTATGTTGAATATTTGTTGTATTTATTTGTTGTGAGGGTGAAATAGCCGTTGATGTTTTTGGTGTATTTGTTGTTGAGGAAGAAGGCATTTTTGTTGTTTCTTTAGTTTGTTTTTGTTGTTGTTGTATCTTTCCATTTTCTGTTTCTTCAAAACTTTTCTTTTTAATGTTTTTACTTTTGTTTTTCTCATCTTCTTCTTCATCTAATTTTGTTGTTGTTGTTTTATCTAAAACAAGTTTATTTTATTTAAACAAGTTTAATATTTATCTAAACAAGTTTAATGTTTTTCCAAACAAGTTTATTTATTTAAAACAAGTTTATTTATTAATTAAATAAGTTTAATCTTTAAACAAGTTTATTTTTTATTCAAACAAGTTTATTTTTTTTGCTTCAAGTTTCTCAGGTTTATTTTCAAGTTTTGCTTCATTTCTTTTTACCCTACTAAACTCTGTAGTACATATTAAGATTCACCTGTCATTGTTAACATTAATTCATCCTTCTCATTTGATACTAATGCTAATTTTAACACATCATTATCTAAAACATCCTTATTTTCTTCTTTATTAGGTTGTTTTTGTTTTGAATTGTTTGAATTACTTGTTTTGTTTTGTTGTTGTCCATTATTTGGATTGTTGCTACCAGCATTATTACCTCCTCCTCCTCCACCCTCTCCAGATGATGATGAAGATCCGCTCGTCGTGATGACTGTTGGTAAGAAAAAATGTTCGGGTGTGTTAATATTGTTGTTTATAAGAGGAAAATAAAGTTGTGAAGCGAGTTCCGACGTTATTTTGTAGTTGAGGGCAAAATAAGAGAAGAGGAGAGTTTACTGAAAATTAATTTAAAAATAAAAAAAATTTTTTTAAGAAAAATTAAATAAAAAAAATTAATTTTCTTTTCAGTATGACGTAAATTAAATTAGTTGGAAATTTTTCCAACTATAATTTAATTAAAGTTTAAATAAACACGTGTTTCATTAAAAATGTTTGTATTAAAATAAAAAAATTTGAACATGTTTTTTTCTTCCAACAAACAATGAAAAATAAAAAACTTTGTTTAAAACATATATATATGTATAATATTTAAAACAAAATTAAATTAAAACAGGCGGAATTAAAACAGGCGGAATTTACAAAAAAAAACATAAAATTCTGATTTATAAAAACAGGCTTGTACAAAATCAGAATTTAATTTCAACAAGACATTTCTCTTTTAAAAACAAAAATTTATACAAAACCAGAATTTATTTATAACAAACAAATAATTCTGATTTATAAAAACACTTGTTTATATAAAACCAGAATTTAATTTTATTTTTGTTTTAATTGATCAAAAAATACCCCAAAATAGAGGTACTCTTTAAAGTTTGTACAAAAAACAACTTTTCACTAATTTTTAATTTGTTGATTTTGTGGTCTATTTTGCCGTAATTCCTCTCTCTTTTGGCCTTAATATTTTGTAAATTTTCCGTTTTTTTTGTAAAACAATTTTGTTGTTTTATTAATAAAATAAAAGCTACTAAACAAACACACCTGTCGATTAATTAAATATTTAGATTATTTATTAATTTTTGATGATTTTTGAGATTCGGAAAAATAAAGAAAAAGGCCACACAACAAGAATGGTGATGACCTGTGTCACCGAGAAAGGGCAAAAATAAATATATAAGTGCAATAAAAATTGAGGAAGAAATATTTACAAATTAGACAAATATAAAAATCAGAATTAAATTAAAACAAGCGAAATCAGAATTGAAACCAGCAAAATAAACAAAATCAGAATCAAATTAAAACATGCCCCGAAATTAAATAAAATATTTAAACCAGAATTAAATCAAAACAAGCATTCCAACAATAAACAAAATCAGAATTTATATAAAACAACTAAAAATAGAAAGATATAATATAAAAATCAGAATTTAATTAAAACAAGCGAAATTAAAACAGAAAATATAAATCTTCTGATAACAAACAAAATCAGAATTTATATAAAACATTGACCTTAAAATTATAAACAGAAAAAACATTTAAACCACAATTAAATTAAGAACAGGCGGAATTAAAACATCTGCTTTTATTCTGATAAAATCAAAACAAAAACAGATGTTTAAATACAAAACAATGTTTATGGGGAAATCCGCCTGTTTTAATTTAATTCCGCCTGTTTTAATTTAATTCCGCCTGTTTTAATTTAATTCTGGTATAAATTTAGCCATAATTATTAAATTATTAACAAGAAAATTGTCAAATAAAATTAATTATTAAAACATAAAATTATTTTTGTCCGTCAAAAAATTTTAAATATAATTTTATATATTTTATTATACACCTGTCGACAATTTAAAGTAACACTTAAAGCAATTTTTTAAATTTTACTCTCGCGCACACTTAATTTTTTTTATTTTACCCATTAAATATACAGCAATTGTCTGAGTGTTTTATCGACATAAAATAAAAATTAAGAAAAAAAAATTTTTTTTAAGGTGAAGAAAGAAAAAAAGATAGTTGAGACGAATTGACTGACTTCTTCCCCCAACATTATTATGGATGGATGAACCAAAGAAAACAAGGAGACTAGGTAGATAATAGAGAAGATGGGCTGTTTAGGAAAGTCTCTCTCCTCTTCTCCTCTTATTTTTTTACTTCCTTTAATCTCAATCGAATAGTAGGTCCCTTTTTCTTCTCTCTATTAACCAGCCGATGACGACCAAGTAAATAAAGAAAAGTGGTTGGTTGTTTAGTTGGAGGGGAGGAGGCTGGTTTGCTAGAATTGCAAAGAGAATCTCTCTCATTTTTACCTCACAAAAATATATATTTTGTAGAAAAGGTAAGTAAATGAAGTCGAGAATGGCTATATAGTATTGAGAAATAAAGTTTTGTGTGTGCGGGCTTATAAAATCAAAAATTGATTATTAAATAGATTAATTCGGTAGTTGTAAAAATTAATTGACAAGTTGACTGGATAGATAGAACAAATAAAAAAATCAGAATTATGTTGAGAAACAGGCTGATTTTTAAATAAAAACAGGCGGAATTAATTTGAGTTCTGGTTTTTATTAGAAAGAAAGTTATTTTAAATTAAATCTGATTTACAAAAACATGTTTTAGAAAAATTCTGATTTTTAATTAAAAAGAGATTGTTTTGATTAAATTCTGATTTTAACTGAAAAATATGTTCAAAATAAATTCTGATTTTAAATTAAATTTGTTCAAAATAAATTCTGTTTTTTATTAAAAATCAGAATTTATTATAAACATTAATTAAAGTTTTAGGCATAATTTAACTGCCTATTAGAGTATGAATAATATTAAAAAATAATTAGGGCTCAAAACAAAAGATTATTTTTATAAAAATAAATTTTAAAAAAATCATAAAATAATAAATTAACTAAAATAGCGTTAACATATGCTTTTTTAATTTTTTTTTCAAAAAAATTTTTTTATTAAAACAAAAAAGAACAAAAAACATGAATAAGAAAGTAAGCCCAAAAAAGCATCTACTAAAGCTATTCATTCACTCATAAAAAAATAAAAAAAGAAAAAAATTGAATGAATTGTCAATCGAGGGGGTAAAAAATAAAGTAACATATACAACTGATATATAATTGCAATAATAAAAGAGGAAAAAAATTTTTTTGAGGGAATTAAGAACGAAAAAAAATGAGAAAAAATGTAGGCCACTAGGGAGAATTGATATTTGAAGAAATAAAAATGGAAAAAAAATAATTTTTTGAATAAAAACCCATGATAAAATATTAGTAGAGAAATTGGAGGATGACATGCAAAAATAAAGGGAGAAATGTAAAAATGGTGAAAAAGAATAGTGGCGGAAATAATAAAAAAAGTTAAATATACAGCAATGGTATCACGACTTTTGCGCCGAGAACATTTGCGCCGCGACTTATGCGCCGCGACTTTTGCGCCGGGCGACTTAAGCGCCGCGACTCTTGCGCCGCGACTTTTGCGCCGGGCGACTTATGCGCCGCGACATTTGCGCCGCCATTGTTTAGAAAATCCGGATCCGAAAAATGACGGATATCCGAAATTTTCAATTCGGATATCAGATCCGAAGATTCCAACTATTCGACAACCCTACTAAAGTGAGGTCCGGCTGTAGTTATTGATATATTTTTAATGATAGTGGCGGCGCAAAAGTCGCCCGGCGCAAAAGTCGCGGCGCAAAGGTCCCCCGGCGCAAAAGTCGCTCGGCGCATAAGTCGCGGCGCAAAAGTCGCGGCGCATAAGTCGCGGCGCAAATGTTCTCGGCGCAAAAGTCACGGAACCACAGCAATTGTCTGAGTGTTTTATCGACATAAAAATTAAGAAAAAAAAAATTTTTTAAGGTGAAGAAAGAAAAAGATAAACGACGAACTGACTGACTTCCCCCTCCACAACATCATGTCCTATGGATGGATGAACCAAAGAAAACAAGGAGACTAGGTAGATAATAGAGAAGATAGGCTGTTTAGGAAAGTCTCTCTCCTCTTCTCCTCTTATTTTTTTTTACTTCCTTTAATCTCAATCGAATAGTAGGTCCTTTTCTTCTCTCTATTAACCAGCCGATGACGACCAAGTAAATAAAGAAGTGGTTGGTTGTTTAGTTGGAGGGGAAGCTGGTTTGCTAGAATTGCAAAAAGAATCTCTCTCATTTCCCTCACAAAAATATATATTTTGTAGAAAAGGTAAGTAGAAGAGTTAGTAAGTAAAGGAAGTCGAGATTGAGAAATAAAGTTTTGTGTGTGCGGGCTTATAAAATCAAAAATTGATTATTAAATAGATTAATTCGGTAGTTGTAAAAATTAATTGACAAGTTGACTGGATAGATAGAAGAAATAAAAAATCAGAATTATGTTGAGAAACAGGCTGATTTTTAAATAAAAACAGGCGGAATTAATTTGAGTTCTGGTTTTTATTAGAAAGAAAGTTATTTTAAATTAAATCTGATTTACAAAAACATGTTTTAGAAAAATTCTGATTTTTATTTAAAAAGAGATTGTTTTGAATAAATTCTGATTTTAACTAAAAAATATGTTCAAAATAAATTCTGATTTTTAATTAAAAAGGGACTGTTTTGAATAAATTCTGATTTTAACTGAAAAACATGTTCAAAATAAATTCTGATTTTTATTAAAGTTTTAGGCATAATTTAACTGCCTATTAGAGTATGAATAATATTAAAAAATAATTAGGGCTCAAAACAAAAGATTATTTTTATAAAAATAAATTTAAAAAAAATTTTTTTATTAAAACAAAAAAAGAACAAAAAACATGAATAAGAAAGTAAGCCCAAAAAAGCATCTACTAAAGCTATTCATTCACTCATAAAAAAATAAAAAAAGAAAAAAATTGAATGAATTGTCAATCGAGGGGGTAAAAAATAAAGTAACATATACAACTGATATATAATTGCAATAATAAAAGAGGAAAAAAATTTTTTTGAGGGAATTAAGAACGAAAAAAAATGAGAAAAAATGTAGGCCACTAGGGAGAATTGATATTTGAAGAAATAAAAATGGAAAAAAAAATAATTTTTTGAATAAAAACCCATGATAAAATATTAGTAGAGAAATTGGAGGATGACATGCAAAAATAAAGGGAGAAATGTAAAAATGGTGAAAAAGAATAGTGGCGGAAATAATAAAAAAAGTTTGATTAAAAAAAGGATTAGTAAGTTTGGGCGAAAATCAATTATTTATTAATCAAATTAAAATAAATAATTTAGCGAAAAATTTGTTCAAATTATATTCTGGTTTTATTAAAAAGGCGGATTTTATTAAGTTTAGAAAAACAGGCAAGTTTTTATTCTGGTCTATTAAAAACAAAAAATTCTGATATAAGTTCTGGTTTTTTAAAAACAAAGTTGTAACAGTAATACATAAACATGTTTCCGGTTTATTAAAACAAGGTTTTAATTAAAACAAGTTAGTTTATGCTTAAGTAAAACAAGTTGGTTTCCGGTGTATTAAAACAGGTTGGTTTTGTTTACCAAACAAGTTGGGGGTTGTTTAAATAAAACAAGTTTAATTAAAACAAGTTTAATTAAAACAAGTTTATTAAAAACAAGTTTATAAAAACAAGTTTGTGCATTATTCCAAAACAAGTTTATATAATTAAAAAATTACAACTTCTCCATTTCAACTTGTTCAAATAATTAAAACAAACCTAAAACAAATTATCAACCTTTTTTACAACAAATTCAATTTTGTTTTATTAACGTCAATTTTTAAAATAAAATTAAAGCAAATTCAATTTTTAGTGCTCTCTCGAAAAGAGGCAAAACTAAAAAAATATTGTCTATGAAAACGTGAATATATAAAGAAATTGGAGAAATATGGAAGGAAAAAAAGAAATAAAATATTTATATATTTGTGTGTGTGTGTTATTTGAAGCGAGAACTAAAACGGACGTCGATGTGAGTGGCAGCTTCGAGAATAGGGGAAAAATTGAGAGGAAAAATTTGGGGGGAAATGTTTTAAACTAAAAAGAGACTGTATAGAAACATGAGGGTAAGGTAGAGAAATTGAAATTTTTTGTTAGGAAAGACGAATAATATTTGTTTGGAGACAGATTGACTGGTTGGTAGAGGTTGGTAATAATGAGAGTAAGCTTTTAAAAAGGAGAGAAAGGAGGGGCTGTTTAAACGTGAGAGCAAACAAAAGATTAAAGAGGGGATTGTTTGAGTATAGAGGTGAATTTGAATCTCACCATGAATTCACCTCTAGACCGGAGAGAATGCAAAAAATCGAATTTAAAGTCGAACAGGTCGGAAAAATATAATCGAATTTATTCGATCGAATATCCGATTTATCCGACTTCTATCAAATATTCGATAAAACAGACATATTAATTAGAGAAAGAAAGAAAAAGGGAAACGCTTAGCCTTTAATAGTCGTAGACTAAACAAAGCTGTCTGATGAATGCAGCAGGATTTTAGCTGCTAAAAAGGGGGATAAAAATGAATCAATATTTTCGTTGCAAAATGTCAAGAGCACAAAATTGTATAGAATGTCAGTAAGACAAAATGACAAAAATAAAAATTTGGACAAAATGCCAGTAAGACAGAATGACAGAAACAATGTTTGGACAAAATGTTAACATATGTAAAAAATCAGAATTATTTTAAAACATGCTAAAGTTTTAAACAAAACAGGCGGAATTATAGAAATTCTGATTCTATTAAAGAAAACGTTGTTTTATTTAAATTCTGATTATGATAAACATGTTCTAAATAAATTCTGATTTTAAGAACATGTTTTAGGAAAATTCTGATTAGACCATGTTTTAAATAAATTCTGATTTACTGTAAAAATTAGGTTTACTCGAACATATGTTTTTAACAGCAAAAACATTCTATTCTGATTTTAAATACAAAAAGTTTGCCTTAAAATATCTCTAAACATAATTTTAAAAAATTAAAAAACGATAGTAATTAATTTAAAAATTAAAATCGTCTTTAAAATTTACTCTTTTTCATCTTTATAAATTTAAAGAAGAACATAAAATCACATGGATTTTTGCCTAAACTTTTGCTTATCTGTTTTTTGAACAGTTGACCGACCCATTTAATTTTTTAGTTTTTTATTTACTTCCTTTGTTTGCTAAACTAGTTCCTCTTTTAAAGATAAATTTTATTTAAAACTCCCAAAAAATTAAGAAAAATCTGGTTCTCCCCAGAGAAACTTCCATTGTAGAAAAACAGCGGGGACTTCCTCCCGGAAATGCCAAACATTCTGTTATATTTTTGGATGTTTTTATGTGTTTAATAAACATGTATGTTCGGATAAATCTAATTTCTATAACAATCAGAATTTAATTAAAACATATTTTTAAAATCAGAATTTAATTAAAACACCCCTATTTTATAATAATAAATTCTGATTCTTTTCTATAAAATCCGCCTGTTTTTATTTACATGTTTTTAAAAATCAGAATTCATTTAAAACATCTTTTTTAATCAGAATTTAATTAAAACATGTTCTTAAAATCAGAATTTCTCGAAATATGTTTTTAAAATTAGAATCAGACAACATAAAATTAATAAAAATCAGAATTTCTCTAATTCCGCCTGTTTTGTTTAAAAATCAGCATGTTTTACAATAATTCTGATTTCCTATCCTAATTAATCAGAATAAAATTAAATAAAATTTTACGATCATTATATAATTAATTTCTTAAATATTCTAATCAATTGTATGTACTTGCTTTAAAAACTATTTATTTTTATACTTTGTACTTCCTTTGTTTTAATTACCCAATAAATTATAGTAAAGATAAAGTATACTCTAAAAATACTAAAAACTAAATTAATTATTACACTAAAAAAAGAACGTGAAAAAAAAATAAAAATAAAATAAGTGTAATTAAAAAATAGTCATTAAATTACTGCAAATTGCTGGTACTATGAGCAATAAAAATTAAAAAAAATAAAAATTAAATATATTTTCATGGAAAAATAAATAAATAAAAAAATAAGTAATACAGTTGTAAAAAATCAGAATATTAAAAATAAAAATCAGAACAACTGAAATCAGAATAAAATAATTTTAAATAAATCAGAATGTTTGTGTAAAGTTAAAAAGTTGTTTAAAACATTAATTATTCTGATTTAAGAATATTTAATTACGACTTCTTTAATTCCAACTTGTTCGAAACTTATTAAAACTTGTTTGTAAAATTAAAAACTTGGTTTAAAACTTTTTAATATGTTGTAAATTAATTCTGATTTTTATTTAAAAAGTTTTAAGTAAATTCTGATTCTAAAAACATATGTCTTTAAAAAACATGTTTCTCTACATAAACTTTTCAAATATCCAAAAGATGTTAATTAGGTATTTTAAAGCAACAATAAAATTACTAATAATAATTCTAGTAAAAAATACTAACAAAAAATATAATAATGTAAAAAAATAAGAATTTTCTCAACTAATGAAGTCGCCAAACATAAAATATGATATAAACAAAACAACGCAGGAAATGCAGCTGAAAGGAGCGGGGAAAATAATGCAAAAAAAATAAGGGGGAAATGTGTGAATAGGATTAATCCAAAATATCATTTCTGCACTAGTTTACACGTAAATTGTTGATATTTTGGAAAGAGTTGAGTGAAAGGGGATTATAGTTAGAAGAGCACAGCATCGCTGTCAAAGAAAGGAAGGCAGACGGAAGTAAACGACCCCGGAAGAAAAAAATATAGGGAGAAAAAAAGGAAGAAGTGGGTTTTTTGTGTTAAGCGGATGGAAAAGCGGATAAATTGAGAAAAAATGAGACAAAAAGAGGAATTAACTAGAAAAAATGATAAAAAAAGTACAAAGTGCGAAGTTGGGAAGAAATGGAAAATTAAATCAATAATGTTTAAAATATGAATGTTTTTATGTTTTTAGTGATGTTTGAATAAAAACAACAAGTTTGAAAACAAGTTTAAAAACAAGTTGCCAAACTTGCTTATAAACAAGTTGGAAAGTTGAATAAATTTAATATAAAATACAACTTATTCATAAAACATGTTTTTTTTTATTCGCAACAAGTTGGAAAACAAGTTTTAATTAAAACCTGAGTTTAATTAAAACATAACAGTGTTGAACAAGTTTTGATTGAATAAAAATAAACCTGTTTATAAACAAGTTGGAAGAAATTAATAAAAACATACAACCTAAATAAAAACAAGCTGGTCGTTTTTATTTTAATAAAAACATTGATAAACATGTTTGCCATCTCAATAAAACATTAAACTCATTAAAACTTGTTTGTTTATTTTTCCCGTTATAAATAATGTTTTTACAATTTAACCGTCTAAAATTCTGTTTATTTTTCTACAGCAAACAATAAATAAACAACCGCTATAAATACTTTTTTGATTAGATAAAAATATCATTTTTTCTCGTTATCATTTTAATTTTAAAAAATGTTAAGGATTTTAATAATTCATAAAACAATTTTATCTTTCTTTCTTACGACGATTTCTTTGATTTTTTGAGAAAATAAATTAAAAAAGGGGTCTTTAAAAAATAAAAATTGAATGAAATGATTAGGTAAAATTCTAAAAAAATGTTTTAATAAATTTTACAAAGTTCCTTTTTAATAAATTTATATTTTACATAATTGTTAGTTGATATATTTGGAAAATTATGGGCGTATTAACACTTACAACCACTCAATTTTTCACTGATATTTATAGCTAATCCAAAAACATTAAATAAATTAAATATATATTTTAGATAAATACCAAGGCCTTTAAATAAAACCAAAAATTAAATGAAAGATCAGAGAAAAAAAAAATATGAAAAATAAAGTATAAAAATGGAAAAGCTTAAAAATTAACCAAAAATAGCTTATAGCTGCAAAACTATAATTATTATTATTGCTTACAAAACATCTAAACTTGTATGTTTAAGTTATTTATAGTGAAACTTGTTTTAAGCTAGTGCCGAACAAGTTTATTTAATAAGCTTAAAAATTGAAAACAAGTTTATTAAAAACAAGTTTAAACTTTGTTTAAATACAAAGTTTGTTTGGGACAAAAATTAAGTTTATTAAATAAACTTGTTCAAAAACATCTTGAAACAAGTTAGATTAAAAAATAAAACAAACTTGTTCGTAATAAATTTAAAACAAGTTTAATTATATGTTGCCGAACAAGTTTGTTTTATAAAATTATTTTCTGAACCAAACTTAATTTGCTTTTAAACAATGTTTAAATAAGTTTTATTTATTTTAAAACATAAAAAATAATAGAGAAAAAGCTTAAAAATTAATTAAAAATAGCTTTTGCTGCAAAAATAAAAATAAAAAAAAATTAATTAATTTAAAAATAGCAAAAATAAAAAAGCTAAATAAAAAAGCAAATATAATAAATGTTAAGCTAACATTTATTAGATATTGATCGTTAAAGCAGGGTTAAACAAAAAAGTAATTTTTTATAAAGCTTTGCTAACAACGAGAAAAATATAAAAAATGTTTTTTCCTAAAATTATTCTCGTGTTTTGTGTTGTGTTTGTGTACTGTGAAAGCATTTTTCTATTATTTTTTCTTTTATTTTTTTTTATTTTTATAATCACGCGCAATAACATTTTTACTCTAAAAAAGGCAATAAAAAGGACACGAACTAAATAAATATTAATTTCCACCAATTAATTTCTAAAAATGGAATAATAGTAAAAATGACGATTTATTAATAGTCGCGAGAGTATAAGATGAGGACAAAGAAAATATAAAAATTTAAAAGAAAAGAGATTAAAAAATAATTTTCTAAAAATAGATTTGTGATTACTAAATATGAGTAATATAAATTACACTGTTAATGTTTGTTTTAATAAAACTTTAATTCAAACATTTAAAAAGAAAATTAAAAACAAAACAAGTTGCTCAAAACATTAAGTAAAGAAAAAAGTTGAAATAATTTTAGATAATTAAACTTGTTTGAAAACAAGTTGGTCAAACAAGTTGGAAAAAAGGTTGGAAAAACAAAAGTTGGTAAGATTGAAATAACTAAAACATTAATTAGAACAATAAAACTTGTTTGGAAACAAGTTGGTCAACATAATAAAAAAATCTAATGACAACAAAACATAACTTGTAGAAGCATTCTAGATTCACTGTAAAACTTGATTAAAAACAAGTTGAATTAAAATATTTTGTAATGTTGCCGAACAAGTTTATTTTTAGCAAAGTTTATATTTTATATTTATTCCAAACAAAACTTTGTTTTTATATAGTTTAATTTAAAGTTTATTTTAAAGTTTAGATGGTTTTTATAATTAAAATAATTCATCCCCAAAAATCAAAAACCCCATCACCCCCTATTTCCTCTTCGCCTCCCTCCATTTCCTCTTCTCCATTATCATCATCCTGTTGCCAATCATCAGCAAAAGGTTCAAATAAATCGTCTCCCGTTCCCCAACCTATTTAAACAAATATTTTTTGAAATTTAAATTTTATAACCCCATCCTCTTTGACGATTCAACCTTCGTTTTTTAGTCTGTTGGTGCCTTTTTCTGTTAGTTATTCGCCTATCACCTCCATTTAATCTTTGTCGGTTCCCTACAAAACCAAATCCTGAACCCCCAATACGTGGTCTTAAAGGAAATTGACGAATTGGTTGTTTAGTTGTTTTGGGGGCTTCAGCTGCTGCCCAAAGGTTGTTGTTGTTTTCAATGTTTGTTGTGCTAGTTCGAGCATAACAAAGATTCTTAAAATTGGAGGGGGAAAACAAATTTTAAACTTGATAAAACTTGAAATAAAACAAGTTTATTATTTTCTGGGAGGAAATGTTTTTTACAATTGAAAAAAGTTTTTACAAACTTGAAATAAAACAAGTTTGAATAAAACAAACTTGAATTAAAACAAGTTGGTCAAGTTTTGGGGAAAAATGTCTTTACACAGGAAAAAACAAAGCTTGAATAAAACAAGTTTTAATTAAAACAAACTTGAAATAAAACAAGTTTGTTGTGTATGGAAGGAAATCAAACATGTTATAAAACAAGTTGGTCAAATTTTAATAGAAAAAGTTTTTTAAACATTTTTTCCTACCCCAGCACCACATTCATATCCTTCAGGACATTTACCATTGACGCAAGGGCCAATAACACTACTAAAAATAAGTTCATAAACATTAAAGAACAAAGGAAGTTTAAAAACCCAGCGCCTGCAGCACAACAAAAATTGTTGGAATTGCAAACGTATCCAGTCGGGCAGAGGCCGTTGATACAATTTCCTTAAAAAATTTGTTTCCTAAATTTTTTTCCGGTCAAAAACCAAGCGATTTCCCAATAGGACATCGACAACAAAATTTTCTATGATTGCAGAAAAAGCCTTGCCCACAAAGTCCATTCATACAGGCAGCAACTGCTTCCTCACCATCACAGGCCGTCTTCAAGTCAGGCTGTGGATGTATTATCATAGCAGGACGACAACAACAACGAACCATATTGACCATCTTTTTTACAAATTTTCTTAATTTTGATTAAATTCAAAATTTTACTTGAGGCTGCATACACTGAACAGCCTGACAATTTGTTGGTTGACAACCAAAACATTGAGGAGGGCAAGGTTCCATTTGTTGTTGCTGAGGGTATGGTGGCCACATTTGTTGCTGTTGTTGAGGCCACCATTGTTGTCGTTTAACGCGAGAATGATTTTGTAGGGGAACATAATTTAAGAAAGAAGTTGATGAGATATTTTTGTAGGAAGATGAAGGTACTAGAATGAGGGTAGATTGTACAAATGGGGGTAGTATAGAAAGGATATTGCTTATAAAAATAATAATAAAGAGGAGGAATAATGGAGGAAATGAAGTAAATGTTGTTAAAATTGAAGAAAATAAAAGCCGGGAAAGGGAAGAAGAGTTGCTGTCGGAGCTGTTGAGGGTCAATGAAGTTTTTTCTGCATAAATTTTTGAATAATTTTTAGAAATTCTATTTAAAACTAAGGTTAGCGTTTGATAGGATTCAAATATAATGGGAAATCCAGGATAAAAAATTTGGCCAAAAACAAAGAGGTATGGGTTAATAACCGGCTGTGTTAGTCTAATGTGTCAGCCCTCTCTGACCCTAATTTGGAACTAGAAATCCAAAAAACCTATAGTTTAATTAAAATTAGGTTCACCAGGGAGTTGACAGCAACGTCTTCGCCACAGGCATTTATTAACATTGAGATAGTTCTTTTTATAAGGCTCAGACTGGCAGCAAGCAGTACACGAACAAGAGTCACCAGATTGACAGGCTATTTTTTAAAAATTAATTTAACCCCCCAATTTGATAATCTACCTATAATTTGACTTGAACCACCATTAGAAATACTTGTTGAAGTCAAAGCCACAGATGGAGTTAACAGACAATCATCATTCTCTAACGGCATATTTTTTGGTTCAAAATAAACCCAGGATTAGTTTAAAAGAATTTTTGCTTCATTTAAGTGTTTGTGTGCTTTATAATTATAATTCTTCAAAAATTTTTGGGACTAATTTGAAAGAGAGGAAATAATATATAAATAGCAAATGAGTCTTTAAGAGAACAATGACCGGTCAAAATAATTCTTTCTATCCTCTCTATTAAGCACTTTTTGCTTTTCTTCTTCCCGATTTGCGCGTTCGAGTGCCCGTCCAATTCTTATGGCCTCCGCCCTTATTTTTAAATAGAAGAGTTTATCTTCGTTCAAGATTTTTAAATGATAGAGAGGGAGTAGTTTGTTAGTTCAAGCGCTTCTTCTAGCTATTATTACTAAAGGGAGGAGGATAAACTTTCATAACCAAGTCTTTATAATCAGAAATGAAATAGTCAATAGATTCCTCATCTCTTTCAACTTTATCTTCCTATCTTCATTTTCAATCCTTTAGTTATTCATCTCTTCACCTATTCCTCTCTTCAACACTTATTTCCTTAAGTTTTCTTTCTTTCTACCATCTTCACCTCCTTTTTTCCTTCAATTTTTCTTCAGTTTTCTCTCAATTTCCAACTTCCTAATTAATCTTCTTCCATTTAACTATTATCTTCCTTCTCCTATTTTTTAAATTCCTTCCTTATTATTTGTTTTTTAATTTTCATTGCTTCATTATTATCAGAAAATAGAAAAAAAACAATCGGCCGACAATCGGCTCAATGCTAAATACTTCCTCCCTCATCTTCCTCTTCCCTCTAAAATTTTTTAAATGGGATTTTTTCCAAGCACTTTTTTAAATTTAGCTACATTTAACTCATCCACCTTTTTCCTTCTTCCTTTTCCTTCAATTCTTCGCAAAAAATTCTTCTGTTCCCTTCTTTCCATGTTCAGTAATCTTTTCGAGAGTGCTTCGATGAGACAAATAATTTTTCAAGTGGTTGATAGTGATCATAAACTGAAACTGACCCTTTTAAATATACTTTTTTAGTTACTTTTCCTATTCCGATTTGGATTTTTTAAATAAAAAAAGTAAGCCGATTGGTGTCTTTTAGAGGGCGGGGGAAAGGACATAGACAAGAGACAAGGGCAGAGTTGCTTCATAAATCATATTTATGTTCAGATTTTCTAAAGAGGACAAGTTCAAAAGCTTAAGATCTATAAAACAAACTAAGCGTGTATAGAAAGTCGGGGTTTTTTTGCATGGAAGACAAGGCCTTAACCCGGACAAAGGGGGAGGGACGAAGACAAGGCATTTTTTGTCCATAATTTATTTTAAAATTATGGGGAGCTAAAAGTTAAATAAGGTTAATAATATCCCTTATTGATAGGTGTGTAGTAGAAAGTCAGAGGTCTCTAATAAAAAAACAAAAAAAAATTATTTAAATTGAATTTATTAAATTTTAAGGAAATGGCTCGCTTAATTAATTTTAAATATAAGTTAATTTATTCAGTCTGTTCAATTATTTGTTCATTATCTTGTTGAACAGGTATAAAATACTGTCCATTAGCAGCGTCATAAAATACTTGGAGAGGTTGTAAATTATAGTTGGGATTAATTATTAATTGTTGTTCTTGCTTTAAATTTAAATATGTTTTTATTTGTTTTTAAAGGTTTTCATTTGTTTTTAAAAATAAACAGAAAAAAAAAGTTGGCCAAGTTGTAAGAAACATAAAAACGTTGAAACTTGAAGCGAAACAAGTTGGGAGAACAAGTTGGAAAAAATGCAACTTGTTTAAAACAAGGTTTAAAAATAAAACATTAAAAAAAACTTAAAAACAAGTTGGTTATGAACTAAATAAATAATAAAAAAAAGTTTTAAGAAAAATAAAAATTAAGACTTGAAGCAAAACAATTTCAAAACAAGTTGGAAAAAAAGTTTGCAACTTGTTTAGAAAAAAGGTCGAAACTTGTTCAAAATAAAGTTTTAAAAAATAAGATGAAACATTTAAAAACATTGAAAAACATGTTTAAAAATTGAAAACATGTTTAAAACTCTAATAAAAACCCAACAAGGTTAAAACTTGTTGCAAAACATGTTGCTAATATTAAAAAAAATAATTAAAAATATAAACCCACCAAATAAACCATTTGTTGATTTTCATCAGTTGTAGCAACCTCCACTTCTTTAGCAGTGTTTGCTGCATTATTATTGTTGTTAGCGTTGTTGTTATTGTTTCCCATTTGTTGGACAAGTGTAGCGGCTTGACTACTTTGCAGTCTGTTGGCTTAAAAAAAATTTTTTCAAAAATTTTTGAAAAAATTTTTGAAAATAAAAAAAAATTTTTCAGAATTTTTTTAAATTAATTTTAAAAAACCTTCTTTAAATTTCCTCAAAAATTCTTCCAATGGCGTCACATATTCGTCAAATCCCAAAGTACGAAAGGCAGTTAATATGTCTTCTCCAGAAATTGTTTTTCTTCGTTCCTATAAATTTATTAAATTAAAAAATTTTTGAAAAATAATTTTTTAAGAAAGAAGGTCGGAGAAAAGTAGAAAGAAAACAGAAATTTTGCGGATAAAAATTTGTACGCAAGTAAAGTCCGCAAAATATTTGCGGATAAAAAATTTTTGTCCGTAAATTTTTTGCGGACAAAATTTTTGCGGATTTTCCTGAATTTTTTTTCAACAAAAACTGGTTTCGAGTCCACCCTCTTTCCAAATAAATTAGAAAAAAAATTCCACTTACTATTGCACATCGTTCACTAGCTTCAGAAGTAATAAACTTAAAAATAGACCAAAAATTAAAAATAAATAATTTTTAAAAAATACCAAAAGAAATTCAGTAATACATTCCTGAATGCATTCCTTAGCTTCCTTAGACAATTTTCCTTCTGGTGGAATTACTCGCTTCATTACTCGAGTTATATTTGCTGAAATTTAAGAGTTGGAAATTATAAAGAAAAATATTTTGGCTTTTGTTTAGGTCACGCATTCTATAAAGTCGTACGATTTTCTTTCGTTTAAAATAAGTTTTGAGTTCAAAAGGTCATAGGTTCCAATTTGAGTGGGTCAGGGTATCCGAAACACGATCCCGGCTTCTTTCGACACGAAATTCCAAACCCAATTGAAAAAACGGGTTCCAGCCAATCCATGGTTTCAACGTAAAAACGTTGACGGAAAACTGTTAAAACGAACCCAAACAGGAGCCAAAATATTCTCTTAAAATTTACGAGCTAACCTATAGGTAGAAAACGATCCTGTTCGAGAATTATACCACCATTTGTATTACTTGAAGAAGCTTGCGGTTGTTGTTGCTGCTGTGTCTCGTCAACAAATTCATTAATTATAGTTTCATCCATTCAAAGCTTCTTAAAAAGTTGTGAGGATTAATTAAATATTAGCAGAAGTAAATAAATTAAATTAACAACGAACTGGTAGAAAAATAAAGAAAAATCCCCTTAAAAATTCAAGAAAACAGGAAACGGAAATTAAGAAGAAAGACTATAGAAAAAGAAGAGACGGTTAGAGAAAAAAAGTTAATTTATTTTAATTTTGGCGTTCTGTTTAAATTTTCGCGAATTTTTCATTTAAACGCAGAACGGCGTCTATTTTATCATAAAAATTTTTTAAGAAATTTTTAGAAATTTTGCAAAGTTTTCAAGGTCCTTCAACCTTTTTTACTTTTTTTTAGACGCTGCCTCGATGCTTCCATTCCCATATTCTCCATTTGCTGCTGCTCAACATTTATTTGGATATAATGACCCAAAGTTACTTAAGGATGCGAAAAAGACGGAATTCGTTAAATTTATGGATATTTGTGAACACTTTTTTATTTCACATCCAGCATCTGGACAAAAAGAAGGGCATGAACTTGAAAGGTTTTTTTATTTGAAAAGAATTTTTGGGGGATCTTGAACTTATTGTTAGGTGTATCGTGTTAAATCGCTTCCCAATTATTTTTATATGTCTTTAGCATCAAAAAGGATTTGTTGGGAATAACTGAGAGTAGGGGGAAATTCTCTCGTAACTGTCAGATGGGCATAAGGGGGCAGACCAAAATATTCTTGATCGTGAGTCTCCCTTATCCGTCCAAATATTTGGAGTAGGGTTGCCGGTTCTGGACCTAACCGAAGGACCGAGGATTTTTTGGTTCGGGTTCGAATATCCGAAGAATTTTCAGGAATTGACTACCTTAATTTTGAGTTGACCTCCATGGACATTTGACCACTAGAATGTCGACCTTCTGGATTGAATTCATTTTTGTTGAATTGGGGAGAATGTAAGCATATGACAAAGTTTAATTAAGTTGGGATTAGGGTAGATTTCAGATGGGCAAAAGGGAGCAAACCCAAAATTTTTTATATTTTATGTTTTTTAGAGTTATGCTGTTCTTGCCTGCTTCAGAGACCTTAACAAAACAAATGGAAATAACTGGAATGGCTGAGGCTATAGTTAACTTTAGTGCCAATATACTCTTTAATCAGCCAAAGGATACTGAAATTAAAGATGGAAAACAACAAACAAAGCCGTTATGTATAAATGGTGATGATGAGTCTGTTGATTTTAGATATGTAAGAGATTAATTTTCTAAAATTGGGAAATAAAAGCAATGTTTTTAACTTTCGCCGATTTTCTTTTTTTGGTGTTTCACCTTTCATCACTTGCATTTTAAAATCTGTACAACTCTGTTTTAGTGTTTTACCGGAACCGAGATTTTGCTGGAACCGGATCCAATTTTAGTCTCTGTTTTCTGAACCGGAACTAAAAAACGCCGGAACTTTTTCAAACCGGAACTTTCGGTGAAACCCTACTCTGTGTATACTCTAACCAGGAATTTTCTAGGCCAGTCCATGTTGTTAAATATTTTTAATTAAAATTTTAGATCAGTTCATCGACATCAAAAGAAGTTGTTCTGGTTGTTGAGAATGGAGCCTTCTTTATTGGTGTTTCTTTGAACAGGTTTTTACTATCTATTTTTTAAAAATTTTTACTTGTGTTTGATGGGTAATTTTTTTCAAAATTCCAGTTTAATTTTTTTAACATTTTAATCTTATACCTAACCTCCTCTCAATTTTTGGGAAATGATAAAATACATCAATTTCTTTTTTTGTTTTTGTAAAGTTGGTCTCCTACTCCGCCCTACAATTATTTTTACGGTATTCCCCGATGTGATCCCTGGGAAATTTTTTGTCCTCGGTCAACGTCAACCTTTTCTCCGACATCCTTATTCCCAGAAAAATGACTGCCTGACGTGTCGTTGGATTTTATTTTCCTTACCTCCTTATCAAATTTCATTTTCTCTTTTAAATTCTCAATTATGTTTTGTTAAAGTTAAGGAAACTTTGCAAACAATTTGATTATTGTGTCCATTTACCAACCATTCGAGCATTGTTAGAACGTGCCTACAACGCCTACAAACTCTTTTATGGCTCCTTTAGTGTTGTATTTAATTCTGATTTGGTACATTTTAAAAACGTTTTGGATACGTTTTTTGCTCCATATTTACAATTACTTAGAGTTTGCAAGGTTGGTTTGGACTTGAAATTTTTTTGGATTAATTTTTAATTATTTTTAGACTCCTTTGGTTGATTTGTTTAGTGGAGTCGACTTTCTCCCACTGGGAAGCCTCAATTTTCTTGAAGTTCATTGTCTGGTGAGATTTATTTTTTATTATTTTATGAAGATCCGACTTAAACTTTGGCGTTTGCACCGTCCTCGCCTCCCAATTAAATTTTACGGCTTATTGGTGTAGCCACCACCAGTTTCGTTCGTCTCCACTCATCCAAAGAACCAAGGTCTTAAGAATGTACTTCCGATTTCAACTTGAGCAGTTGAACCGTCCTCGCCTCCCAATTAAAGTTTACGGCTTATCGGTGTCGCCGGCTTTAGCCTTATTTGTCTCCACTTTTTCAAAGAATTAAGATCTTAAGAGTGAATTTTGAATGGGGAATATCATACATGGTATTACTGACACAATTCTGATCACCAACCTCTTAACCCTAATTCCTTAAAAAAATCCTAAGACTTCAAAAATCCCCAATAATTAAAAATTATTTATTTTCAGATGACAAATTGTTTGGAAGAATTTCCTCAAATAAAAAAGACTATATTTCTTTATCAAGAAAGGTTTTTAGATTCTATTTTTTTATTAAAAATTTAATAAATTTAGATTAATCCAATATTCTGTTGAAAAACGCGATTTGATCGTTCTTTGGCATTTTTTAACGCAAACAATAGTTCCTTCAGCAATGCAAGCAGAATTAACACCAGAAGGGATTTTAAACGAGAAAAGGTTTTTAAAATTTATTTCTAAGATTTTTAAATTTCAAACTAGGGTTGGGCTCAAATGCTTATTTGGTCCGAAAACCAGTGTTTTTGACAAATTGACTGGAACCGAAAAGCGAAGGTCATAAACCTGTGAATAGTCTAAACGCGGGTATGGGAGGGGGTAACTGGCTAATTATTGATTATGTCCATGCCTATTCCTCAGAAAAGAAAATTAAAGATGACAAAATATCCCAAAAATTTTGAGATTTATTTTTTAGTACTGCCAATACTTCTACTTCTGATCTAAATAAGAGTGGCTTTTTTGTTGATTCTTCAATTATTAGAGATTATTTGGGCGAATTCTCAGATCACAAATTTCCGAAAATTTTTATTTTGGATGGTGAAAATGATGACAAATGTGTGGAATATTATTTGGTATTTTTTAAATTTTTTTAAATTTATTAATTTTGTAAGGATTGGGGCGTTCATGGGGGAGACTTAAAACTCTTAGGACGGGGGTTTTTAAAATAATTTCCTCGCTGCCCCCCCCCCCCCCAATCCTGATTACGGGTCTGGGTAAAGCCATCTTTGTCTATATTAGTCTAGTCACTGCAGTGAACATGGTTTTTGGAAACCAGAATGGAAATTTTGGAAACCGGAATTGGAAACCACAATGAACAATGTGTAATTAATTTGTGTTAAACAACTACCCCAACAAAACCCGTTAGTTAAATAAGCCTCTTCCTATTTTTAAACTCCAATCTATCTTTTTTTTAATTTTTAGATAGCCTATCGTGTTTTAAACGCAACTGCTTGCTTTTTTGTTCGAGCTGATGAAACACAAAATGATACAATTAATAATGAATTTCTTGAAAATCTTTCCGATTTTATTGACACAAAAATGTCTTCAATCGCCTCAACAATTGGAGAACAATTTTCAAATGAAATAACTGCTAGGCCTAATTCAAATTTGGATATTCCCTATCATTTCATTTATTTCAATCCAGACAGCCTCAGTTTTCGAAAAAGCTTCGCTGCTCCGATGGTTATGTCTGCTGAAAATGCTGTGGTTAATAATGCTGTTCAAATCCTGCCTTCTAGCATGCATAGGTTTTTTTTAATTTTTCTTTTTTTGGGAGTGAAAATGTCCTGTACCCTTAAACAGACAAAATGCTCTTTGGAAACGAAAGTCAAAAAACCCTCATAACAATAAATTGCAAATGTGAGTAATTTTGTCAAGCTTTCTAGCTTTAGAACATGTGACAAGGGTATCCGAAAATTTCGTTGCGGTCAGGATATTAGAGAATTTCCCAGGATACGGCAACCCTTTTATACTTGGGGACATTTTGTCACCGATTGTCTATAAGCCTATTTAACTAATGTCTTTTGTTGGTTCCCTGAGAGTATCTTATGTTAGTTGGGGTTTCGAAACTGACCAGCACCTTTACATTATCTAGCCTAAAATTGGAGAGACCTCATAGGTCGTTTTTTACATTTTTGAAAAATATTTTTACTAAATTTTTGTTTACGTTCTCTTCGTTTTAAGTGCATCTCCCTTCCTTTCTGACACCTTTTTTTAATTAAAAAAAATTTTTTTTTGTTCAAGATTAGTCTACGAATCCTATGATAAATTTATCTCTGAATGTTCTACAACTTCCTCTTTAATTTCTCAATTATACATCAAAGCAGATAATGATTGGTGGATAGTTTTTAAACGAATGGAACGTCGTTTTTTGGCACTCTTTTTACCTCAACAATATTCAGCTACTACAACAATTGCAGATATACAAGAATGTGTTGATGGAATAATTCAATCAAGATTTCCAAATTTGTTTATTTCCTAATGTTTTTGAAGGTCTTTTTTGTTTATTTTGTGTAGCTAGAGATACCAGGGGTGTGCCATTTCGCCTTTTGTCTTTCGCCCTTTTTTGATGTGAGAAAATCCACACATTCTTGTATATCTGCAATTGTTGTAATAGCAGAATATTGTTGAGTGAAATATTAGTAGCACAGAATATTGCCCAAATAGGCGCGCGGCCATGTAGGCGCAAAGCCATAATTTGCTTCAATTTTTCCGAATCTTTTCAAATTTAGTATTAAACGATTCCTTTCATCGAGCTAAAGAGGTTCGTACCAAAATTGATAAGGGCCAGAAATTTTCCAGCAAGTTATGGCTTTGCGCCTACATGGCCGCGCGCCTACTTGGGCGTGTCCCTTTTTTGGTGTTTTGTCTTTCGCTTTTTAAAATTTGTTTCGGCACACCCCTGTACCTCTAAATTATATCCAAACAATTGAAATATTAGTTCATTTTAAATTTATGTTCAGAAAATAAATTTTTAAAAAAATTTAAGTGAAAAACTCAACTTTTTAAATCTTATTTTTACAGACATTTTAATAAAATTTAATAATTCACTGTCGTTAGGCAACTTCCAAGGTAATTGGATTTATGCGCGGTCCTTAATTAACAAATATTTGATGAGTAGATCAGAAACTTTTAAATTTAAAAGTTGAACGTTTATTGAAAGACATGATTAAACTAATACGATTAAAGACTAAGAGTAAAGATACGTAGAAATGAAGGATATCGGTGAATATATTGTCAAAAGATAAAGCACCAACAGATTTTATAGGATTATCTTTAAGCCTGCTTTTATATAGTTTCTCTTCGAGCCATTCCAATTTAGTATAAAAGCAGTAGTAAATCCTAGCTTAATTACAAATCAACAACCTCAACTCAAACAACTGCGCACGACAACAGCTTCAACTTCACAAGTCAATGGCACAATCTGCGTACTTCGGTGGCGGTGGTGCAGCTGGTGGAGGCGGCGGTGGTGCATCTGTCTACATGGGAGCTGGAGCCGGCAGTCAGCAACCGGCAGCTGGAGGCGATTATGGAGCTGCTGGTGGAGGCAACGCGTCTGTCTACATGGGTGGTCCTGCTGGTGGAGGCGGAGGAGCCGGTCAACAAAGTGCCTACTTTGGTGGACCTGCTTCGGGAGGAGGTAAATAATTATTAATCCTAACTAATGACAATAATAAATAATTTATTTTTATTTAAGCTTCTGCTGTTGGTAGGTCTGCGGGTGGAGGAAGTGCTTTCGGAGGCGGCGGTGGAACCCAAACGGCTATGGTTGGAGGCGGCGGTGGCACTCAGACTGCAATGGGAGGATTTGGTGGCGGCACTCAGACAGCTCTCGGAGGGATGGGCGGCACCCAGACTGCGCTCGGTGGCATTGGAGGCACTCAAACTGCTCTCGTAGGGATGGGCGGCAGCCAGACAGCTCTCGGCGGGATGGGTGGAACCCAAACGGCGCTTGTTGGCTATGGCGGTGGAGGCACCCAAACTGCTCTTGGAGGCTTTGGTACGCAGACTGCTCTTGGTGGTTCTCCTCCTGCTGGAACGGCAACTGCTCTCGTTGGTGGAGGTGGTGGAACGCAGACTGCAATGGGAGGAGGATATGGAGGGACGGCAACAAGCTTGGGGAACGCTCCTGCGGCAGGTAGAAAATATTCTCTTTGTCATTTTAGCCATTAATCTTAATGTGTTAATTACAGGTACAATGACTGCTCTTGGTGGAGGAGGCGGCGGGACGATGACTGCTGCGGGTGGTGCTTCTCTTGCTGGTTCAAGTGAGTTAAAACTTAAATCCTAAACCATCATTAATTGAGCCTTTATTTTCATTTAAAGATGTTGGCGCTTCTTCGGCATATCTTGGAAGCCCTCAAACCGGTGGTGGCGTTGGTGCGCAATCTGTCTACATGGGTGGTCCTGCTGGTGGAGGCGGAGGAGCCGGTCAACAAAGTACTTCATCTTCACGTGAGTTGAACGGCTACACCCAATCTCAATTTAACTTTTAATTTTAAAGGTGATTCCCAGTCTTCTGTGTTTTTTGTGGGTCCTGGCACTGGTACAATCTACGAAGTAGGCGCTGAAGATGATACAAATAATGGGGCTTCTGTTGCTGCTTCAAGTAAGAAAATTTAATTGAATATAATCAATTGCATCTTTATTTTTATTTTAAGGTTTTGATGAGACGACTACAGAAACGACGGATACAATTTTGCTGGGCGGTGGTGGTGGTGGTGGCAATGGTGGACGAGAAAGAGAGGAAGATGAAGGCTGGGGTGACGATGAAGGCTGGCGAGAAGATGAAGGCCGCCTAGAAGATGAAGGGCGGCGAGAAGGTGGACGAAGGCGTGATGAATGGTGGAGGGCGGGGGATGAAATGGACAACACCCAGCCTTCCGCCGACACGGTCCATCCATCAATTCTTAATAATCGAGTGTAATGTACACTCGAGGTAGACGGATGGACTTGTCGGTGGAAGGGGGGTGGTGTTCATTTCCTCCCACGCCTTCCCCATTCTAGTTAGGGTTGCCGTTTTCGAGTCGGGCCGACGTTCGAGTCATTTTTTTCGGGCTTCATTTTTATCGAGTCGGGTCAAAAGAGTCTTTTTCGGGCCTCATTTTTATCGAGTCGGATCAAACGAGTCTTTTTTGTGCCAAATATTTTTTTGGCCATTTTGGCAACCCTAATTCTAGTGATTCTCTATTGTCCCCTATTGTGTTGTTGTTGCCCTTGTTGTGATTGTTGTAAATACCAACTTATTCTATTTTCTTCTCCTTTTCCTTTCTTTATTGACCTTTGTAAAATATCTGAATTTCCCCTATATTCTATTTACTCATTGTTGTATGTACATATATATTTTTGTTTGTTTTAAATGTATAAAATGTATAAAATTTGTGTGTTTGTAGAATTTTTTTTTGAACTAAGATTTGATTTTTAAATTAGGAGTTGTTCCAATCTGGGGTTGTGTCTTTAAGTTAGTTGTTTTTTGGTTGGAAGTTGTTTAGCAAAAACCGATTCCCTTTTTAAAAATTAAAAGTTTCGGTCTTGGCATTTTGTCGTTTAATTATCAAAATTTGATTTTTTTTCATTACACAAGCGAAACTCCTATTTTCAACCTTATCTAGCTTTTTAATTTGAACAAATTTTCTTCAAAACTAAGCTTACCTAAACTCCAAGGATCCCTCTCTACATCTAAAACAAGCCTTTTATAGGCACTTGCAGAGTTCCTCTTAAATAACGTTTCTTTCACAAAAAATAAAAACCTTTAAACTTTTTTCAAAACTTACTCAATTAAAATATCATAATTAAAAAAGATGTGAGAAAAAGGTAAAGAATGAATGAAAAAAAGGAAGAATTTACCATAAATAAAAATATGCGGGAAAAATATAGTAAGGTTAATATGGATTTTCAAAAACAAAAAAATATTTTAACTTTGGCAACTTGTCAAAAAAAATATAAAATGCCATCTCATAATGGTAATCTCCGCGGTAATTTAGTGGTGACTGATCATTTCGTCAATAATGAGTTCGTCAATGATATGTTCGTCAATGACTAGTTCGTCAATAAAATAGCGCCAAATTTAAATTGTCTCAGTTTGTCAACGCTAAAAACTTTTTAATAATGATAGTCGGATCCGAAAAAAGGCTGGATATCTGGAAATTTTCGGTTCGGATCCTAGAATCAGGAAAAATACTAATAATCTGGTTCTTTGACCTCCCAAACTTCATAAAATTTTCGCCTTCGACAAAAAATTTTTTTAATTACCAGACAAAAATAAAGAAATTTGCCTGGTAGTCCTCGAAATTTCTCAAAATTCTTACCTGCGGCCGCGTGTTTACAACTTTAAGGGGATGTTAATGTATTTGGATGTAATATCGGTGAATCAAGGATAATGGGATTTGAGGAGATACCCCCAGCTTTTAATCCACTAAACTTGAACATAAGAATATACCCGAAGTCTCAATTAAATCCCCATAGCCACTCATTTCTCAAATACAGGGTGCGGCAAAAGTTCCCGTACTTTTCTTAAGCATAAATTTTATTTCAATATTTAATTGCATTTTTATTAATTGCATTTAATCTCGAAATCATGAATCTAGAAAAACAATAGGGGACTAAGTAAGACGACTTTCCCTTACTAAGTAAGTTGACTGCTCGGCTGTCCCTTAAACCACTTGTTTCAAACTAGAATTCGAACTTTTCAAAAGGCCGGGCCCAGGACCCAGTTTTTTTTCTCAAAATCGCACCCGGACAAGTTTTTCCGGATAAAATCAGAAAAACCGGTTAGCCCGGAAAAACCGGATTTTTTTCATACCCGGGCCCGGACCCGGTTTTTTCTAAATTTATTAAAAACATAAAAAAATTATTACACATACAAAGGATTGGAAAACATATAAAGGATCGATTAAAGGATAGATGAATCAAAGGATAGATGTGCAAAGGATAGATAGCATGGTAGATAGCCTTTTTAGGCTAGATTTGGTGTTCTCATCTTAAACACGCGGTTTGGCCATCAGAGCCAGCCAATATCTGCTCATCAGCCAGCAGCACACGAATTCTTACCCCTGGGGAGTAAGTCAACATTTATCTTGGGTACACCCCAGTTTACCGCCGCCCAATTTACCGCGCCCAATTTACCGCGGGCCCAATTTACCGCGATCCCAATTTACCGCCGCCCAATTTACCGCGAGCCCAGTTTACCGCACGCCCATTTTACCGCCATTCTACAAATCAATAATATGTCTAACAAATATTCTGAATTAATTGAAACGAACTGAATTAAAAAACTAATTTGTAACTTTTAGTAATAAAATTCATAATGTACAACGGAATTTTGACGGAAAAGAACAGAGAAAAATTCTCACATGATGGCTATATTTATGTAATGGATAAGCCTAGTGCTGATGGTGAGAAAATTTTTTGGCGCTGTGACACACGTGGAACAACTGGATGTTCTGGACGCATCCACACAACATCTGATGAAGAACGTAGTTTTTTTTAAATTGGTCACCATGCATAGCTGTTCCGGATTAGGTGATCCAGCTAGAGTTGGTGTTCAAAAGGTTGATTTGAGTTGTATAAATTTTTCCTAAATTCCTTTCTCCAGGCAATGAGTATGATTCGTCAAAGAGGCGCCTCAACGATGGAAAAACCTGCTCAAATTCGTGCAGCAGCGGTTCAAAATTTGCCTTTAGCAATTATGGGTATTTTTTAAGTAAATAAAAATGTACAAAATAATTTTTAGGCCAAATGCCTACTAGCCGAAAACAAGTTCAACGTCAAAGAAGGAAAGAAAACAATGCGCTCGCCAGTCCACCTACACGTGCTGAAATTGTGTTTACAGAACGGTACATGAATCGTGAAGTAAGTTTGAGATTTTTTGTAAATTATTTTGTAAAAATCTTAAATAAAATTTCTAGTTCAACGGTCAGCAAGAACGTTTATTTCTCGGCGATAGTGGAGGTGAAGAACGAATTCTTGTTTTTGGGAGTGAGGAAAGTGCTGGTTGGTCAAATCAAATGGAGCATGTTTTTATGGACGGAACTTTTTCTGGTAATTTTATTAATTCTGCCCTAGATTTCTTTTTTTTCAGTCTGTCCTTCTTTATTTTATCAACTTTTTATAATTCTTTCGAAGCGTGGAGGCTTCGTCTTTCCGGTACTTTTTTGCCTGTTGCCTGACAAAACAGAGAAAACCTACACTCGACTTTTCAATTTCATCAAGGGATTGTGGCCATTATTTAATCCAACCTCAATATCATGTGACTTTGAGCGCGCAATCCATAATTCTATCCGAACTTCCTTCCCCGAATCTTCTATTTTTTGTTGTTTCTTCCATCCGCGTCAAAATCTAAGAAAGCATATATCTCAATCTCATCTTTTGAATCTCTATAATAATGACCCTGGCTTCGCTTTAAAATGTAAAATGATTATTGCCTTAGCTTTTGTTCCCGAAAACTATGTTATCAACGCACTTGATGTTTTATAAAATGAGTTAGATGATCGTTTTGAGCCTCTTATTTCCTGGTTTGTATCTACCTATATCGGCCGCATTCGCGGTAATGGTGCTCCTTTTATCTTCCTTTATCTTCTCACAAGCCAGCAGTTCATGTTTTTTTACTCCAAAACATAATAAAATAATTCTTCATCTACAACAAAATGATGTCTTCGTTTACTTGAAAATTCTCTGCTTTACTCCAAAACATAATAAAATAATTTTTCATCTACAACAACTTGATGTCTTCGTTTACTTGAAAATTCTCTGCTTTACTCCAAAACATAATAAAATAATTCTTCATCTACAACAACTTGATGTCTTCGTCTACTTGAAAATTCTCTGCTTTACTCCAAAACATAATAAAATAATTCTTCATCTACAACAACTTGATGTCTTCGTCTACTTGAAAATTCTCTGCTTTACTCCAAAACATAATAAAATAATTTTTCATCTACAACAACTTGATGTCTTCGTTTACTTGAAAATTCTCTGCTTTACTCCAAAACATAATAAAATAATTCTTCATCTACAACAACTTGATGTCTTCGTCTACTTGAAAATTCTCTGCTTTACTCCAAAACATAATAAAATAATTCTTCATCTACAACAACTTGATGTCTTCGTCTACTTGAAAATTCTCTGCTTTACTCCAAAACATAATAAAATAATTCTTCATCTACAACAACTTGATGTCTTCGTTTACTTGAAAATTCTCTGCTTTACTCCAAAACATAATAAAATAATTCTTCATCTACAACAACTTGATGTCTTCGTCTACTTGAAAATTCTCTGCTTTACTCCAAAACATAATAAAATAATTCTTCATCTACAACAACTTAATGTCTTCGTTTACTTGAAAATTCTCTGCTTTACTCCAAAACATAATAAAATAATTCTTCATCTACAACAAAATGATGTCTTCGTCTACTTGAAAATTCTCTGCTTTACTCCAAAACATAATAAAATAATTCTTCATCTACAACAACTTGATGTCTTCGTTTACTTGAAAATTCTCTGCTTTACTCCAAAACATAATAAAATAATTCTTCATCTACAACAACTTGATGTCTTCGTCTACTTGAAAATTCTCTGCTTTACTCCAAAACATAATAAAATAATTCTTCATCTACAACAACTTGATGTCTTAGTCTACTTGAAAATTCTCTGCTTTACTCCAAAACATAATAAAATAATTCTTCATCTACAACAACTTGATGTCTTCGTTTACTTGAAAATTCTCTGCTTTACTCCAAAACATAATAAAATAATTCTTCATCTACAACAACTTGATGTCTTCGTTTACTTGAAAATTCTCTGCTTTACTCCAAAACATAATAAAATAATTCTTCATCTACAACAACTTGATGTCTTCGTCTACTTGAAAATTCTCTGCTTTACTCCAAAACATAATAAAATAATTCTTCATCTACAACAACTTGATGTCTTCGTTTACTTGAAAATTCTCTGCTTTACTCCAAAACATAATAAAATAATTCTTCATCTACAACAACTTGATGTCTTCGTTTACTTGAAAATTCTCTGCTTTACTCCAAAACATAATAAAATAATTCTTCATCTACAACAACTTGATGTCTTCGTCTACTTGAAAATTCTCTGCTTTACTCCAAAACATAATAAAATAATTCTTCATCTACAACAACTTGATGTCTTCGTTTACTTGAAAATTCTCTGCTTTACTCCAAAACATAATAAAATAATTCTTCATCTACAACAACTTGATGTCTTCGTCTACTTGAAAATTCTCTGCTTTACTCCAAAACATAATAAAATAATTCTTCATCTACAACAACTTGATGTCTTCGTCTACTTGAAAATTCTCTGCTTTACTCCAAAACATAATAAAATAATTCTTCATCTACAACAACTTGATGTCTTCGTCTACTTGAAAATTCTCTGCTTTACTCCAAAACATAATAAAATAATTCTTCATCTACAACAACTTGATGTCTTCGTCTACTTGAAAATTCTCTGCTTTACTCCAAAACATAATAAAATAATTCTTCATCTACAACAACTTGATGTCTTCGTCTACTTGAAGATTCTCTGCTTTACTCCAAAACATAATAAAATAATTCTTCATCTACAACAACTTGATGTCTTCGTCTACTTGAAAATTCTCTGCTTTACTCCAAAACATAATAAAATAATTCTTCATCTACAACAACTTGATGTCTTCGTCTACTTGAAGATTCTCTGCTTTACTCCAAAACATAATAAAATAATTCTTCATCTACAACAACTTGATGTCTTCGTTTACTTGAAAATTCTCTGCTTTACTCCAAAACATAATAAAATAATTCTTCATCTACAACAACTTGATGTCTTCGTCTACTTGAAAATTCTCTGCTTTACTCCAAAACATAATAAAATAATTCTTCATCTACAACAACTTGATGTCTTCGTCTACTTGAAGATTCTCTGCTTTACTCCAAAACATAATAAAATAATTCTTCATCTACAACAACTTGATGTCTTCGTCTACTTGAAAATTCTCTGCTTTACTCCAAAACATAATAAAATAAATCTTCATCTACAACAACTTGATGTCTTCGTCTACTTGAAAATTCTCTGCTTTACTCCAAAACATAATAAAATAATTCTTCATCTACAACAACTTGATGTCTTCGTCTACTTGAAAATTCTCTGCTTTACTCCAAAACATAATAAAATAATTCTTCATCTACAACAACTTGATGTCTTCGTCTACTTGAAAATTCTCTGCTTTACTCCAAAACATAATAAAATAATTCTTCATCTACAACAACTTGATGTCTTCGTCTACTTGAAGATTCTCTGCTTTACTCCAAAACATAATAAAATAATTCTTCATCTACAACAACTTGATGTCTTCGTTTACTTGAAAATTCTCTGCTTTACTCCAAAACATAATAAAATAATTCTTCATCTACAACAACTTGATGTCTTCGTTTACTTGAAAATTCTCTGCTTTACTCCAAAACATAATAAAATAATTCTTCATCTACAACAACTTGATGTCTTCGTTTACTTGAAAATTCTCTGCTTTACTCCAAAACATAATAAAATAATTCTTCATCTACAACAACTTGATGTCTTCGTCTACTTGAAAATTCTCTGCTTTACTCCAAAACATAATAAAATAATTCTTCATCTACAACAACTTAATGTCTTCGTTTACTTGAAAATTCTCTGCTTTACTCCAAAACATAATAAAATAATTCTTCATCTACAACAACTTGATGTCTTCGTCTACTTGAAAATTCTCTGCTTTACTCCAAAACATAATAAAATAATTCTTCATCTACAACAACTTGATGTCTTCGTTTACTTGAAAATTCTCTGCTTTACTCCAAAACATAATAAAATAATTCTTCATCTACAACAACTTGATGTCTTCGTCTACTTGAAAATTCTCTGCTTTACTCCAAAACATAATAAAATAATTCTTCATCTACAACAACTTGATGTCTTCGTCTACTTGAAAATTCTCTGCTTTACTCCAAAACATAATAAAATAATTCTTCATCTACAACAACTTGATGTCTTCGTTTACTTGAAAATTCTCTGCTTTACTCCAAAACATAATAAAATAATTCTTCATCTACAACAACTTGATGTCTTCGTTTACTTGAAAATTCTCTGCTTTACTCCAAAACATAATAAAATAATTCTTCATCTACAACAACTTGATGTCTTCGTCTACTTGAAAATTCTCTGCTTTACTCCAAAACATAATAAAATAATTCTTCATCTACAACAACTTGATGTCTTCGTTTACTTGAAAATTCTCTGCTTTACTCCAAAACATAATAAAATAATTCTTCATCTACAACAACTTGATGTCTTCGTTTACTTGAAAATTCTCTGCTTTACTCCAAAACATAATAAAATAATTCTTCATCTACAACAACTTGATGTCTTCGTCTACTTGAAAATTCTCTGCTTTACTCCAAAACATAATAAAATAATTCTTCATCTACAACAACTTGATGTCTTCGTTTACTTGAAAATTCTCTGCTTTACTCCAAAACATAATAAAATAATTCTTCATCTACAACAACTTGATGTCTTCGTCTACTTGAAAATTCTCTGCTTTACTCCAAAACATAATAAAATAATTCTTCATCTACAACAACTTGATGTCTTCGTCTACTTGAAAATTATCTGCTTTACTCCAAAACATAATAAAATAATTCTTCATCTACAACAACTTGATGTCTTCGTCTACTTAAAAATTCTCTGCTTTACTCCAAAACATAATAAAATAATTTTTCATCTACAACAACTTGATGTCTTCGTCTACTTGAAAATTCTCTGCTTTACTCCAAAACATAATAAAATAATTCTTCATCTACAACAACTTGATGTCTTCGTCTACTTGAAAATTCTCTGCTTTACTCCAAAACATAATAAAATAATTCTTCATCTACAACAACTTGATGTCTTCGTTTACTTGAAAATTCTCTGCTTTACTCCAAAACATAATAAAATAATTCTTCATCTACAACAACTTGATGTCTTCGTTTACTTGAAAATTCTCTGCTTTACTCCAAAACATAATAAAATAATTCTTCATCTACAACAACTTGATGTCTTCGTCTACTTGAAAATTCTCTGCTTTACTCCAAAACATAATAAAATAATTCTTCATCTACAACAACTTGATGTCTTCGTTTACTTGAAAATTCTCTGCTTTACTCCAAAACATAATAAAATAATTCTTCATCTACAACAACTTGATGTCTTCGTCTACTTGAAAATTCTCTGCTTTACTCCAAAACATAATAAAATAATTCTTCATCTACAACAACTTGATGTCTTCGTTTACTTGAAAATTCTCTGCTTTACTCCAAAACATAATAAAATAATTCTTCATCTACAACAACTTGATGTCTTCGTTTACTTGAAAATTCTCTGCTTTACTCCAAAACATAATAAAATAATTCTTCATCTACAACAACTTGATGTCTTCGTCTACTTGAAAATTCTCTGCTTTACTCCAAAACATAATAAAATAATTCTTCATCTACAACAACTTGATGTCTTCGTTTACTTGAAAATTCTCTGCTTTACTCCAAAACATAATAAAATAATTCTTCATCTACAACAACTTGATGTCTTCGTCTACTTGAAAATTCTCTGCTTTACTCCAAAACATAATAAAATAATTCTTCATCTACAACAACTTGATGTCTTCGTCTACTTGAAAATTATCTGCTTTACTCCAAAACATAATAAAATAATTCTTCATCTACAACAACTTGATGTCTTCGTCTACTTGAAAATTCTCTGCTTTACTCCAAAACATAATAAAATAATTCTTCATCTACAACAACTTGATGTCTTCGTTTACTTGAAAATTCTCTGCTTTACTCCAAAACATAATAAAATAATTCTTCATCTACAACAACTTGATGTCTTCGTCTACTTGAAAATTCTCTGCTTTACTCCAAAACATAATAAAATAATTCTTCATCTACAACAACTTGATGTCTTCGTTTACTTGAAAATTCTCTGCTTTACTCCAAAACATAATAAAATAATTCTTCATCTACAACAACTTGATGTCTTCGTCTACTTGAAAATTCTCTGCTTTACTCCAAAACATAATAAAATAATTCTTCATCTACAACAACTTGATGTCTTCGTCTACTTGAAAATTCTCTGCTTTACTCCAAAACATAATAAAATAATTCTTCATCTACAACAACTTGATGTCTTCGTTTACTTGAAAATTCTCTGCTTTACTCCAAAACATAATAAAATAATTCTTCATCTACAACAACTTGATGTCTTCGTTTACTTGAAAATTCTCTGCTTTACTCCAAAACATAATAAAATAATTCTTCATCTACAACAACTTGATGTCTTCGTCTACTTGAAAATTCTCTGCTTTACTCCAAAACATAATAAAATAATTCTTCATCTACAACAACTTGATGTCTTCGTTTACTTGAAAATTCTCTGCTTTACTCCAAAACATAATAAAATAATTCTTCATCTACAACAACTTGATGTCTTCGTCTACTTGAAAATTCTCTGCTTTACTCCAAAACATAATAAAATAATTCTTCATCTACAACAACTTGATGTCTTCGTCTACTTGAAAATTATCTGCTTTACTCCAAAACATAATAAAATAATTCTTCATCTACAACAACTTGATGTCTTCGTCTACTTAAAAATTCTCTGCTTTACTCCAAAACATAATAAAATAATTCTTCATCTACAACAACTTGATGTCTTCGTCTACTTGAAAATTCTCTGCTTTACTCCAAAACATAATAAAATAATTTTTCATCTACAACAACTTGATGTCTTCGTTTACTTGAAAATTCTCTGCTTTACTCCAAAACATAATAAAATAATTCTTCATCTACAACAACTTGATGTCTTCGTCTACTTGAAAATTCTCTGCTTTACTCCAAAACATAATAAAATAATTCTTCATCTACAACAACTTGATGTCTTCGTCTACTTGAAAATTCTCTGCTTTACTCCAAAACATAATAAAATAATTTTTCATCTACAACAACTTGATGTCTTCGTTTACTTGAAAATTCTCTGCTTTACTCCAAAACATAATAAAATAATTCTTCATCTACAACAACTTGATGTCTTCGTCTACTTGAAAATTCTCTGCTTTACTCCAAAACATAATAAAATAATTCTTCATCTACAACAACTTGATGTCTTCGTCTACTTGAAAATTCTCTGCTTTACTCCAAAACATAATAAAATAATTCTTCATCTACAACAACTTGATGTCTTCGTTTACTTGAAAATTCTCTGCTTTACTCCAAAACATAATAAAATAATTCTTCATCTACAACAACTTGATGTCTTCGTTTACTTGAAAATTCTCTGCTTTACTCCAAAACATAATAAAATAATTCTTCATCTACAACAACTTGATGTCTTCGTCTACTTGAAAATTCTCTGCTTTACTCCAAAACATAATAAAATAATTCTTCATCTACAACAACTTGATGTCTTCGTTTACTTGAAAATTCTCTGCTTTACTCCAAAACATAATAAAATAATTCTTCATCTACAACAACTTGATGTCTTCGTCTACTTGAAAATTCTCTGCTTTACTCCAAAACATAATAAAATAATTCTTCATCTACAACAACTTTTTTTTCTTCTTCTACTTGAAACTTCTCTGTATTCTTCCATCGTCTGCTTTGGAAAAAGTATGTATTTTAAAAAGGCTAAAAAAATTTTCAAAATAGAAAAGTAAAAAATTTAAAAAATAAGTAAAGTTTTCTGAGAACATTTAACTAATTAAAGCAAATTACCTATTTCAATTCAGTGGGTGACACGACTTGGGCACAGTGATCCATTTGCACAGTAAGACTTTTGCACAGAGGACAATTACACAGTGGACAATTGCACAGTAAAGTCTTGTTTATTCGCAAAACGACCTACCCATTTATTCGCAAAACGCCTGTTTAATCGCGAAACATTCCAAATAAACGCAAGACTCATTCACCTATAGGTCATAACTTCGTTCAGAATCATCCAATCAAGATGATTTTGGTGTCAGCCGACTCAACTCAAAAAGCTCTTTCGAATGAGCTATAATTTGCATCTTCGAATTTTTTACCCCAAAAAACCGCTTGGTTTACTCTATTGTTTTTCGATTTTCGGGAGCCTATATCTCTGCGAGTTTTCGTCTCCCGCGAACAACTTTTCCAACAACGGGAAAAATTGCTTATAGAACAGGGAAAATTGTTTTTGTTTAAGAAAAACCATTTTATTATTAAAAAACTTATCAGAAAGCCTAACACAAATGCACTTAACCACAAATTACTGTGCAATTGTCCACTGTGCAGATGCCCAATGTGCAATTGTCTTACTGTGCAAATGGATCACTGTGCCCGTGTCGGAGCGCCATTCAGTGTCAAGATCTTGATACCCGGCAAAGGGACACGGACACTTAGTCGCGGGCCACTTAGTCGCGACCACTTAGTCGCCAAGTGAGAAATGCCAAGTTTTGAAGACCAAATCCCAGATATCACATCCAAATCCCTCAATATTACCTTTGATTTAAGTTTTAAGCTACATACCTGAAAAAAAGAACCTTCGCGACAAAGTGGCCTGCGACTAAGTGGGCCGTACCCCCTGCAAAATTAACGTAGAATAAGGGTAAGCCTCTTTATAAAATATTTTAGACACGTTATGAGTTGCTTTGAAATTTGAATTTGACCTTATTCGAAAGCTTGAAATTTGCTACAAGATAGCAAAATCATTTTTAAACTCGAAAAATTGGGGTTGAGTTATAGTTATGAAGCAGAGCCTACAATTTGCTTTAATTTAAATGTTCTCAGAAACCTTGACTTATTTTTTAAATTTTCTTACTTTTCTATTTTGAAAAATTCTTTTAGCCTTTTTGAAATACATACTTTTTCCAATGTCAGACGATGAGGATTACATGTCTAGCACTTTTATGGAGAAAATGAATGACGTTAAACCAGGTTCGAAAATTTGATACTTTTCATACTTTGTTAATTTTTAGGTATTAATTCTTCCCGGATAGCCCAGCGTTCTTTAAAAATTCATGCAAATCGTCTAGCGGCAGAGGAAAGACAACAAAATGAAAAACCAAAAAATAGGGAGCAGATGGAGAAAAATAGAAGAGAAGAGGGTATATCCAAGCCCATTGGAAGTGACAGCAAAGGATTTAAATTGTTATCATTGATGGGTATTTTTTATTTTTTTGAAGATTTATACACTCGAACCTCACTTGTAGATTCCTTTTTTGAGGAAGGAACAAATGAGGGGTATAATGGGGCTATTTTAGTTAGGGGTATCGTTTAGGCAGATATCCCAACCCAGTGACCAGCCAAAGTTTTAAACAATGTATTTTGAACAGGGACTTTAGGCAGCTTCCCAAACCTAGTGACCAACCCAATAGTTTAACCCAGTTGCCAGCCAATGTTAAAAAAGGTATTTTGGGTGGAGACTTTTTTTTAAATAAAAAATCTTGAATTGTAATATGTGTGTGTATCAAATTTTATTAGAGACCAAACTGGGAGGATCGTACGAAAATCGAGATCTCGTCTCGGTCCGGTCTCTAAATTTTATGTGTATCCAAAAATGCTGTGAGATTCGGCTGTATTTTCAATTTTTAGCATTTTCATTTAAACATCTTTCAAAAATTTTCAGGTTATAAACCTGGAATGAGCCTTGGAATTAAACGAGAAGGTTAAAAATTTATTTTTAAAATAAAAGTGTTAAAAAATTAAATTTTTGAAGGAAGTCAAACAGAAGGAATAAAAGAACCCATATCAATTCAAGTCAAGGCAAATAGGAGCGGTGTAGGACACGAGGAAGAACAAACTGAAAAACAACGCCAAGTTTGTGAAGCTCATATGGAAAGGATGATGAAAAGGGCGAGAATGGAGGTTTGTGTGATTTTTGGGGAGAATATTTGGGTTGGATTTTAAATAAAGATCGGGTCGAGATGAAGTCCTTTAAATCCTTAACTCATCCTCATATCATGTTTCTAAATTTTCCCTTTGAAATAAGATTGGGTATGGATGCCACTCGTCCAAACCTATTTATTTTGAAATCTAACCTAGTAAAGATCGAGATTTTTGAGAAACCCTGGGCTCTGGGTTTGATTTATTGACTTGTGGCGGATCCTTGGCCTGTAATCCAAGAAAAACCCCAGGAAGGTCAAAAAATGCCTAGGCCTGGACTCGGTACAAGAAAAACCCAGGCCTTTGTTCAGACCCAGCTCGATCTCTAGTCGTTCGATTTAGCTTGTCGAGATCCTTTGTGTCATTATCCGTCTGAATTTGACTATATTCAAATTAATAATAGTATTTTTCTTTAAATTTTTAAACAATTTATTCCTTTAGGAATCCCTAGCTGTCGATTTTCGCAATAAAAAAAGAATGCTTGCGTTACAAAAACAAATAATTAGTGACATTCAACAGGCTAGAAGTGCGTGTCAACAAATGGATTTAAGGTTGATTTTTGTCTTTTTTTATTTTTTTAATTTTTAGTGCCGGAAAAGATGTTCCTGAACATTTTTGGTTTTGGCCAATTTACTCAACCAAACTCCCAGAAACAAGTGACAATGAAGATGATGACAATGAAAATAATTTTACTTATAACTACAGCAATGGTAGAGTGGCCCCCGTTGAAATAAATTTCAATGAGATGGATGAGGATGAATTGGATAATAGGTCATTTTATTTTTTAAAGGTTATGAAATAATTTTCGGGGAGGAATTTTATGAAATTTTTAAATATGAGAGAGACACAGATTGGTTGGGCCAGGGAACCGTGAGCCTAAGAAATGTAATTTAGTTCAAAATTACCGAATTTTGGACGTTCTAGTAGTTCGTAGTTATCGAGATTTTTGAAAAGTCTGGGCCAGTTCTCGGACTATGAAGTTTGAGGTATTGCCTAGGCCGGATCCCGGGTAGTTCAGAAAAAACCCAGGAATGTCAAAAAATGCCTGGGCCGATTCGATACGTTCGAGATTCGATATTCATGAACTAGGTTGATAACATAGACCGTGGTACATCTTGTTCTATCCAATCCTTCAAATTAAAAGAAATTTTTTACAACCTAAACTTTTTTTAAATTTTAGCCTATCTCACATAATTGGTTATCTGAGGAGAGAACACTTTTATTGTGTCTGGTGTGGCTGTGCCTATTCAGATTCTGATGATATTGAAAATGCCTGCCCTGGTTCTACAAGAAGTGCACATGATGAATAAATTGATTTTTAAATGGTTTTTTTATTAATTTTATTTCTTTATTTTTATTTTTTGTTTATAAATGTCTTTATAAATAAATAAAAATATTTTTCATTCTGAAGATATTGAATTATTTATTTTTGCTCGATCTAATATTTTTTAATATTTTAGACGATTATTTTAAAGTTTTCTAATTAATAGATTTTTAAGAATGCGTTCAAATAATCTTGGAAACGATAAAAAACGACAAGTCAAAGTTTTATGTTCTGGTGATGTCAATGGAAATTTTAAACAATTGATAGCACGCATTGCTTTGGTTAATCAAAAGGTTTTTTTGTTTTAGAATATTGGGGGAATTCAAGACTTATTAAAGTTGTCGTGATACTGCGTTTGGTATTTCGACGCTTTGGTTACTGCATCCCAAAATTGGTTGTTTTGTATGAGGCGTAGTGTGTTGATTAAGGTTGGAGGATAGTTGGAAATCCTCGGATATCCAGATACGAACCGGAAGTTTTCGGATATCCTGCCTTTTTTGGATCCGGATCCTCCAACCTTAGTATCGATGTTGTTTTAAGGGAGTCCTTTTTTCGATTCTAGCGCTTTTTTTAATAGATCAATTTTTAATAGCTTATTGTTAGATTTTTAATTTTAAGTCTACAAAAAAAATATTTTTTAGAAAAAATTATTTCTTTCAAAAAAATTTTTTATTAAGGCAGGCCCATTCGATATTCTCTTCTGTGTCGGTGAATTTTTTGGTCCAGACAATGACGAGAACGAAAAAGTAATTAATGGAGAAATTGATTTCCCCGTTCCAACTTATATCCTTGGCCCATGCTGTCCTTCTACTTCAACATATTATCCAGCTGAAAGTGTTGAGTTTTCACAATCTCTTACTTATCTTGGGAAGAAAGGGACATTAATGACGGCGAATGGATTATTAATTGGTTACTTTTCGGGAATTGAAGCACCGGCTATGTCTACACAGGTTTGTTTCTTTAAGATTTTTTGAGTTTAGACTTGTCTTTTTTAGTAAGGCCTCTCCTATTTTGTTTACTTTGGGTTTCACTATAAGATACTTCCTTGGGGCTGAAAAAATCTTATTTCATGATAGGTTAACTGAAAATAATATTGTTTATTAGCCGTAAAGCGTTTAAGCCTTAAGTTATGAGTCTTGGACATCTTTATTAGTCAGCTTTTCCATCCAGTGGTCAACCAAATTTAAAAAATCGTATTTTAAATTGGGGAAGTATATGATCCAGAGATGTTTCGAAACATTCGAAAATCGAAATAAATTCAAAAATATCGAAATCGAAATTTTGAAACAACTCTGATCTGAACTTGGGTAATCTCATAGTTTTTTTGGTTGTATTAAACTCTAATTTTTCCATTTTTAAAGACTTTACCCTTCCAATTTGATTCACGTTCAATAGACGATCTTCTAACTCCACTTGCTGCAAGTTCAGGTTTTATGGGAGTTGATATCCTCCTTACATCAATTTGGCCTGCCAATGTTTGGTTACACTCAACAAATCAACCATCTATTGAACCTTCGAATACGTCTAAACTTTTGGCTAGATTAGCTTCTGGATTGAGACCTCGTTATCATTTTGCTGGTCAAGGAATTCATTATGAGCGTTCACCTTATAGGTTTTTTTTATTAATTTTCTTTAAAAATTTTTTGAAAATTTTCAAAAAATTTTCAAAAAAAATTTTAGAAAAATTCAAAAAAAGTTTCAAAAAAAATTTTTTTTTAATTTTTCAGAAATTTTTCAAAAATTTTCAAAAAAAATTTTAGAAAAATTTTTTTTGAAAAATTCCAATAAATTTAAAAAAAATTTCTAAAAAAAATTTTTTTTTAATTTTTTTGATTTTCAAAATAATTTCCAAGGAATCACCGAGTTTTATTGGAACCAGCCCAACACGTTACTCGATTTATTGGACTAGCTTCAGTTAATAACACAAATAAACAAAAATGGTTATATGCATTTTCATGTACTCCAATGAGAGAATTATCAAGAGATGAATTGGTAACACAACCAGATAATTCGACAGAGTTCCCGTATATGGAGATACTTAAGGTACTGATTTTTTCAGGAAGTTTAAAAAATTCTGATTTTTTCTAAATTCTGATTTTTAAAAAATTCTGATTTTTAAGAAAAATTCTGATTTTTACAAAAATTCTGATTTTTAAAAAATTCTGATTTTTCAAAAAAAATTCTGATTTTCTTATAAATTCTGATTTTCTTCTGAAAAATTCTGAATTCTGATTTTTAAAAAATATTCTGATTTTTTTTAAATTCTGATTTTTCATTAAGATTTATTTTCTTCAGGAATATTTACACAACAAAGCAATCGAAGACGAAAAGCGTCGAAGGGAAGAAGGAAATTCTGTTCAATATAGATTTGATAATAATAATTATGAAGATGAAGAACATCAAGAAGAATTTCAAGGAAGAAGAAAAGGGAAAAGAAGAGGGGGAGAAAATTATAATGAAAAAAGGCCTAAAATCGACCCTTCAACATGCTGGTTTTGCCTTTCAAATATCGATGCTGAAAAACATTTAATTGTTTCTGTTGGTACTAATTGTTATACAGCAATGCCTAAAGGTTTTTTATTAAATTTAAGAAAAGTTAATTTGAAAAAAATTTTTTTTAATTGAAGGGCCGTTAATGGAGAGACATTTGCTTGTTATGAGTATAGGTGATGTTTGTTTTAAATTAAAATTATAAAAGTGTTAGGGAATGTTTATACGTTCAAATGAAATTCTGATTTGTTTTCGGAAAATGTTCAAATAAAATTCTGATTTTTATTTAGATGTTCAATTAAATTCTGAATTTTTTTGTTTGAGATGTTTGAATAAAATTCTGATTTTTTATTTAAATGTTCAAATAAAATTCCAAATTTTTTATTGTGATGTTTAGATAAAATTCTGATTTTTATTGAGATGTTTGAATAAAATTCTGAATTTTTATTTTGATGTTTAAATTAAATTATGATTTTGTTTTTACAATGTTGGGAATAAATTCTGATTTAATTTCTCATAGTTTCTGATAAATTCTGATTTAAAAAAAAGTTTGACAAAAATTCTGAATTATTTTAAAGAAAAGTTTAAATAAAATTCTGATTTTATTATTTTTTAGGACATATTCAATCATTGGTTGTTGCACCAGCCGAAGTTCGTGATGAAGTTAATAAATTTAAAGATGCTTACTGGTATATATTTATTTTTGTATTTATATTTATTTTTTACTAGTTTATTCTCTGATAGAAATAATGAAGTTGTTTGTGTTTTTGAAAGAAATTACAAAACTGAAGTGAGTATTTTTTTAATTTAAAATACAAGCAAGTTGAAGCTTTAATAATAAATCAGAATTTTATCTGAACATTATATAATATAAATCAGAATTTTATTTAAACGGTAAAATTCTGGTTTAATTTAAAAATGTTTTGATAGAATTCTGATTTATTTCCCACAATGTTGAAATTAAATTCTGACATTTTGTGAAGAAATAAAATCAGAATTTAATTTAAACATGTTTAAAATTGATCAGAATTTTATTCTAACATTTTTAAATTAACAATAAACCAGAATTTCATCAAAACATTGTAAGAAATAAAACCAGAATTTTATTTAAACATTTTTAAATAAAATCAGAATTTCATCAGAACATTACGGAAGATATACTGTTGTTTGTTTAATGTTAGAAGAGATTAAATCAGAATTTAATCTCAACATTTTTAAACTAAACCAGAATTTTATTTAAACATTTGCTTTAAATAAAATCAGAATTTAATTCAAACATTTTTTAAGCATATGCAAATACAATTTGTACCAATTCCGAAATCAAAAGCAAAATCATTAAAAAGTACATTTTTGAATGCTGCTCAATTAAAAAATATTGAATTTTGTATTTTGGGAGAAAATGAACAGGTTTTTAATTTTTAAGTTATTTTTTAGTTTTCTTATTTTTAAAGGTTTGGGATTTATTAAATGAAGGATCTCCATATTTTTACGTTGAATTGCCTGACGGGACAAAAATGTTGAGTAGAACAATGTCTCGTTTTCCGTTACAATTTGGACGAGAGGTTATTTTTTAATTTTTTTTCTTCTTAATTTTTGTCGTTTTTAAATAGGTTCTAGAGATTGGCCTGGGTCTGGACCAAGGCCTGGGTTTTTCCTGTACCAAAAATCCAGGCCCAGGCATTTTTTTGACCTTCCTGGGTTTTCTTGGTCTACAGGCCCAGGATCTGGCCCAGGCTTTTCAAAAATACCTTCTTTATTTAGGTTCTCGCTTCAAAAGCCCTACTAGACTGCGAGGATCACATCGATTGGCGTAACTGTTCGCTGGAAAAAGACAAAGAAGTTGAGCTTGTAAACAAATTAAAAAATGGGTTTAAACCGTTTGATTTTACTAATACTGAAGATTCTGATGAGGATGATTGAGAAGGTTAAATTAAAATATTTTTTGAAGGTTTTTATTTATTTTTAAATTTTTTATTTTTTCAATTGTTGATTATTTTCCTTTATGTTAACAGGGGTCCGCAAGTTTTATCTGCAAGAAAAATTCTTTACAGAATTTATTTCCGAAATCCCAGTGAAACTCACTCAACATAATTTTAAGGTAGAATTAATTATCCATGAGGGTAGAGGTTCAAGACCAAGACCTTTCGAAGACCAAGAGTCTTGGACGTTTCTAATAAACAAGTTTGTCCTGAGGATATTACTTGCTGACCCTTAATAATTCCAGATATAAAATTATTTTAACACAATAAAAAAATTTTTTCAATTTATCAATTATAAATTAGGAAACTAGAATATCTTCACAAAATTCCTTAGATAATTTAAGTTTAGAAAATTAAATTTCGGCACTATATGAAAGGAGGTCGATAATCGTTTTTTTTCATAACTTTTTTCTATTACTTTTTTCCTTCCTTAATTATAAATAATGGTCAGTCTTTTCTTCCTCGTTCAATTCCACTCTTTTTACCTGTGGCATATTCAAATGAGGACAGACAAAAACACACACACACGGACAGACAAAACACGAGTGTTTTCTGTCCGAGTCTGTCTGTGTTTGTCTGTCCGAGTACGTCCGAGTTTTGTCCGTCTGTGTCCGTCCGTGTTTGACTGTCCGAGTCCGTCCGTCTTTTGTCCGTCTGTGTCCGTCCGTTTTTGTCTGTCCGAGTCCGTCCGTCTTTTGTCCGTCTGTGTCCGTCCGTGTTTGTCTGTCCGAGTCCGTCCGTTTTTGTCTGTCCGAGTACGTCCGAGTTTTGTCTGTCTGTGTGTCGACACAAAAAGAAAACAGGAGACCCTTGAAAGTATTAATTGCCTGTATTGAGTCATTCTCCTTTCCATTAATTCTTTTCTCTATCATTTCTTTTGATTATGCCACAGGGAATATAATGGAATAGAACAAGGAGGAAAATGCTGACCATTCTGTCATATCAAGGAAGGAAAAAACTAATGGAAAAAAGTAATAAAAAAAACGATTATCGACCTCCTTTCATATAGTGCCACACAATGCCAAGTGACAATAAACCTAATGTCATCTTTATTGGAGGGCCAATGGGGAGTGGAAAAACTACATTTGCTAGGCAACTCGCAGATATTTATGGATACGAGTTTGTGGAAGGGGATGATTTCCATTCTGATGAAATGAAGCAAAAAATGGCTTCGGGGATTCCGTTGACAGGTTTAATTTGTAAAACAACTTTTAAGAAAAAATTTTTTAGATGAGGATAGACGTCCCTGGTTGCTGTCTTTAGCCGCACTTTGGCAAAACAATAAAGAAAGGAAGATGATTATTGCTTGTTCGGCTCTTAAAAAGTCTTATCGGTTAATTTTTAAAAATTAGGGAAAAAAATTTTTTTTAGGGACATACTTTTGGGTAGCAACGACGAGGCAACACAACACAAGGTCAAAATAATTTTGCTGAAAGTTAGCGAAGACAATTTGCGTAGCCGGTTAGCTAAAAGGTTAAAAGAAGATCCGAAACATTTTGCACCTCCGAGCCTACTGCAGTCGCAGTTGGAGGCGTTCGAGGTATTTTTTTATTTTTTGTGGGATAAATTGCTTGGGTTCATCCGGTCAGTTAATTTTAAAAAATCCTCAAAAAATTCCAAGTTACCAGTAAATGAACCAAATGTATATATAATGGAAAATAATGAGGATAGCTATGGACCTGCCATGGACTTATTTAATAATCTTTGTTAATTTTTTAGACTACTTGATTTTTAAAAATGTTTTAGGAATCACAGTTAAAAATTTAATATTTAAATAATTAAACTATACATATTTAGGAGAGAATAACGAGTGGTTCTAGGAATAATTTTTGAAGTTCCTTCTCTAAAAATTTTTTTGTTGATTCAATTCCGGATAATCCAAAGACTTTCTAGGAACCGATAACCCTATTTTTTAAACTAACATTTTACGAAATTTTTTTATATTTTTTAACAATTTTTTGGGGAAGTTTAGACCCTTTTTTCTAGTAAAACCACTCAATTAAAAAATACAAAAAAATTTTTGTTGATGCATCAGAGACCGTGCCTACATAGAAAATAATTAGATTCCTGATCCTTAACAAAAAAAAACGGCGGGGATTCCCAATCTTTTTTTTCCATTTTCGGGAATCGGGACGTTCCCTGATGTACATAATATTCTACAATGATTTAATTAAAAAACAAAATCAAAAATTAAATTACAAATAAAGCATTAAAATAATATTTTTTGTCAAAAATTAAATATTTAAAACCCCTAAAATTTACTTTTAAAATATGTATAATTTATTTTTCCTTTTTCTCTCCATCACTCAATTCTTTTCCTCCTCCAACACCAAAAATGGGAACCTTCCAAGTTTTGGGTGGGTAAATAATATAAAGTGATAATGTTGCGATATTTAAAGCTAACCCTGCTGCATTGGCTATCTTTAAGGGAAAATTTTGTAAGGAAGGAAGGAAATTTTTTTTGGTAATTTCTTTGAAGAAAAATCAAAAATAATCTAGAAACCATGAAAATCGTCCAAAAAATTTTAAAAAATAAATTTAGAGTTACAAAAAATCAAATTTTTTGGAACTTTAAAGGTATGTATTTTATGGTTTTAAAAAAATGGTCTGTAAAAAATTAATTTTCCAGGTCAAATTTTTTTGGGAATTTTTTTAGAGTTTTTGGGATAAAATGGACTTGAAAAGGCCAAAAAAATTGGAAATTAATTCTTCAAAAAATTTTTAAGAAAACTAACTAACCATCATATAAGGATTTCCAACAATAAACCCAAAAATAGTCCATTGTAATGTTAACGCAAAAAATCCAAATTGAATTTGAGCAGGGATATATTCGGTTGTTTTTAATTGAATTGCCCTTCTCTAGGAAATTTTTTAAAATTAAAAAAAAAATTATTTTTAAAAAATATAAACCAAGTCATATACTCCACCAGCCATTGATGCAATTTGTGTAAAGGCAGCGATTGCACCTAAAATAAATTTTTAAAAATTTTTTGGGGGTAAATGACGTGAAAAAAATTTTTCAAAAAATTTCCGTGTTTTTTGAAAATTTTCAAAAAATCCGAAACTTCGAAAAAAAATTTTAACGAAAAAAAATCCCGAAATTTCGTAAAAAAATTTTTTCGAAAAAAAAATCCAAAATTTCGTAAAAAAATTTTTGGAAAAAATTTCAAAAATTTTCGTAATTTTTTGAAAAATTTTCGAAAAAAATCCGAAATTTCGTAAAAAATTTTTTTCGAAAAAAATACCGAAATTTCGTAAAAAAATTTTTTCGAAAAAAATACCGAAATTTCGTAAAAAAATTTTTTCGAAAAAAATACCGAAATTTCGCAAAAAATTTTTTTCGAAAATTTTTTTAAATCCAGATTAATATCGGAAAATAAATTTTAAAAATTAAAAAAAAACCCATTAAATCAGCCTGTTTATCTTCAGGTGTTTTATTTACATATTGAAATATAGCAGCAACCATTAAACCAACTGCTGACAATTGACCATACAAATATTTCTTTAAATAAAAAATTAAAAAAATTTTATGAGAGAAAAAATATTTTAACAGAATTTCTAAAAATTAATTTTAAAAATAAAAAATTGTGCTTAATCCACGGCAATTTAAAATAGGCAAAGGTGAGGTTTTTTTCTCGCTTTCAGTGAGGTACTGGTACGTGTGGCTAAGTTGGTTAGTGTGCCTATTTTGTTAAATTAACAGAAAATTTTTCCTCTAAAATAAATTCTATCTTTTTTTGTCTCCCAAAAATTAATTTTTAAAAATTTTTTTTCTTTTAAAAAATTAATTTTTTTAATAAAAAATATTCCCTAACCGAGGTCTTTTATTTTTTAAAAATTAAAAAAAATTAAAAAGAAACCCTTTTAGGCTGATAAAACCAAAAAGCAGCAATATAAAACGAAAAGAAGAACAAATTGACTCCATTCAAAAACATATTAGTTTTGTCCTGAGTAATAATTCCGTGTTTAAACCAGCAACACATCATTAAAAGGGGAAGGACATAACTGAGGGAAGAAAAGCCTTCTGCTGTTCCTCGTTTATGCCAATCCATTACAACAAATCTGGAAAATTAAGAAAATTTTTTTACTTAAAAGTTCTTGGGGAGAAGGGTGTTTAAAAAAATTTTTGAAAATTTTTTGAAAAATTTGGAAAAAATTACAAAAAAAATTTTTTTTTAATAAAAAGTTCTTGGGGTAAAATGGCTTTGAAAATTCTTTAAAAAATTTGGAAATTATTAAAAATTTTTGAAAAAAATTTTTTGCAAAATTTCTAAAAATTTTTAAAAAATTGGGATAAAATGTCATTTTTAATTAAAAAAAATTTTTTTAATTTTAGAAATTGTTTTGAAATTTTTCACTTGAAACTTTTTTAGAAAATTTTAAAGAAAAATAAATTAATTAAAAAAAAACTCACAACGGCAAAAAAGTAAAGCATATTGAGAAAAAGGTTAACCAAATAGTAAATATATCTAACGGCTCCATATTTCAACTTTTCTTCTAAATAAAATTTAATTTAATTTAAATCCTCACATTTTTAAATAAATTAAAGAATAAGGGGAATTTAAGGAAAGTTTTCCTGACGTTTTATTTCAAAATTTTCTTGGGCAAAATTAATCTTAAAAAATTTTTCTCTGTCACTCTCCTATTTTTACACACTATTTCCCTTTAAATAATAATTGGGATAAAATGTCATTTTTAATTAAAATAAAAAGGGACACTAGAGTATAGGGAATGTTTTGAATTTTGTGGGCTTCTTTTTGGTGTTCTTGTTTTTTTCTTGTGTTGTTCGGCTTTTTTGTAGTTTAAATTTGGGCATTTAATAGGTAAGGGAACCTTCTATAGCTATTAAAGTTTGGGGGTAGATTTTAGGGAAGGCTTTAAATTTAATTTAAAAAATTGGGGAAGGAATCTATCTAACAAGAAAACGCTTTTAGATTAAATCTCTCTCAAAAATCAATAAAAAGAACACACACGTCTATAGTATATACGTCTAGACATTTTTAATTTAAAATTTGGATAAAAAAATATTTTTTTTTGGATTTTTTGGGCATTAAAAAGGACATTTTTTAGGAGAGAAAAACCTTTCTGTTGGTTGTGCTTGTGTGTGTGATTTTTAATTTTATTTAAAAAACAAGATTTTTCGAATGTCTTTTTTGTTAAAAAATTTAATTGATAGAGAGTTAAAAATTGAATTTTAAATTGAAAAATGAAAGAGACTAATTTTTACTCAATCTTCCAGTCAAGTTCCCTCCCCCTAAAAATAAAGGGGAGAGACATAATTGAGTAAAAAATTTTTTTATAAATTTGTTGTTTAGTGATGTTTGCCTTTATATAAATTCTTTTAAAAAAATTTTAAACATTTGTTGTTTGTATTTGATAAAAGAATCAAAGTAAGAAAAGTGATGTGGGTAGTTAGAAGGATAAAAAAATTGGTGGGAAGGGAGAGGGAAGTTAAAAAGGAGGGGAACTTGAAGAAGGGGAATAGGAGGGGGGGGGAGGAAATTGGGGAGACTTTGGTATTTTTGTGTGATAAGAAAAGTGGAAGAAAAAGGAATTTATAGGTTGTGAATATTGTTAAAAAGATAAGAGAAGTCAATTAGAAAAATAAAAATTTAAGAAAAAAAATTTGTGGGTGGAGGGGCTAGGGGTACAGCCCGAAATGTCGCGGGCCAAAATGTCGCGGCCGAAATGTCGCGGGCCAAAATGTCGCGAGGCCGAAATGTCGCCGGCCGAATTGTCGCCAAGCTTTTTAATTAAATATTCTGTAAAATAATTACAAAACAAAAGTGCATTGCGCAAAATAATAAAAAAAAGAAATCAACAACAAAATGCTCCTTCAAATCCTGAAGAGAGATCGATTCTGATAATCCCGGCCAAATACAGACATTATCAATTTTGAATGCCAGGAATTCATGAATGTCTGGAGTTTTCGAACAGTTTCTTTTGGCAGAAGTGGAAAAGGAGATGATCGTATTCTGGTCTTTTGTCGTGAAACTTTTCAGGGTTTTTTAATTTTACTTTTTCTTATTTATCTAGGAAAAGGCGAACAAGGAAAAGGCGAAAATATGAAGAAAAGCTTGGCGACAATTCGGCCGGCGACATTTCGGCCTCGCGACATTTTGGCCCGCGACATTTCGGCCGCGACATTTCGGCCGCGACATTTTGGCCCGCGACATTTCGGGCGTGTCCCAGGGGCTAGGCTACTTGAAAAGCTAACCTATTTTGTGAAGAAATAGTGTGTTATAGTGAGAGACGGTTAGAGAAAAAAAGGAAAAATTTTTTTTAATTTTGTAGGGGTTCTTAGATGACCTTGTAGGGGTTCTAGTTAATTTAAAAAAAAAATAAAAAAATTTTTGGGTGGGACTTTAATGTCATGCTGAGTTGTGAAGAAATAGTGTGTTAAAATGAGAGACGGTCAGAGAAAAAGAGAAAAAGTTTTTTAATTTGTGGGGTTTCGAGCTGAATGAATTTTAATAATTTTTTGGCTGTTTTTATTTAATATTTTTGATGTTTAATTTTTTAGATAAACTAGATAAAAAAATTAAATAAAAAATGCAACAATCTTCACTTAATCTTTATTTTTCATCTCCGCGTGCTTCAACAATTTCTGCTAATGCTTTAAGCGAAAATAAATTGCGTCGAGCAAAATCAACGCCTAGAGGGAACAGAAAGGTGTCCTCAATGCTTAAATCTATTGAAAATGCGAAACAAACAATTCTGGATGTTGGGCAAAAGGGGATTGGAATGGAGCATTGTGTGAAGGTTTGGGGGGTTTTGTGGGGGATATTTTGTCATCTTCGACTTTTTTGGTTTAGAAATACATTTATTGTCAATTACTGAATTTTTGGGGTCCGGAAAGCTGATAGAAATGAAACTGAGTATCGAGAAGTTTCAAAATTAGGTGAGGAGGACATTTGGTCCCACAAAAATAACGTCCAAATTTTCTGCTTATTCTTGTCATCTTCGACTTTTTTGGTTTGTTGGGAAAGCTAGTAGAAATGAAATTGGGTATAAAGAAGGTTCAAAATTAGAAAAGGGTGACAATTGGTCCCACAAAAATAACTTACAAATTTTCGGCTTATTTTTGATTTTTGCTTCAAATATACTTTTTATTTTTATTTCCTGAATTTTCTAGACTGGGAGAGTTGTTAGATTTTGAATTTCACGAAAAAACTTTCAAAATTTGTGGTAGGTGACACTTGGTCCCACAAAAATTTATTTTTAAAATTTTATTTTTTAAAATTTATTTTGCAGTGTGGAATGGTATACAGCTTGGAAACTCCATCAGATGTCAAACAACACGAACGCTTCCATAATCGATTTACTGAAACTGCCAATTTCAGAGTTTCACAGACTCAAATTGAACAGTGGAAGAGGTTTATTTTTTTTTGATTTTTTTTTAAAAATTAACAGCGTGCTTCAATATGAAAACGTGGAGTCACCACTTCCTGGTATTCTATTTGGTGTGCGATCAACTTCTACGGCTACACTTAAACGAAAATTGGAGACAATAATTACCGTTAGTTTACGTGGCTTTTCTTGTGTTTAGTTGTTTTTGAATTTGATATAAACGTTATTTTTTGGTTTCCGATATAGTCAGTTTGTGGTGTGGTGGCTAGTGTGTTTGACTCGTTAGGCGAAGGGCGTAGGTTCGACCCCCGGCCATGCGATCTTTTTTGTATCGACTTTCTTTGGGCTAGATTTTAACTATTTTGCTTCCTTTCAATTTTAAATTTTTTTTAGAATTTTGTAAACACTGAAATTGGTTATGCACCAGATTTACCAGTTTGGGATGCTCACGGAAAGCGTAAAGGTTTCGTTTTTGTTAGCAATTCAAAGCCGCCGTTTGTTGGAGGTTTGTTGCTGGTTGATCCTGTTACTGAAGTTATTTTGATGCCTGAAGGGAAGGTTTATTTTTTAATTTTTTGAATTTTTTAAAATTTAATTCTAAAGCGTTTCAAATCAATCAAAATCGGTTCAATCCTCGGCGTTGACAGAATTTGGGTTCATTCCCATTTAAGAAGGAAGGGACTTGCTACTTGGCTTTTGGATGCGGCCAGACGCCTTCTGTCTCCTAAAGATGGTGACTTACTCAAGAGATCGAGAGTGGCTTTTGGGGATCCGAACGAGTTGTGTGTTAAATTGGCGATTAATTATGTTGAAGAAAACAAAGGTTTTTAAAATTTATAATTTTATTTTTTTCTCCGTTCCTCTAGAAGGGAACTCTGGTCTATTTTTATGGTTCCTCTATAGGGAATTTTAGGGCTATTTTTGGAAAAATAAGAGCGCCATCGTCTTTTCTCGATAATTAACCCAGTCGGCCCGTAACCAAGGGGATTTTTGATGCTCCAAAAATTCGGCGCAGAAAAATTTCCCTCCTTGCCCCTCCCCTCCGAAAAAATCCTGGTTACGGGCCTGAACCCTGTTTCCTATTACTTTTCAACTTATGATGGTCTTCATGATGTGAGAGTTTAGTTATTTTTAAAAGCGTTGGCGCCCTTTATTTTTGGCTGCAGTTTTTGATTTGGGATGGGGAATTTCTCCCATACACCTAGGGAAATTTTTACTTTTATTTTTGGATTTTGAATTTTTATAAATTTTAATATGTTCATTTATAGACAAAAATTCTCCCAATACTACTTCTCCAAGACAGCATAATCGTTACATTGCTTATTCACATACTTAATTATATTTATTGATAAATGGTTGCTGTTTTGGCTATCAAAATTTTACTGCTTAATTTATTTTAATTAATTTATTTTTTCTTTTTATTTTAAAATTTGTTGGAGCAATTATAGACATTTGCGGACATTCTGCTAATAAAAATATAAATTATTTTGGGTCTATTAAAAAATAAAAAATGCTTAAACTTTCCTGTTTTTCTCCAAAAGTAATTCTCCTCTTTGATTTTTATAAATCGAAAAAAAAATTTTTTTCGAAAGCTACTTGGTCCACAAATGTCTTGTTGATCTTATAAATTTATTTTTTGTTGTTTTTTTTTGTTTTATTTTGAATATAAAAATGCTCAGGAATTTTTCTTATTTATTTTTGCTAGTTTATTTGTATTTTTTCAACTTAAAATTATTTTTTTTTAATTTTAAATTAATTTTAAGAATTTTTTAAATTTTATTTTTGTAATTAAAGAAAGAAAAAGAATAGATTCTTGCCTGACGACAAATTAATTATTAAAACAACAAAACTTAATTTAATTCAAGGATCAAATGTCACTTCAAAGCCCAACATCACTTACGCCGACAACAATGTCTTCGTCTACATGTTCAAATTTTACAATTAACAGGTTGGTTTTTTATATTTTTTTAAATTTTTTCTTATATTTTAAAAATTATTTTACGAAAAATAAGACTAGCAAAGCTAGAGGGGTCGTGGGTTCGAGTCCGTTTGGCGCCCGATTTTATTTCTAATTTTTTTGGGTTTAAAATTTTTAAAATTTTATTTTTCTTTAATATGTATATTTTCTGATTTAAATAAAAATTGTTTGCGCACTTTTTAAAAATACTGGGCGCCAACCGGACTCGAACCCGCGACCCAACTAAAATTGCCAACTAAATTTTTTGATTTTTTTAAATACATCTTACTTTTTTAAATCAAAATATCATTTTATAAAAAATATATTATTTATATTCACAATTTTTTAAAATTTTAATCAGCTCATATTTAAATTTATTTTTAAAATTTTTTTCTCTTCACCAACCAGTCCTTTGATATGTTTATTTTTGATTTGTCTGAAAATTTTTTAAAAATTTTTTTACCATTTTCTTTCCAATTTTTTTATTTTTTTATTATTTTTTTGGTACTACTCCGTTATCCCAACGTGTTTTTGCGGACATTTTCCTTTCTGAATTACACTATTTCGCTGTAATGGTCCTGTATTGTGCGTGCTACGTACCAGAGGTGGGTCGGAATTCCGATTCCCGATTTCCGAAAAAAAATTTTGATTTCCGAGTTCCGACTTTTGAGCCATTTCCGATTTCCGACAGTTCCGATTTCCGACACCTCTGACTGTTCCGACCCACCTCTGCTACGTACGATTTGGAAAAAGAAATGTCTTCAAAAAATGGTTGCAAGAAAAGTCCGCAAAAACACGTAGGGATAACGGAGCAGTATCTTATTTTTTCCTTTTTATTTTTTTATTTGTTCCCTTTCTAAAAATGTACTGAACGTTAACCCGGTAAAAGCAAATTTTCACCACCTTATAATTAGAATGTATTTTTAAAAACCTTTTTATTAAAGGGACTAGCAAATGGGTTAGCTGCCAATTTATTTTCTTCTAAACTTGTAGTTGTTGAAGTTTTTGAATATTTTCTTTTATTGTTGTTATCCTCTTGTAGATTTTTTGGTGGTTTTGATGGGGGTGTTTCTTGTTCATTTTCCCCCATTTTATTTATTTTTCTTTTAGCAACACGTTGTTCAATATAAGTAAGCAAATAGGTACTTCCCTTTTAAATTTATAAAATATTTTTAATTTTCTTGTATTTTTTAAAATCGGATTTTTAAAATCGAACGGTCTCTGACTTTTCTCGCTGCCTTTTGAACCCTTCCTTGCCTATTATCTGCCTGCCCAAAAAGCCTATTTTTTGAACCCTAAAATATTTATTTCAAGTAGTCCACCTAGGATTTTTTAAAATTATTCTAGACGGTCCATATCAAGAATTAAATTTAAGATTCTATGTATTCACAATTGAAAAAATGTTGGGAATTCCCTGTTTTTTGGTATTTTTGGAAATAAGGACGTTTGGATAATTGACGTTTGGTCGACGTCTGGATAATCGAACGGTCTCTGCCTTTTGAACCCTGCCTTTCGACTCTCTTTCTCCTGCCTGACAGGGAGAGAAAACCATACATCCTCTAAAAATTTCTTAATTCTATATTGTCCATGCTTTTCTTATTTTTTTGAAAATTTTCCACTCAAAATTTTTTTTTTAATTTTACTTGTATTAAACTCAAAATAGACAATCCCAACCACATTCCAATACTTCCACCTAGTGCTGCAATAAAAGTAGTAACAGACCATACCCAATCTTGTTCCATTGTTAAATATTCAAAAGAATCCCATTTTAATACTACAGTTGTTAAATCTTTTGGAAAAAATTTTTGAAATTTTTTAAAAAATTTTTGAAAGACTAACCAGGTCTCATACTCTTCCCTTTCCTTTCATGATCAATATTGTAACGAATTTGGTCACAACTTCTAAAACACTTTTTAGTACAGTCCTCATCGCTATAGTTACGTCCTTGTACACTTTTGTAAAAAATTTTATTTTTAATTTGGGATTTTTTGAAAAATTTTCGAATATTTTTTAAAAATTTTTTGGGTATTTTCCCAATTTCCTTAAAAAAATTTCCAAAAAAAATCATTTTTTTCTCCCCAAAACTTACTCCACTTTACATTTCTCATAATCACATATTGGCCATTCTTTTAATTCTTTTTCTTCCTTATCCGGTCCAATTAAATAACTTAAAGTTGGAGCTGTACATTGACACAAATTACGAACAAATTCAAGGCGACAGCGTAAATGGCAATCCCATTCTGTGTCTGCCTTTAATTAAAATTTTTTATTTAAATTTTTTTAAAATCTACGTTATCATCTTCTAAATCAGCACAAGCTGTTCCTTCCTCTTTATTAGGTAACATTTTATATCTTGCTTTAACATCAACAGTTGTTTCGTGCATCATACCAAGACATAGCTATTAATTTTTTTAAATTTTTTTAAGAATTTTTTTTTGATTTTTTTTTGATTATTTTTTAGTGCCAATCTGTGTGTGATTTTAAGATTTTTTTAAAATTTTTTCTTACAAGGGAACATATGTTACTGTGAGTACGAATTTGATAAATTTTCTGGTACCATGCGAAAGAGGACCCTCGATTTACTCTTGTAGTTTGCGGGTTTTCTTGCAAAATTAGTTTGGGCCGAGTTATGGCCGTTCAAAGTTAGACCGCTAGAGTCAGGAGTTATAGGGTAAGAAAACAATTTCTCTCTTATTTTTCATACTCAAAAAACGGACACACCCATCTTCTCTTTATTTAGTGTCTAACATTTTTCCTCCTTTTTTTTCCTTCGCGCCTCTTGCGTTCTCTCTCATTGTTGTATCAATATAAAGAAAGAAGAGAGAGTGAAAAAAGGACATAGTTCGCTCATTTTCTCTCTTCTCTCTTATTTTTCATCCTCAAAGAACAAGCCACGCCCCTTCTCTTTGATTATTGTGTCTGACATTTTCTCCCTTCTTTTTTCCTCGCGACTCTTGCATTCTTTTTTCCTCTTTATAAAATAATGTGAAGAACGCAGAGAAGTGAAAAAAAAGTTATAGCGCGCTTATTTTCCCTCTTGCTTATTCTCAATCAATCCCAAGGACTGAAACTTTGAACGGCCATAACTCGGCCCAAACTAATTTTGCAAGAAAACCCGCAAACTACAAGAGTAAATCGAGGGTCCTCTTTCGCATGGTACCAAAAAATTTATCAAATTCGTACTCACAGTAACATATGTTCCCTTGTTAGATTTTTTTAATTTAAAGAAATTATTTTTTAAATTAATTTTTAATTAATTTTTTAAAAATTTATACCTCATCGGTAAACCCATCCTTTGTAATTCCTTTACTTCCCATAAATCGACTAGTTGAACTTGGACGTCCATGAAAATCGGCTTTAAGTAAAATTTATTTTCTTTTAAATTAATTTCATTTAATTAACCAGTCATACAATCAATTTGTTCACCATCCAAATTTTCTGCATTGTGTGATAAGGACATGACAAAAAATTGGCCCTAAAAACATTGTTTTGTTGATGTTTTGTAAATTTAAATTGTTTACTTGATCATCTATAGTTTTGTAATTAGCCTCATCAAATGTTGGTTGAAAACTGAAAAACATAAAATGTTTTTAATGTTTATTTTATGTTTGTTTAGTTTGATGTTTTGTAAATGTTTTATAGATGTTTTAAATGTTTTTGTTTCCTATGTTTTGAAACTGTTTTGAATGTTTTTATGATTTTATATGTTTGTTTAGGTTGATGTTTTTGGATGTTTTAATGATGTTTTGAATGTTTTTTTTCTTTGTTTTTCAACTGTTTTTAATGTTTTTATTGTTTTCTATGTTTGTTTGGACCTATGTTTTTCTTCATGTTTGAATGTTTTTGTCTTTAATGTTTTAAGCATGTTTTAAATATTTTCATTGTTTTAAGCATCTTTAGATGTTTTGCTTATTTTTAACTAATGTGTTTCGATGTTTTGTTTAGGTGTTTAGTTTTTAGATGTTTTAAATGTCTTGTTGAGCTGAATGTTGTTCGGTGGTTTGTAAATGTTTAGGTTAATGTTTTGATTAATGTTTTTAACTGCTTTGTTTTTTTTTGTTTGTTTTGTTTTTAATGTTTTGTTTGATGTTTTTTAAACTTCTTAAATGTTTTGTTAATGTTTATGTCTTTTGCTTGATTTTTTTGTTTGATTTTTAAGTTTGCGATTTTTAAATGTTTTACTACAATACCAAAGTTGAACTTGTGATAACCAAGTAATTTTTAATTGTGTACTTATTACTTCATCTTCATCATAAGTTGTCCTTTGAAAGCGTTGAAGTGAACGACGCTTAAAAATTTATTTTTTAAAATTTTTTTTATCAATTTACCAATGTTTCCTTTCCAACTTTTTGAACAAACTCTTCAAAACTAACTTGTCTTTTCTGTATTTCCCCCAACCAAAACTTGAAAAAAATATTTTTTTTGAATTTTGTTAATTTACCTTTGACAATTTTCTAATTTCTTCAAGCCTTGTTTGTGTATTATATTTTTCGATAGAAGCAACGGTTCCATGTGCTGTTGTTTCTCTTTCCATACTTGTTAGTGTTGATATCTTTATTTTTTTAAAAAATTAAATTGGAAAATTTTGGATTTTAATTTTTATGATTTTTACAAATTTTTGTTTTTTTATTTTTTCAAGTTTATTATTTTATTAATTTCTGAGTTTGCGATTTTTGTTTATTTCTAAGTTCATTTTTACTAAATTTTTAAGTACGAGATATTTCCAACTTTATTTAAGTTTTCAATTTTGTTTACCAAGTTTATCTAATTTGATTTTTAAGTGTGCAATTCTATTTTATTTTTAGGCTTGTTTTACTTTATTTCAAGTTTCAATGTCTTTTGCGTGATTTTTGAGCTTGCGATTTTCATTTAATTTTCAAGTATATTTTATCTTTTTGTAAGTTTTAATTTTTAAATTCAAAATACCAAATTATATGTTTCCATAACTATTCTATAATCCCATTGTTTTGAAAGGAAATCTTCTTTTTTGGTCATATTAGCTAATTGAGTAGCTATTGTTTTGTCCCATAATTGTTTATTTTCTGTACTGTTTAACCTAAGAATTTTTTGGAAATTTTTAGAAATTCATTTTTTTACTTAAAATGACTCCATGCTTGTTCTCTACTCATACAAAATGTTATATTAGGCATTTTCATCGTCTCATTAAAACGAACTAAAAATTAAGTGGAAATTTTTTTTTGAAAAAATTTTGAAAAAAATCTTTAGAATTTTTATGAAATTTCTTTAAATTTTTTAAAAAATTCTTTAAAAATTTTTTTCAAAAATTTTAAACTCCAAAAAATTTTTTCATGTATTTTTCTAAATTTTTTATTTAAAATTTTTTCTCTTCAACTTACCACTCATATCTGATTTTTTGGGATGTTTACAATATTCTGTTACCTTTAAAATTATTTTTAAAATTAATTTTAAATTTATTAAACTAACCAAATTAACAATATCTTTAATTGTAAGACTTGCCAGAAAGGCAACAATAATCCAAAAAGCCCATTCTTTTATTGGTTTTCCTAATATTAATGCTTCTTTCTTGGTTTTTTGGGTTTCCATGCTTTAAGATTTTTTTAAATTTAAAAAATATTTTTTTGGTTATTTTTAAGATTATTTAAAAATTCAAGTAAAAATTCAACTAAAAATTTAATTTTAAGAAGGAATTTTATTTTTAACAATTTTAATTTTTTTTCCACTCACACCCACTCATTTTTTAAAATTTTTCTGATTTTTTACCTTAATTTTCTCGACCAACACTTTTCTAATCTTGAATTACTTGAATTTTTTCTTTCATTTTCTTCAGTTAAATTAGCTCCATTTTTTCTCCTTTTTCGACAATTTGGACAAAATCGTCGCCAAAATAATTTGGATAATAAAACCCCTCTTGACAATTTTTTGGTTACCTTAAAAATGAGGTTAAAAATAAAAAATTTTTAATTGTTTGTTAATTGGTTATTTTTAATTTTTAAATTTGACTAGTTTTTAAAAGTTATTTTTAGTAATTTTTGTGAAATATATTTAGTTCGAAGTTTGTTTTTATTTGATTTTCAAGTTTGCAATTTTCGATTATTTTCAAGTTTATTTTAGCTGATTTTAAGTCTGCGATTTTTACTCATTTCCAAGTTTATTTTATAAGTTTGTAATTTTCAAGTTTATTTTTATCTGATTTTTAAGTTTGCGATTTTTATTTTTTTTTCAAGTTTATTTTTACTTGATTTTTAAGTTTGTAATTTTTATTCAAGTTTATTTAATTTTCAAGTTTGCGTTTTTCATTCAAGTTTAATTTAATTTTTAAGTTTGCGATTTTCGTTTATTTTCAAGTTTATTTATCTATATTAAGTTCGTGATTTTTCTAAGTTTATTTTTACTTGATTTTTAAGTTTTTAATTTTCATTCAAGTTTATTTACTTTCTAAGTTTATTTGATTTTTAAGTTTGCGATTTTCTTTAAATTTCTATTCAAGTTTGCGATTCACTAACCAACATTTTATTATTTTTGTTGTTTATAAAATTTATTCTTTTTTCTTCATTTTTCAAGTTTTCTTTAATTAACTCCACTTTATCAAAACTTTCTAGAGTTTGTTGGGAATTATAAAAATAACTTGATTGAGAATTGTTGTTGTAAAAACTTGAATTTTGATTATTTAAATTTTTATTTTTTAAATTAAAAGAGATCCATTGTAAGCGACGTTGTTGATGAGAGGAATAATTATTAGGAGATTGAATATTATTGCTGGTTGTTGGTATAAAATTGTCCATTTTTGGGAATTTAAGAATAATAGATTTTTTAATTTTTTATGAGGGCTATTATTTAATTTTGACAAAAAATTTAATTTTTATTTTTAATAAAATTAATTTTTCGAGGTTCTGACTAGGGGAAATAAAAAAAAAATAAAAATGAAAAAAAATAAAAAAAATAAAAAATAAAAAAAAAAATAAAAATGTCTATATTTTGCTTTTTACATGTGTTGATCTCAAAATAAAAACCTTTTTTCCAAAGGTAAATAAAAATAAGAGGAGATTGATGTTGTTATATTTGCAACACCTGTGTTGTTGTTTACTCGAACATATCTTCTCTGAACTTTATATTATAGGAAAATAAATCTTAAAATAGTAAATTCTGTTGCAAATTTTGTAAAAAGTAAAAATAAAATAAAAATATTTTTTCTCAATTAAAATTTAGGTGGGTGGTAGGTAGTTGATGATTTTGATATATATTTAAAGTTGATTTTTTTTTGCAAATTTTTTTGTAAATTTTTTTATTTTAAAAATTTTTTGATGTGCCAATTTGCTTATTTTATCTTCGAAATTTTTTTCTGCAACTTTACCCACCCTCAAATTTTTTTTTGTTTAATATTTTATTTTTTCTATTAAATTTTGTCCTTTACATGTTTTTAACTTTTTTTTTTAATTTTTTATACAAGATCCTTTTTTATCATTTCTTTTTTTTTCCTACCTCAACTTCTTTAAAAAACACCCTTAGCTAACATTAATGAAAATAGACTTTTTTTGAAAGGTAAATAGAAAAATAAGAGTGATGTACACCTAAATTAAGGCAATTTTTTTGTCTTTTTTTGCCTTTTTAAACTGCAAAAAATTTTTCTAATTTTATAAACTTCAATTTTCTTTATTTATTTTTTCAGCTACACCCAAAACTTGGCAGCCGTTCTATCCGACCCTAAGAGAACCAGATCTGAAGTTTCTGCTTTTTTCACACGTCATTGGGGGGAACAATTTATACCTAGAAAAACTATCCCTCCAGCACAAACAATTCCGTCAATTTCTTTGGAACATTTTCGGCAATATTTGGCAACTACAGCAAAAAAACATAAACAATATTTGAAGGCGAGAAGGGCACTTAGACAAAAACAAACACAACAAAATGGGGAAGAAGAACGGATATCGAGGGATGAAGTGGCTGATGTAAAATTTTTTGGAATTTTTTTGGAAAAATTTTTTTTTATAAATTTTTGAAATTTTTTTAGAAATTTTTTTGAATTTTTTTTTGTTGAAAATTTTTGAAAAATTAAAAAAATTAAAAATCAACAAAAATTTTTTAAATTTTTTAAGTTCAAAATTTTTTGCATTTCACAAAATTTTCCGATTTAAAAAAAATTTTTTTTCGAAATTTTTTAACTTCAAAATTTTTTTTATTTTTAAAGATTTTCTTTTCTCCAACATTTTCTCGCCATACACAACATACTTTTGAGGCTGTTTTTCTTGAACCTAAACCTGGAGAAATTGATAACCTTTTTTCTCCAATAGAAAAAAGAAAGGAAGCTTTAAGACAACAACAAAATCAAAATCCGTTTATTGAAAGACATGAAAGTTGTGGTTCCCTTTATTCTATTCAAAGTGGACAACAACAGGTTAATTTAATTTTATTTAAAATTTTTGGGATAATTTAGAAGCAAAATAGGGCCTAATTCCTTAATATAAGGAACGGTCAGTACCAGAGGTGGGTTGGAACTGTCAGAGGTGACGGAACTCGGAAGAGCCGGAAATCGGAACTGGCTCAAAAGTCGGAAATCGGAATTCCGACCCACCTTTGGTCAGTACTGGATACATATGCTGATTTGTGGCTCATCCTCTTTTTTCAAATTTCGTCTCTCTGCCCATAGGGAATTGTAGAGTTGAGCTCAGGCCGGAGGCGAAGCTATCTCCTGAAATCATATCCAAAACTATGTTTATCGTATGGTTCTTCAGTTTGGATCTGGATATCTGATTATTTTCCAAGAACATACAACCTTACCCAGAATTGTTTTTAAATTTTTATATTATTTTTTTGTTACCCGTGAAAATAACTTATTCATAAAATTTTTAAAAATTAAACCTCTGGCCTATTTCACTAGAGAATAATTTTTTAAATATTTTTATCCTTCAGTTTATTTTTTAAAAATTTTTTTCTTCAATTTTGTAGCAATCATTATTACCAATAGAAGCAAGTAATGGCCGCTTCTTCCGTGCTTGTTTACGTTTACAAAATAAATTGGAATTTTTTGATGATGCAATAAGTACTTTATTAAATCAACAATTAGAAAATCGGAGTGAACAATTTTGGAAAAGTGTAAATTCTTATGAAGCTTTGCATGACGATTTGGAAGAATCTATTGAAAGAATTAAAATTGCTAGGTTTTTTTAAATTAAAATTTTTTATAAGTTATTTTGGGGAAAATACTTGAAATTAGACAATTTTAAAATTATTTTTTGTATGGGATTAGGTTGGAAATTTGAAGGTTTTTCGCCTTTTTTGTATGATGGAGATGGTTCATTTTGGTTTTCCTCCGAATTAAACTTTTTTTTGACTTCCATCCCTGTTTTTAAGATGGAATGACCCTGTTATCGAATGATGGAATGACGGGTTATCCGAAACTCGATACAAGAATACATGACTTTTTTTCCAGCATGCCTAAAATTATTTTTTGTAAGGTTGGGAATTTGAGGGTTTTCCCTTTTTGTATGATGGAGATGCCCTGTTGAGAGATTTTCTAACCTTTTTTAGATTGTTTGGACATAGGTCTAAACTCCTAGTTAAATTTAGATTTATTTAAGACTATTTTTTAATAATTATTTTTTTAAAGACAAAAACTTGCCAAAACAAAATTGGAGTTATGCCAACGTTCTCAAAATTTGCTTCAACTTTATTATGCCAAAATTAATAGACAACGTCTATTTGATAAATTACAGGTTCTTAAATTTAAAATTTTTTTATATAAATTTAAAGGAAATTGCTTGTCTTCGAGATGCCCAATTAACCGTACAAATGCTTCTAAACCAGGATGATGTCCCTAGAGCCCTTGAATGTATACAAACTGCAATGGTTTTTTTTGAAAATTTTTTTGGTATTTTGGGAGTAGAGATCGGTCAGGATTTGGATCCAGTCTTGGATTTTTCCTGGATCCAGAGTCCAGATCCAGGTATTTTTTCTGAATTTTTCCTGGATCCTCATCAAGAATCCAGGATCCAGGCATTTCTTGATCGTCTTGGATTTCTTGATCGTTCTGGATTTTTCTGGACCTGGATTTGAATTTCCTGGATCCAGATCAAGAGTCCTATCCAGGTTAGTAACCTAAATCCAGACCCAGGATTTTTGAAAATACCGATCTCTATCAGGGAGTATCCGCAAATGTTTAGTCCGCGAATATTTTCTTATAAAAATTAAGAATGTTCAGTTATTGGTAATATTTCTTAAATCTAAAATTAATAAATTTTAGATTTGTTGGGGAAGATACACCCTTAAGTGTTAATTTTTGACGGAAAATTTTTTAAATTCATTTTTAAGGAAGTTTTGAGTGCAGATTTACGTGCTGTCAACTGTTTCCGTCATTTAGGCTCACAATTGGAAGAAACTAAAAAAATGATTGGCAAAATGTTGTTGGAGGAATTTGAACAGGTTATTCAAAAAGAATTTGCTTGGCCTATTGAAGAACAAAAACGAAAACAATTTTTTGATGATGAAGAAGAAGAGGATGGAGAGGTTTTTTTATTTTGTTTTATTTATAGGGAAATATTTTTTGAAAGATTAGGGGATTTTTAAATACTTATCTTTAAGTTTATCTTAGGGTGTGAAATTAGTGCTAGGGGAGGAGTAGGAACCTTAGAACCTTCATAAGGGAACCTTCCAAACTGTGACCAAAAATTTTTAAATAAAAATTATGCCTCGTGTAGAGCATAGTCGAAAACGTATATTGTGTGGTGCCAGGCTTTTCTTCCCCAGACCCCTAAATCGAAAAGTTATAGGGATTCAAAGTTTTCGACTTTTAGAGCGGTTGAGAGTCTCGCCCTCACTTTTCTTATTTTATTTCTCTTTCAAAGAGAAAAATGAGACTCGCTTTCTCATTTTTTTTTGTCTTTCCTTTCCTTTTCCAATATTAGTTAAAGAAAGAGAAAAAGGAGGAGTCAGTTAAAATTTGCAATATATGCTTGAGTATATTTATTTATTTATTTATTTGCCTCTTGGGCGACATTACAAATTTGAAAATACATATATGGATTGAAAAAATAAATTAAGTCAAGTTGAAAATTAAACTAAAACAAATATATGTCAATAATTGGTACAACAAATATATGTGATTGTATTATGTTACGGGTGTGGGGCGTGATAAATATGTGTTGAGATCTATTTGATCAAGAAGTGTTTTGAATATTTTGGAATTTGATTTACGTATTGATATTGGTAACTGAGAGTATAGCCGCGCTGTCCTAACAAAAAAGGAATTATGGCTGATTTGATTTGATCTTGCCGGAATAAAAAATTTATATTCGTCTCCCCTTGTATTAGTTTTTGTAATTTTAAATGTTTCTTTTTGATCGATTTTTACTTCACCATGTAAAATTTTGTGGAAAAATTTAAAGTCAGTTTTGAGTCTTCTAATTTGTAGCGAGTCTACCTTAAAAATTTGTAGAAGGTCTTGATATTCTGGAATTGGTGTGCGTGGATTTGACCTATTGTATATAATACGTAAATAAGTTTTTTGTATTTGTTCAAGGTGTTCGATATCCTTTTTAAGATATGGATTGAAAACGGGCGATGCAAATTCTATTATGGGTAATACGTATATTTTATATAGTTCGAGTAATATTTTAGGATCATTAGTTTTTAGATTTCTTATTATTGTAAATGCTGTTTGATTTGCTTTGTTAGTTATAATTTTGATGTGCTTTTCCCATTTTAAATCGTGTGAAAAATAAACGCCAAGGTCTCTTATAGAATCTTGATTTGAGACTGTTTTTATCTTTTGATTATTGAGTGTGTATGTGTGCAAAGGGTTTTTAGGCCCTATGTGTAAAAGAGATGTTTTTTCGGCTGAAAGTTTGAGTGAATTTTCCTCAGCATATTTTTCTAGTTTTTTGATAAACTCTTGTAGGTTAATTTCAAAGTCTTTAGTGTTTTTAGAGAATGAGTATGCTTTAAGATCGTCTGCAAACAATTTTATCTTTACGTCCTTTGTTTCACAGAAACTGGGTAGATCTGATATGTATATAAGGAAAAATAATGGCCCTAGTATTGACCCCTGTGGGACGCCTCTATTTATATCCATTAAATCAGTTTTATAATCTTGGATCATCACAGTAAATTTTCTATTAGTGAGGTAATTTTTTAGCAATTGTAAAAAAGATCCCCTTATTCCAATTTTGTGTAATTTATTTATAAGTTTATCATGTGGAACTGTGTCGAAGGCTTTACTAAAATCAAAATATATGACATCAATAAATTGTTTATTTTCCAAAGCAATCGAAAAGTCGTTGAATGTTTCTAAAAGTTGTGTGGTTACTGATTTCCCTTTTCGAAATCCATGTTGGACGTTAGGGATAATTTCATATTTTTCTATAAAATTAATTAATTGATTGTATAATAATCTTTCGAAGACTTTTGAGATTGGACATAATAGAGATATTGGCCGGTAGTCTGAAGGACAGGATGAATTTTTATTTTTCGGAATGGGTATAATTATGGACTGTTTCCAGATATCGGGTAAGTTTGCGCTCATTGTAATATAGTTAAATATGTAGTAGATAGGGTAAGCAAGTGATTGTGAGCAATTTTTTAAAAATATCTCAGGAATCATATCTGTCGATATATTTGATTTATTTGTTAACGATTTTAATATAAAGAATATATCTTCTTGAAATGATTGTATAAAGTTTAAATATGGTTTGTTTGTGTGTGTGTTAATGAGGTTATTTTTATTTGAAGAAGATTTTGGAGTGAGAGAAGGTTTGTGGATTAGAGATTTTTGATTGGATGGAGAGAGAATTTGTGAAAAATAGTTTGAAAAGAGATTAGCTTTAGATTTAGCTGATATTAGAGGAAGTTTATTATTGTCCAAGAGTATTGGAATTTGTGTATTTTTTGTCTTTAAAAGGTTTGTAATATGAGTATATTTAGTTCGAATATTTTTTAATCGTTTATTTTCACGATTTCTAAAGTATTTCTGTATTTCTTTATCTATTTTTAATGATGCAATTTTAAATTTTTCTGTTGAGTGTAAACTTTTATCCTTAAATAGTTTACGACGGTATTCAATTAATGATTGTATGTGTTTTGGTAATAAATTTTTACTGTTTCTAGATTTTGTTGGTATCAAATTTTCTATAGTTTCAGAAATTATTTTTTGGAAGGTGGAATACAGGTGATTTATGTCTATGCAATTTGCAAAACATAAATTCCAGTTTATTGAATTTAGATAGTTGTTTATGATATTATAGTTACAGTTTATATAATCTTTATAATTTTGATTAAGATTTTTGGTTTTTATGAAATTGAAAATGACTTCTATTCCATTATGATCGGACTGGTATATGTTTGATTGTATTGGTTCAGTCATATTTATGGATTTATAGGAGGAAAGTGAATTAGTAAATATTAAATCTAAAAAATTGTTTTGGCGTGTAGGAAATTTTATAATTTGTTCTAGTTGAGAGTATTTTATAAATTCTAGTAAAATATTATCATTTTTAATTTCTATTAAATTTTCGCTACCCCAGGGTATATAAGGAATATTGAAATCACCAATGATAGAGTATGTATAATCAATACTGGTTAATTGTTGTAATTTTTCAACAAGGCAATTTTGTTGTATTTTGTTTACAGGTGGTGGGAGATAAACTAATATAAATCTATGTTTCTGGGAAGTAAAAGGTGAATATATGTCAAAACATAGTATTTCATAGTGAGAATTTTTGCAGGTTTTAATTTCATTAAAGGGAATAGAATTTGAAATAACTGCTAAAACCCCGCCGCCTTTTTTAGAATTAATTCTATCGTTACGTATTAATGAATATTTTGAGTTTTCTATTATGGATGAGTCTAAAGTTTTATGATTTAGCCAGCTCTCAGTTATCAATATTATTTCAAAGGAATTTTTTTGCATTAGGAATTTAAGAGTGTCAATTTTGTTTGTAACACTTCTTGAATTAAAATAGTATAATTTGATCTCAAAATTACCTAATAGTTTTTTGTACGTCTTGTAACGTTGTCTCCAGCAGTATTATTCTTATTTCTTTCTTGCCAATCGATTCTGCGTTTGTCTCTCTCTTCCTTGTCTAAGCGTAGTTGTTCAGCAGTTAGTGAAGGTCTTATTAGTAATTTGGTCCATTTTTCCATGGATCGAATCTCAAGACGTTTCTTTTTCCACTGAGCCAAACAAATTCGCTGAAAAGATGTACTGGGAAGTATCACTTTAATTAAACGACCATTTGGACCTGCTTTGGCTGGATTTCCCATTCTATACACTGCCAATGGCAATGTCTGGACGTCCAGCGCGTCCAGAACGCGTAAAACCTCCTCCTCGTCAGCTTTCGCACGCTCTGTTGGCCGAACTGCTGTTGATTCTTTTAATCCTATAAGGACAAGACTACGTTGTCTTTCTTTATCCTCAACAGCTTTGATTGCTGTTGTTTCTATAGTCGTTGATATATTTTCCAATTTTTCAATAATATCTGCTGTATTTAATGTTTCAACCTTGTCGTCTAATTTATTAATTTGTTGTTGAATAGTTTGAAGTTTAGCAAGAATTTCTTTAATTTCTTTAGATTGTGCCATTTTAAATATTTCTTAAACTTAAACTTGGGTAATTAATCCTTTCCTCGTTTTTAAGTTTCCTAAGAAATTGTATATAGCAAATTTAAAATAAAATTAGGTGATGTTGGTTCGTAGTACAGTGGTTAAGGTTCGTGCCTTAACTTCTTTTTGATAGAGGTTCGAATCCTTCACTGGTTTATTTATTTCTTCTATTTTTTCAATTTATTTTTTTTTTAAATATTTTAGAGAGCATTTTAATATTAAAAAAATTTTTTTTCCAAATTTTTTCGACATCCTTTCCTCGTTTTTAAGTTTCCTAAGAAATTCCCTAGCAAATTAAAAATGAGAGAAGGTATAAATGGTTGTGGTCGAGTGGTTAGGATTTTGGCCTTGGTCTCTTTTTGATAGAGGTTCGAATCCTTCACCGGTTTATATATTTCTTTTTTCTATTTTTTCGATTTATTTTTGTTTTAAGAATATTTTAGCGATCATTTTAATATTAAAAAAATTTTTTCAACAGATTTCTAATCTTTACCCAATTATTTTTTCTTTGGTTCGTTGTCATGAATTTCGTTTTTTGGCTATTTTACGAGAAGAAATCAATGCAACAGTTAAAAATTCGACAAAACAGGTTTATTAAAATTTTTAAAAATTTTTTAGAATTTTTTTAAAGATTGTAAAAGCCCAAATTTTGACCCATTTGGATGCTGACACAATAGGCTATAATCCAACTACTTTGTCTGAACATATTTGTAAATTGACTAGTTTTCAATGGGATGCAACGTTGTTAGCTGTTGTTAATTGTTTAATTATTTTGTGTAATAAAATAAAGGTTTTTTTTAATTTTTTGGGGAGGGGTTTTGTTCAGTTTATACGACCCAATAACTACGAACTCGAGGCAATATTTTACCCATAACTTTTTTGATACTTAACCGATTTAATTGAGTATTATATCATTCGAGAGCTTTAAATGTGTGGATTATTTTATCTGTTAAGAGTGATTTGATCAGATCATTTTGCTTAAAGTTAGAGTCGAAAAAGCGGTTATTTATCTGTAACTTTTTGTTGGATGATTTGATCAAATCAAACTTAATAGCTAAAATAATCCTCACATTTAGAGCTTTTGATTGATATAAAAATTAATTAAATTGGTTAAAAATAGAAAAAGCTATGGCCTAAAATTTAGTCACTCTTACCCCTATAATTAGTTGAAGGTTTCATTACCTCAAAAAATATTAGAAAACCCAAAATCCAATTTTAGATTTTAATAAACTTCAATATACGATAAGGGTACTCTAAGGGACGGATAAACTGAACAAGAAGACCTTTTCTGAAATTTAATTAAAAAATATTTTTTAAAGTCAATCCAACAATTAATAATTAAATGTGCTGATCAAGCAGCTTTAGAAGAATCAGAACAATTACAAAAACAACAACAGCAGAAAAGTAGAAGTGATTCAATAAATAAATCATCAGCACAAAATTCTGGGACTTCAACACCTTCAATTGGAAATTCTGTTGGTTCTTCTATACCTTTAGGTTTTTCTTTGTTTGTTTTTTTAGTGTTTAATAACGAAAGGGGAGGTATTTACTAGATTAGAGTAAGAGCTGCGCCGAAATTTCGATTTTCGACGTTTTTTTTGTTTTGACGCAGCTCTGATTAGAGGGGATTAGAGGGACTATTTCGAATAAGAGGGGGAGGGACTATTTTCTGTTGAGAGAGAGGGACTATTTTGAATAATCTGTTGTTAATCCACACAAATCCTTGTTTGGGTGGCCCGGGTTGTAGAGAGAGAAATTTTGGGTCAAATCTCAATGAATAATTGTGTTATTTAAGATTTCTATATAGCTTCTTCGAAAGAACGTCAAAAATTGTATCAATGGATGATAATGAAAGCACATCTTTCCTAATTGTTTTAATACCGGAAACCCCCCCCTCCCCCCCCCCCCCCCCCAAAAAAAAAAGTCTTCCTGGAAGAGTATTGAAGGGGCACAGCTTCCCTAAAAGTTGTAATGCCGGAAATGCCCCCCCCCTTCCAAACAAAAGAAATTTTCAATTAATTAATTATTTAGACAAACCAACAACAACAAACCCACCACCACTACCCCCAGGAACACCTGGAGCTCTTTTATCATTACCCTGTCATAATATAAATCAATTACGTGCTGCTTCAATTCAATTAATTGGACATGCTATTTATTTATGTGAAGAAAGAATTTCTAAAAGAATACAGTCTAGATTTAAGGTAAGGAAAAACATTTAGAAGGTGAACCTTATCTCTAAGATAAACCTAAATTTATGGCTCAATTTTTAAAATACGATTTTTAAATTTTCCCCAAAAACCACGAGAGCTATAACTTTGTTTTTAATTGTCGAATCTGGAATGCCTTGGTATGGTTTGCTGCGACAAGCTGAATCGAACCATACCTGGGATGTTCATGATTCGACAATTTCGAACGAAGTTGTAGCTCTGCGGTAAGTTGGGCTTGCGCGGTACCTTGGTCTTCTCCCTATAGTGAGGTTTTATAAGTAATTACTGGTTATTTTAATTAAATTTTAATTAATTAATTTTAAAGGATAATGTATTAGAAAAATGTTTACCATTAGAATTTCACAAAACATGCCAAATTATTGAAGAATTTAAACAAAAATGTAAACAAATAGATGAATGTGGACAACAACAACAACAACAATCACGCTCACAATGTCAAACAATCATACAACAAATTGTATGACTGTAAAAATTTTTATAAAATTAATTTTTTTAATTTTTTAGACCAATAAATTCATTTCAAAATTTACTGAAGCACGACAACGTGAATTAAGGTGAGAGAGAAAAAGAAAATTATTTAAATAGAAACTTGAAGCAAGTTTTTATTAATTTTAGGGTTGTAAACTTGAAGCAAGTTTATAAACTTGATATATTATTTAAATAAACTTTATAGCAAAATTACCAACTTTGTTTAAGTTTACAAACTTGAAGCATAAATTAACTTTCAGTAAGGTTTTAAGTGTATAAACTTGAATTAAGTTTGCAAACCTGATAATTGTATAAATAAACTTTGCTTCAAGTTTATTTAAATAAACTTTTTTTCAAGCTTACAAACTTTAATTAAACAAACTTTTGTATAAGAAACTTAAGTTTATAGACTAAGTTTACAAACTTGAAGCATAAATTAAGTTTATAAACTTGAATATATTACAAACTTAATATTTAATCATAAACTTGTATTATTTAAATAAACTTGCTTCAAGTTTATTTTCAAGTCAATTCTTTTTGCTTCAAGTTTCTTACTTAAATAAACTTTTTTTAAGTTTACAAACTTGAATAAAATAACCTTTAGTTTTTGCATAAAAACTTAAGTTTATAGACTTCAAGTTTACAAACTTGAAACATCTAGTTAAATAAAACTTTATAATTATTTTTTAGTGCAACAATTGATGCAGAACCTTGGAAACCAGCTCATATAAATTCTAATATACAACAAATTGTTGATTGTTATGTTCAAGATGGAGTACTTACAACTGATACAAATAATGAAACGATAAATAATAATGAAGATGAAGAACCAAAAGAAATGTTAAAATTAAAAGATGAAGAGTTCATTGTTATTGGGTAAGTTTTGCTTCAAGTTTTAAAGAAAATTTTTTTCTGAAGCAACAAGATTTTTTTAAAGTTGAAGCAAAAGATTTACTTGCTTCAACTTTGTAAAAAAATTTTGCTTCAGAAAAAAATTTTTTGTTTCCAATTTTGTTTAACTTAAAAATCATTTTTTTCAGAAGCGCCTTGTTGCTAATAAATATATTAGCTAGCTATAGTGATCTTCTTCGTTTATTTCCTACTGCTGGTATGGAGTTAAGTATGGATGTAGTTCAGTGTCTCAAACTTTTTAATAGCCGTACTTGTCAACTTATTTTGGGGGCTGGTGCAAGACAATTGGTTGGGTTAAAGTCGATTAATGTTAAGCATTTGGGTATTTTTTTAGAATTGATTTTACAAAACTTGAAGCAAGTTTGCAAATTTGAAACAAGATTGCAAATATGAAGCAAAGTTTGCGGTGCCGTGTGATTTGGGCATTGGTGAATTGGGCAGTGAGTAATTTGGGCAGTGAGTTATTTGGGCAGTAAACGTTTTTAAAAAAATAATTTTACACGCAAAAACAATTTGAGTAACGTTAGAAAAATAATTTTGAGCGATTTGGGCAGTAAATTATAATTTTTAAATTATTTAAAATTGATAACAAAAATTCCGGAAATTTTTATTTAACTTAAAGTAAATCCAAAATTTGAACATATTTTTCCAAAACTATTTTGACCTTTTTCAGATATTTTTGACCTATCTTGAGACCTAAAACTTAAAATAGGAATTATTTCTCAATTTTTCATACCTTGAATCTACTTATCACTTAGAGAAACGTCAAAATTGAGAGCAAGACGATTTCAACAAAGGGTACAACGTTATCAAAATGAAAAAGGTGTGAGGTTCTTTGAATTTTTGTGTAAATAATTTAAAAAATCTAATTTACTGCCCAAATCGCTCAAAATTATTTTTCTAACGTTACTCAAATTGTTTTTGCGTGTAAAATTATTTTTTTAAAAACGTTTACTGCCCAAATCACTCACTGCCCAAATTACTCACTGCCCAATTCACCACTGCCGTTTTCACCAGACACGAAGTTTGCAAGCTTGAAGCAAAATTTGCAAAACTTGAAGCAGGTTTGTAAACTTGAAACAAGTTTGCAAGTATTAAGCAAAGTTGCAATCTTGCTTCAAGTTTACAAAACTTGAAGCAAAATTCAATTATTATTTAAGCATTAGCCTCACGTTCACTTCAATTAATTGCACTATTTATCCCTGCATTAAAACAATCTTTTGTGGAACATTTACCTGTTGAACGACAAACATCCCTACGACATTTTGATTCTACTGCGAGAGACTATGCTGATCATATTGGTGAAATTAAAGATAAATTGCTTGGAATGATGGATAGGGAATTGCTTGTTGCATTAGAAGAGGTATATTTTTAGTTAAATTTGTTTCAAGTTTGTGTAATTTGAAACTTTTATTTTAATAAACTTGAAATTATTTTGTGTTGGTATTTAAATAAATTTTAAGTTTGCCACTTGGAGCAAGTTTAAAGCAAGTTTCAAACTTATTTCAAACTTGAAGCAAAGTTTGTAAACTTAAAGCAAAGTTCACAAACTTGAAGCAAAGCTTGCAAACTTGAAACATTCAAACTTGAAGCAAATTTATTTTTTTAAATAAATTTGAAACTCTAATAAACTGAAACATGTTTCTTTAATAAATCAATTATAAATATATTTTTAGTGGAAACCGGAAGGCAAAGCACCAACACCACAATTTCAACAAATAGTTATGCAGATTGGTAAATTCTACAGCAGTTATTCTTCTATAATGCCGCCAGAATTAACTACCAAAATGCTTCATTTAATACATGAAAATTTGAAACTTTATTTTAAACAAAATGTGCATTCTAGAGGGGTTACTCCACACGATTCTATTGCTTATGGGTACTAGATTTTTTTGTGGCCACTTAAATTAGGGTAGCACCCCGAGCCTTCGGGGGTGGGATCGCCGGAGGTCGGGGTTTTTTAGAGCCTTCGGGGTTCGGGTCGGGATTTTTGCCAAAAAATAGTCGGGGGTTATGGGATGGGGTTATAAACTTGAAGCAAAGTTTTTACACTTGAAACAAAATTTGCAAACCTGTAGCAAAGTTTTTACACTTGAAACAAAATTTGCAAACTTGAAGCAAAGTTCCCTAGTTTAAAATTTAAAAGGAAATTTTCTTATTTTTAACACAGTATGGCTGGACAAGATTTTGCTTATTATGTAGAAAATATACGTGCCCTACCCCATTGTCAATCATTTCCTGATGACTCTATTAATGATGTGCTACAACAAATTAAAAAATAAAAAACAATTTTTAATTAATTTATTATTTTTTGAAAAAGTGATTTTTGAAGAGATTTTAATTTATAGTTATACTGTGATATATTTGATTATTATATGCTGCTGAACAGCCTTATAAAATTTTATAAAAAATAAAAAATTTTTTGAGAAGGATTGAATTTTTAGGGGAATGAGCGTTATAAAAATAAATAAATATCGTATTTAAAATTCGCAATATTTAGCATTATGCCCATATTCAAAAATACATGACAGTTTATCCCTATAGTTAGAGAAGCAGAAAAATGAAATATTGCGGTTAGAGATAAAAATAAATACAAGCAATTAAGTTAGTTTGGTGCTGAAAATTGAGAGCGTAGTGGGGAACATTTAAAAATCGATAAAAAATCAATAAATCGATATCAATCAATAAATCGATAATTTATTTTTTAAAAATTTTAATTTTTCAAAAAATCGATAAAAAATCAATAAATCGATATCTATCGATAAAATCGATAATTTATTTTTTAAAAATTTTATTTTTCCAAAAAATCGATAAAAAATCAAAAATCGATATCAATCGATAAAATCGATAATTTATTTTTTGAAAATTTTATTTTTCCAAAAAATCGATAAAAAATCAATAAATCGATATCAATCGATAAAATCGATAATTTATTTTTTAAAATTTTATTTTTCCAAAAAATCGATAAAAAATCAATAAATCGATCTATTGATTTTTTAGTTTCTTCTACAGTATCAAATGTCCAATTTTATTTTTATTGGGATAAAGTGTCATTTATTTTAAATATAAACATTATGCCAATATTGTTTATTTTTACAGCGGTAATCAGTTTTTAAACCCAATCAAAACAACAAAAATAAATTTATTAGAACATTGAATTTGTTGAATGTTCAAAGTCCAGTTCCGAAGACCTAATCTCCAATTTTTAGTTGTGGCCCTTCATTTCCCAATCAATTTCTGTACGTACATTATTTTTGTAGTCCTCTACTTTATTAAATTTTATATAGGTATTTTATATTTTGTTAGCTTCTCACTTGTTTTTCTTCTTTTATTCATCAACAGACTGGTCATTCATGAATTAAAAATAAAATGGCTACTAGTAGAGTGCGAATGCAACAAAAAAGCTAACACAAAAGCTGACTGTTGGCCAAGCATTCCTTCCCTCCAATGAAAGCTGAAAAAGAAAAGAAATAATTTTTTATAATGTCCATTCCCCCCCACCCTTACTTTTTTTTGATTTCTTCAAAACTCGCTTCAATTGAAAATTGATTTCCCCTTCCTCTACTTGTTTTTCAATCTCTTCTTTTTTTTAAACATCAAAGCGCGCGAAATCTCTCCGGCCAGAAGCAAATGAATTTTGTGATCAAGATTGAGTAGAAAGACAAGAAAAAAACTTGAAGGAGCGGTCAGTCGTTCTTTTCTTTTATATAATATATTTTTGCTTCATCTTTTAAGTTTTTTTAATAGGCGTTATGTTTGAAACATTGTACTAGTATTTTTTGTGAATTTTTTCGTAGTGATGCTAATCAATGACCTATTGAAAAAAAAAGTTATTTAAATTAATTTATTAGCAACATTAAAGCTAGTCAAAGACTTGAAGCTTTTCTTAATCCCAAAATTTAAAAAATTATTACGCTAACTTATAAATGTTGCTAATACCAGACCTGGTCACGGATACTGATCTTGGTATCCGTATCCGCATATCTACGGCGGATACAGGCAGATATCAGCAGGCATTTTGATATTATCTGTATCGTATCCATGGGCAGGTCTGGCTAATACATTCAGTCGAACCTCCCTCTCTCTTAGATGGGAGTTGGAAATTTTTTTGATTATTTTATCGCAAAGGGTACCCTTAAATCTGAGGGTATCGTTTAAACAGATCCCTCCCTTAATGGCTAACCAAATTAAAAAAATATTATAAATTGAGAGGTATCTAAGGAGAGATTCGACCGGTAACTCAAAACAAAATCCCTTTATAAAAAAATTTTAAACTTGCTTTCAAATAAGAAAATTTTACATGTAGTCTCCTAAAAAATGCAACCATCAACAATTACAATGCTCAGACTGTTACCTCTCTTTTTATTATCAAAAAGAAATTTATTGTTGTTACTATTTGGAATTTGTACAGCAATTATTGCCAACCATTTGGTTAAAACACAAGACGACCCAGACCATCCTGATACCCCAGAAATTGTTTCAAATTCATTAATTTCAACAATGGGGCGTTCAAAAAGGCAGTGGGGATGTCCAAACGGATGTTTCTCTCCTTGTAAATTTTTTAAAAATTAAAATTAATAATTAATTAATATTTAAAAAGGTGTAAGTTCCCAACAATGCCAACGCTATCAACTTGCTACCGTTTGTGTTTTAGGGTGTTGTTGTCCTGCACAGCCAGCACAAACAACCAGTCTGAGTAGTAAGTTGTATTTTTTTAAGGGGTCGGTGCCGAATTTTTTTCCTTCCTCATCTTGAAGCAAAAATCTTTAGAGCCTGAAAATGAAGCAAAATTTTCTTTAAAACTTGAAGCAAAAAAATTTTTTATTTAAAGCTGCCTGTGATGGCGACCCAGCAGTAGCAGCTTGTCTCAATGGTTTGTGTGGACAAGGCTACTTTTGCAATTCTCGGAATTTCTGTTGTCGATGTCCTTCGGGAACATCACCAGGTCTCTTCGGAAAATCCTTAAAAAATTAAAAAAAAATTTTTAGGACCTTGTGTAAACAATTTATGCCCACCTGGATATGCTTGCAATACAAACAATTTCTGTTGCTCTCTAGGATCAGGCTCTGTATTAGGTCCCTGCGGTCCGAATGGGGTAATTTAAAAATTTCTTTAAAGGATTATTCAAAAAAAATTTTTCTCTCAAAGGAATGCCCAACAGGCTTCCAATGTGGAGCAGGCAATTTATGTTATCCAGTAACTGGAACGGATGGGGGTATATCAACTACTGGAAATAACGGTCGCCGATAATTTAAAATTAATAATCTCCTCATTAATTAAAAACAAAATACTTTTTTAAATTACTTAATCTCTAATTTTAAACCTACTTCTTAAATTGTCTTTCTAATACTTAGTACTTAAATAATTATATTCCCCATATTTCTAGTCATTAGTTAAATAAAAGTATGTATTTTCCGGAAAACACAAAATATTAAAATAAATTTCCGGAAACTTTTCTATTTTTAGAGTTATACTTTCCGGAAATTAATTTATTTTATAGTTATCCGGAAACTCGTATTTTTCAAGTTTAAATAAATCCTGCATTTTCCGGAAAACACAAAATATTAAAATAATTTTCCGGAAACTTTTCTATTCTCATATACACTTTCCGGAAATTAATATATTTTATAGTTATTTTTCCGGAAACCCGTATTTTTCAGAGTTATATAATTTCCGGAATAAGTTATATTTTTAAAATTAAATATATTTTCCGGAAAGCTTACTTTTCATAGTTATTTTCTGAAGCTTTATCTTATATTTCCCCCCTTAAGTTTTTATTTTAAATTTCTGGCTTGGTTTCCCGATGGTTTGAAAAATATTGTATAAATAATTTTATAAAATTTTGGTGATTTAAAAGTGAAAAAATATATAAATTGGAAAGAATGTTTTGATAGACCTATATATTTTAATTTTCTTTAAATTAATTTTTCTCACTCCCCAATGGAAATAACACATCGTAGACTAGAAAAAATAATTTTAGAAAATTTTTTTAAGAAATTTTTTTTGAAATTTTACCATTCAGTAGCAGAATGCATACAATCAAAGGCATCATTAATTTTGTCAAAAGGAAAGCGATGAGTAATAAACTAAAAAATTTTTTAAATTAAGATAAAATTTAAAAAATTAAATTTACATCATCCATTATAATTTTTCCATCAAGACATTTTTGAACAAGTAGAGGTATATCATCACGGCTATTCCAACCTTATATTTTAAATTAAATTTAAAAAAAAATTTTTTAGAAGAAAAATTACCCCCAAAAGAAGTTCCTTTCCAAACACGTCCAGTAATTAGCTTTAAATTAAAAAAAATTAATATAAAAAATTATTAAAATACTTGAAATGGTCTAGTCCGAATTTCCTCACCAGCACCAGCTACCCCAACTACGCAGGAAACGCCCCAACCTTTATGTGCTGATTCTAGTGCTTGTCTCTTCAAAATTAAATTTTTTTTATTTTTTTATAAAAAAATATTTTTTTAATTTTAATTTAAAAAAAACTTTTTCAAATTTAAATACGCCAGAAAAAATTCAAAAAAAATTTTTCACCCGAAAAAATTAAAAAAATTTTTTTTATTTACCATAGTCTCCACATTTCCACAACATTCTATATTTAATTAAAAAATATTGAAATCAAAATTTATTTTTAAAAAATTACCAAAAGTATAATCAAAACCACCATCAAAATTTTCAATTAAATAGGATTGAATAGATTGTCCTTCTGGTAAAGTACGAGGATTTAGACAATCAGTAGCGCCAAATTTTTTAGCTAAAATTTAAAAAATGTTTCTAAATTAAACAAATATATTTTTTTCAATTTAATTGGATATTAAATTTAAGGAATAGCTATTTAAGCGATAAAATTTTAACACTTTTTACAAGGTACAATAATTCTTTTCAACCAGAGATTGTATATGTTTTTTAAAAAATGGGTATATTCTTTAGATATAAGTTTCCGGAAAATATAACTCAGGAAAATATACAAGCCCCAGAAAAATAGCCTTGTTTTATTAGTTTCCGGAAACAATATAACTCTGAATATATAAATTCCGGAAAAATAACTCTACAATATTGGTAACCGGAAAGTATAACTCTGAAAAATAAATGCTCCGGAAAAATAACTAAATTAAAATCATTTCCGGAATTATTTCAATTTTCCGGAAAAAGTTTATTTAATTTAAAAAATTCCTTTTTACCCTTTTCAAATTTTCCTTCACAAATATCAATAGCCAAAATTCTTTTTGCCCCAATTTCTTTAGCCCCCATAATAACAGCTAATCCAACAGTTCCCAATCCCCATACAGCAACAGTAGAGTTTGTTTCAACTTTACAAGTATTTAAAACAGCTCCATAGCCTGTAGAGACACCACAACCAAGTGGGGAAAGTTTGTCGATTGGCGAGGTTTTGGGTATCTTTTTTTTTGAAAAAATTCTGATTTTTAAAAATATATTTAATGTGTTTTTATTTAATATAAATTCTGTGGAATTATTTTTTTTCGATTCTCTAACAAAAAAATAGAATATTAACTCTAAAAATACAAGATACGGAAAAATAATTCTACAATATTAAATAGTTTCCGGAAAGTATAACTCTCAATCAGAATTATTACTATGTATATTATCAGAATTACTACTAATTATAAATTCTGGTTAAAAAATTAAAATCAGAATTTATTTTATAAAATCAGAATTAATATTAAAAATTCTGACTTTAAAAATCAGAATTTTTTGTATTCTCTTATATTATTTAGAAAATCAGAATTTTCTAAAATCAGAATTAATTTCAGAATTTATTAAAACAGGTAAAAACACATTTTATAATTTCTGACATAAGGAAAAAAACAAGAAAATACAAAATTCTGATTTTAAAAAATATATAAAAATCAGAATTTTTTGTGCTCGTATTTTTACAATTAATTCTGATTAATTTCTGACAGTAAAAATACAAGAGAAAAACACAAAAAAATTCTGATTTAAAAGAAAATTAAATTTAACATAAAAATTCTGTTTTTAAGAAATACTCTACCTTACAAACAGAAATTTCAGCACAAACTGTATATTCACTAAAACTGCTAACGCCCATAAAATGACTTTAAAAATAAAAAAATTAATTTAAAAAAAATTAAAAAAAATTCCCAACTATATAGTTTTGCCTTTACAACTAAATCTACTAGTTCCATCAGGCATTAAACCACGGCCTTGTTGCAATCTAAATTTTTTTTTTAATTTTTTTAATTTTTTAGTGAAAATTAATAAATAACAGGGATGGGTCTTGCACCTCTTTAAACAAAAATTTTAAGAATTTTAGAGAACACAAGAATAAAATTTAGAAAGGTGGTAAGTTGAACGTTGGTAGGCTAAACCTTTAAAAAAAATTTTTTTTTTAATTTATCGCAATGCACTTTCCTTTAACCTAGACATGCACTTTATATTTTTAATTATGAAATATAAAATAATTTTCCCATTGTGTTTTTCATCATTTATATTGCTTATTTAAATTCATTAATTAAAATTTATAATTTTAAGGTAAATAAGATTTTATTTTATATAAATTTTTAAAATTTAATTTATAATGAAACTTGATAGAATATTAATTATTCTAATCTTCAATGCGATATTTTGGAGTTTAATTAATTCTGTTAAAAATAATAAAGATAAAAATGAGTTAAGTAGAGTTGGAGAAACCTCAAAGGATAACGATGTGGCTGAATTATCGGTTAATGCTCAAATTCAAAAAGATGAAAAAACGTTAAAACCAAAACCTAAAATTGCAAAAAAAGGCACAACAAAAGGTAAACATCAAGAAGAAAAGTTTAATAAACGTGAAAATAATTTAGAAAAGAGACGAGAAGCTGAACGAAAATATCGAGCAAAAAATAAGGAGAAAAAGCGAGAATACGACCGAAAATACCGAGAAAATAATAGAGAAAAATTGAAGGAATCTGCTCGAAATTATCGAGAAAATAATAGAGAAAAATTGAAGGAATCTACTCGAAAATACTGGGAAAAGATAAAAAATAAAAAAGAAAACTTAAAAAATGTTGATCCAAAAGTAGTGCATATTCATTCTGATGATTAAGGCTGTGATTTATAGGCAAATGCCTATTTTTTCTGCAAGCTTGGGATGATGTAATACGTTCAAAAAACGTGTTTTTAGCTCGGTCCGATAAGTCTAGCATGACTTTTAATATGCCTATTTCTGCCTATTTTTGACTTTTTGTGCCTTTCTGCCTATTTTGAAATTTTTGGTACTATTTTTGCCTTTTTTAGCGATTTTTTCGAAATTTTGCCTAAAAATCAGTGCAAAATCTAAAAAAATCAGTCCAAAATTGGAAAAAATCAGTGCATAGTCCCATTATTGATTTTTAGTTCGTTAAATTGTTTATTTTTACTTTATTGGACATTTTGAACTGGGACGATTTGGTTTTAGGACGTTTTGGGGTGCGGCGTTTTGTGTGTTGGACGAGATTTCCATTTTGTCGATTATCGACATTTAAAAAAAATTTACTCCATTTTTCAAAAAATGATTCAAAATGTCGTTTAATTGGCAAAAGAGTTTAATAAGTAGTTTATAATACAGAAAATGATGAGTAAATGGGTATTTTCTTGCTTTTTTCTTAATTTTATAGGCCTGATAACCTTTTTTACATGCCTATTTTTGTGCCTTTTTTGGCTTTTTGGTGCCTAATTTAGGCGCCTATTTCACTGATTTTACTTGCCTAACTATCACAGCTTTACTGATGATAATAAAGGAGCAACTTCTAATACACAGAATGAAGATTTTAGAAATAAAGGTAAATTGCCTATCGTTTACGAAGAGAGCATTCAATTTGAAGAAGGAAGTCTTTTAAATCAAGAGGAGGAAGAAACAAAAACTTATATGGAAGAGCAAAATCAATCTGTGGTAGAAGAGCCAACTAAAATTAATTCCACAAATCAGACAGATTCAGATGAAGAAGATTATCTTCGTTATCTGAACGATGAACCTTATGATGAAGACGAGGACGCTCGTTAAAAAAGAAATTAATTTGAAGAAGTTAAAATTTTCAGAGAGAGAGAGTAAATTATAGAGATCGGAATACTTGTTTAAAATGAATAAGTACCAAAGGCGTATCTAGGGGGGGGGCTGGGGGGGGGGCTAGAGCCCCCCCCCCCCCGAAATGGGGGAAAGGAGGAAGAAATTAGGAGAAGGATGGTCGAAAAAGTGAAATTTTTTCGCCTACAACCTTCAAATTTTAAAAAATTTTCGCCTGCGGCGCAAAAAATGTATGAAATCTGACTTCTTGGGCACCAAATTCCAAAAAATTTTCGCCTGCGGCGCAAAAAATGTATGAAATCTGGCTTCTTGGGCACCAAATTCCAAAAAATTTTCGCCTGCGGCGCAAAAAATGTATGAAATCTGGCTTCTTGGGCACCAAATTCCAAAAAATTTTCGCCTGCGGCGCAAAAAAGTGAATTTTTTTGGCCTACGGCCTTCTAATATTCAAAAAATTTTTGCCTACGGCGCAGAAAATGAAAATTTATGTGCAAAAAAATTTGCGTCCGGAACGCCAAGGTAAACGCCAAAAATTTTTGCGCCCACCCAGTGTTAGCCCCCCCGAAACCGACCCCCTGGATACGCCCTTGATAAGTACTATATTGGGGGTAAATAAGTATTGGGGGATTTCTAGCATATTTTTTAAAAATAAATTGAATTACTAGTAAAGTTAATTGTAAAAATAAAATTTTAGAAGAGGAAAAATATACAAATCCACAGAAATTTTTGAGTTCAAAAAAATTTTTTTCGAGTCCGAAAAAAAATTTTTCCTCCCCAAAAATTGCCCGCAAGAACAACCACCCTTTCAAATCCCCCAAAAAAATTTTAAAAATTAATTTTTTAAACCTTATTTTCTGGCACATATTAGTTTTTGGATTTTTGCAAAATTCACATTCTCTACATTGAGGCACGAAACAAGGAATTACATAATCTCCTAAAAAAAATTTTTATAAAAAATAAAAACCTCTTAAAAAACCTATAGCAACACTCTCAACTCCATTTCCAATAGATTCGACCTGTCCAACAGCTTCATGTCCAAATATTACAGGAAATATGCCTTCCGGGTCTTTGCCTGATAGTGTCTTTTAAAAATTGTTTTAATTAGACTGGCTAAATTTTTAGAAAACAAAAATTTTTTACATAAAGATCAGTATGACAAAGAGCAGTGTAGAGAATCTGAAAAAATAAAATAATAAAATAAATAAAAAGCTTAAGATAAATTTAAATTAAAAAAGGGCAGTAATGAGGAGGGTTGTCGGATTTCCCAAAATTACTCAATCAACCAAATCCACGAAAGAAAAAAAATTATTTAAATAAACGACACTCAAAAGGAGACATACTATAACTTTTCGAAATGTGGATCGGGGCCAGAAAAGAAAAAAATTATTGGCAATAGGTTATCGACCCTGCTCTACACGATGGAACAAAAAAATAAAAAAATTTTCACATACAGTTCGATATCTCTCCTTGTCAGTAATAACAAAAAATTCAAAAAATGTTACAAAGAATACCCCAACTCCTACTAAAAATATATAACACAAGAGAGGGCTAAAATTAGGTTCATCTACAGAATTTTTGGCAAAAGTTTACGACTGTCCCTGGTCAAATAAACCAAAATAAATTTTTAAAAAATTAAACAAACCTTAATTCTAACTTCCTCATCTTTTGGAGGAGAAACTTCAACTTGTTCAAAAACCAAAGGTTTGTTAGGCTCCCAAGCAACCGCTGCTTTACATGTTATTATCTAAAAATTTGAAAAAAGTCTTCCTCAAAAAATTAAAAAATAAACCTGTCCTTGAATAGACATAACAAGCTAATTATTCAATCAAAATTCAATTGAAAAAAAAATTTAAAAAAATTTTTAAATTAAAAAAATATATATTTTTCTGTGTTCATCTACAGAATTAAAATAAAAAAAAATTTTTTTTTTAAACGAGATTTTATTTTTTTATTCCTGCAACAAAAATTGAGAGAGTGAAGCACTTGAAATCATTTAAAAAAAAATTAATTTAAGATTTGTTTTTTTTAACAGAATGCAAAAAAATTCAGGAAAAATTTTTAAAAAAAGAAAAAGTCCTCAAAAAAAAGCTTTAACAATTTCATTAATTCTTAACTATTTAACCTCTCTTTTTTTCAAAATATTTATTGAAAACCCCCACCCATTCCTCCATACATTGCCCCTTCATCTTCAGGTACACGAACATCGTCAATTTTTAAAATCATTCGGACAACCTTTAAAAAAGTAAATTTCTTATTTGACTTATTTCTTGGGTAGTATCCCCTGCCCTTTTAACCAGTTTTGTGAGTTTCCAAAAAATAACGCACAACATTTCATGAGAAAAACCCCCAAACTGTACCCAAAAACTACTAGCCTAAAAACCAAATTATCATAGCTGACAAGGGAACCTGCCTAACTGTAGCAGTAAACATGATATAATTCGATCTAATCTAAAAATTGATGATGTCTATCGATTGGTACCAAGAAAGTAAAAAGTTTTGACTCAAAGTTCTGGAGATTCCCTTGTAAAAATTTTTTTGTGAAAATTTTTTTAGGTTATTGAGAAAGCTAACCAAAAATTAACCTTCCAACCAAAAATTAACCTCCCTATTCATTTTTAGGATTGTCGGTTATTGGAGAATTCCCGGTTCCTCAATTCCTATTCCCTCCCCCAATTTTCTATTCAATTTAAAATTTTTCAATTTCTGAAAAAATTAAAAAAAAACCTGTGTAGCCAACGAAAGTTGTTCTCTTTTAGACAATAAAGTTTCTATAACTCCTTGTGATTTCATATCATTAGTTCCTTTTTGAAGACAATCAACACCCAAAAAATATGCCAATTTGTCATAACAACATTTATTATTTTCATCAGATTTTGTGTTGCTAGCAGTTAAAGACTCATCAGACGACACAGAAACATTTTGAATTTGACGAGCTTTCAATTCGGTTAAAGTCTCAATTGGTGGCAATCCAGAATTTTCTGCTAAAGCTGCTGGAATACTTTCTAATGCATCGGCAAATGCTTGATACGCATATTGTTCAATCCCTTCAACCTAAATTTAAAAAAATAAAAGAGAGTACATACCAAGGATGTCACGGGTTAAAAAAAGGTGGATCGGAGGTTTCAAATATTTATCTGTTCGGGCTTCGCATCGAAAAAGGTCAACATTCCCAGTTTCGATAACCCGCGAGATCCCGGCACATAAACGTAAATTTCAGGTGGCCACATAACTTTAGTGGATCTACGTAAAGTTTAGGAATACTCTTAGTTTTGACGAGCCTTTAATTTTGTAGAAAATTCTAGCAGAAAATTAGAAGTCAGCTAATTTTAGGTCAAATCTAGGTCAATTTTATGTCAAAATTAAAGGTCCAGCCCCTTAACTACGCCCTCGTAAAGTAAAAAAAAATTCCAAAAAAGTACTTTATCAGCTTCTTGTGCAACGGCAATAGAACAAGCCAACTCTGCAGCACCACCACCATAAACAATTTTATCGTCACGGATTAAATTGCGAACAACACAGAATGCATCGTGAAGTGAACGTTTAGCTTCCTCAATAACCTAAAAAAATTTTCACAAAAAAAATTTTTTACAAAAATTCAGAAAAAAACCATTTTGTTTCCTCCACGAATCAAAACCTACAAAATTTCTTTAAAATTTCAAAAAATTTTTTCAAGAAACCGTCACAGCCCGTCTATTAGGACAATTTTCAATACACAACATTTGGTCGTTGTCAGTCCCAAAAGTCAATTCATGGACAAGTCCAGCAGAACCCAATTTTTCTGGTGTAAGTTCTGCAAAACGAGGAACAATACGTCCATTTGTGGCAATAGCAATTAACTTTAAAATTAAAAAAATTTTTTAACAAAAGTTAATAACAGTGTAGTTTACCCCCCATTACTTATTTCTCCCAAAAATTCCCTCGTCATGTATTTGCTAGTACAAAATTAACCAAAAAAGGATTTTTTGTGTAAAAATGCAAAACGTATTGCTCAACGTTTATGTTAAGTATAATTTTTCATGAGGAAGTCCAAAGCTCCTCACGTCATGTTTCAAACATTTTTGTATAAAAAAAAAGAAATCTTTTTTGGTTGATTTTGTACCAGTGGTAACTACAAGATAGAATTTTAAAAAAACATGAATAATGGGGGGGGGGAATTACAATCATTACATGCTTTTTGGTTGATTTTACTATATACCAGTAGTAATTATAAGGCGTATCCAAGGGGCTGGAAAATCGACCCTCTAGATACGCCCACGGTGGTAATTATAGGGCAATTTTGGGAGACAAGAAAAAGGGATGGGGAGGCCAAACACAATATTACCCAAAAAATTAATTTAAAAAAGAAAAACCTCAATTTCAGGCCCACCAACCCAACGAACTGCAGGCAAATTATGATGCAAAAGTAAATGGTTTGCTTCATCATCAAATCCCCATTGACAAAGAGCTAATGTTGCTCCACTTGCTTTAACCTAAAAAAATTGTTTTTTATAAAAAAAATCCCCCAAAAAAACTAACATCTTGTATCATTTTTTCAAAAGTTTCACGTTCATATTTTTGCAATTGTTTGTAATCTTCAGTTGAAGTAATGTCCAATTTATGCTAAAAAATTGAGAGAAAATGATTGAAAAGTTAATTTATTGGCTTGGATAAGAACCCAAGATATTGATTTTTCTTAGTTCCTTTGGTGGATTTGAGGGTCCATAACAATCCGAAAGTGTCCCCGTAGCAAAAAAAATCAAAAATTGGGAAAAGGTTATTGACTATGTTCTAGCAAATGATATCAAAAAGAAGTGAAAGGTCCCTTGTAAACCAAAAACTTGATTTTTCATGGATCAAGAGTCACGGACAAGGAATCGTTCAACGTCTCTTGAGTTCTATTTGACTCAAGCTTTTACTGTTGACCTCCATTTTTAAATAGAATGAAAGACTAGAAAGACCTCAATAGAAATAATCTTTCCAATACCTCAAAATTATCCTAAATAAAATTTAATACCTTAGTTTTTGGCTTTGGCGGTTCAAACGGGCAAGTAAGAATAGCAATTTTTGCATTTTCCATATGACGAGGCATTTGAGGATGACTCTAAAATTTATATAAAAATTAAAAAAATAAATTTAAAAGAAAACCATAGTTTTGTCAATAACAACTCCTTTAATTAAAGCAGTATCTTCAAGTTGCCCTCCTTCTTTCCCAACAATTTTGATCAACTCAAAATTAACGTCGCGTTGTTCCAAATCAGCAACTGCTAAAATAGCATCGACAGCAATTGAAGCTAGTTGATATAAACATTTGTTTACACTGAAAAAAAAATTAAGGAAAAATGAGTAGATGTGACGGGGGAAATGAGTAGTTGCCAGGGATGAATCGGGTTGAGAAAAAAAGTCGAGTAGGGTTTCGAGTAGTGGTCGGCTAATGGATTTTTTCGGTACCATACCAGGAATAGTAACAAAAATTCCAAATGACTCTGTACTTTCAAGAGTACCTGGGAGTATCGAACCAAGCCGAGCACTAGTTTCGAGTCAGGTTTACAAATGTATCGAGCCTGGTTTCCGGACACTGGTACATAAATACTATTATAAAATAAAAATCTAAAAAAATTAAAAATTCAAATTTACATTTTAGAACCAAGCGAAGTCATAGCACATCTAATTAATGCCTCTCTATTGTCAATTGGAAATTTTTCAGCAATAGAATCCAACACCTCCAAGGCCTTTTTGCAAGCCATTTCGAAGCCATCAGCAATTTTGGTTTGATGAATGCCTTTATCTAGAAGTGATTCCGCCTGTTCCATTAAAGCGCCGGCCAAAACTTTGAATAAAAAAATTTTTTTAAAGCTATTATTAATTTTAATTTGGTTAAAAAGGATAAAGGAACGAATAAAAAATGTTTACCAACCAGTGGGATTCGAACCCTCGACAGTCAACTGTCAAATCCTAAAACACTAACCGTTATACCAACGAGGAACATACCGTTCGTTAACAAATTTTTCACCATATTTCTCCTAGTTTACTAATAATTCTCAAAATTCATACCAACAACGCCAGTTGTTCCATCACCAATTTCATCATCTTGCGACTGCGACAGTTCCACCATTAATTTAGCTACATGATGTTCTACATCCATATTCTTCAAAAAAATTTGATTTAACCTCCAATAAACTCAAAAAACCTTCATAATAGTTGCCCCATCATTTGTGATCGTCACCTCCCCGTCTGGACTAACCAACATTTTATCCAATCCACGAGGACCTAAAGATGTTTTTAACGTATTTGCGACTTGTTTAGCTGCCAAAATGTGGCTCTTAAAAAATTTATAAAATTTAAAGAAAAATAAAATTTAAAAAAAACCTTCAAAGCCTCTACTCCAGTCAATCGTTTTTGCCTTTCCTGTTCACGTAACAGAATAAAAGGTTGTCCAGATTCATCAAAAAGTAATTGGCCTGCTGTTGCCATTTTTAAATTTTATTTTTATTAAAAAATAAATTAGAAAATAATTTTTTTAATTAAGAAGGGAAGAAGAGAATTCAAGTCCAAAGAAAAGTCTCACGAGAAACAAGAGAATGATCAATAGAAAAAAGTTTGGGATGAAAACCCCAAAAATAAAACAAAAAAGTAAAGTAAATGAATAAAAAAAATATTTATTTGCAACAAAACCCAAAAACAAAGAAAACGATTATATGGCACAAAGATTTTTGGACACTAAAGTCTACATATTCTCCTCTATTTTTTAATAATCACACTATAAGAGCAACAGCATCACTTCAAATCCCATAGTTAAATATAGCCGCGAGTCTTCCCAAAACAGTAAACATTGCAGATTGAGATCAAAAGTCTAAAAAAAGAATTATTAGAGGAAATTCCCTTCTACAAAAATTTTAACGGTTGAACCCAAGAATCTTCTTTTGAACCACTCCAAACGGCTCTCAATCCGCTTATATGATAGTAAGCGTGGATACAACCCGGGGAACCCAAAAAAACATTTTTAGAGAACAGGCCGCCCACAACTTTAAAACAAAGTCTGTCTTCTACCATCCAAGATCACCTACCAGCTAACCCCCCCCCCCTCCTCCTCCAAAATTAGATCAAAAAAACTCACGCTATACAGATTGCAGCCAATATCACTGTACTCGTCGCTATTCCCTTTTTTGGTGAATAAGGTAGTGTCACTCCTTTATCCCAGGGATCTTCTGTATACGGCACTTCATCTATCGCCATAGTAGGCCCATAACTTTCTTCACTTGTTTCTTGGGTTTCTTCTTGCTCGATTGTTGTAGTTGCTTTGGTTGTGACTTAAAAAATGGGAGAGAGATTATTTCTACAGTAAGGTGCAAAAGTTTGGAACATTTTGTTGTAAATTATTAAATCAATAATTTTTCTTTCAATTTTCAACGAATGAGCTGGATTAAATTTTTAAAAATTAAATAGAAGTGTTCTCTATAAAGTGACAATAAAAGTTTTTAAATATCTTCACAAATTTTTATATTTCATCCCTATAATATTTTATGCCTAAAAAATAAGGAGTGCAAAAGTTTGGAACATTTTTGATTTCATTTTATTTTGATGTTAAAATCCAACCAAAAAATCTACAAAAATTTCATCGAACTTATATATTGATATTATAATAAAATAATAAAAAACCAGGCCCCTATCATCACTCCAGGCCGAGATCCTGAAACCCCGAAATCAACGTAAAATATGGGTAAATCTCTTTAAAAAATATTTTCGACTCCTTATGAGTCGGTTTGAATTTTTATTTTAAGCTTATCTGAAAGCCCTTGAAATTTGCTACAAGATAGGAATAATCGTATTTTTCAGAAAAATATCCATTCGGGATAAGCCCTAAATGAAAATTCATAACCATCAATAAGGAGTCGAAAATATTATTTGAATATGAAAAACCCCATTTTACGTTAATTTTCGGGGTAGCGAGATCTCGACAACGAAATGAGATATGGGCTTAGTTCTTTTTTATTTTCCCTTATTATCGATCATTATACCTGCTTGAATTTTTATAAATTTTTTTGTTTTGATTTTGGTATAAAAATACAGCAAAATCAAAAATGTTCCAAACTTTTGCTCCCCCTATTTTTAGGTATAAAATATTATAAGGGTAGAATATAAAAATTTGTGAAACAAATTAGAAACATCTAGTGTGATTTTATAGAGGACACTTATAGTTAATTTAAAAAATTTTAATCCAGCCCATTCACTGAAAATTGAAAGAAAAATTATCGATTTAGCAATTTAAAGCAAAATGTTCCAAACTTTTGCACCTTACTGTATTTTAGAGCTGAAACTAGAGGCCGGTGCGAACGGGATCCCGCGCGGGATTTTTCGGGATTGCGGCTCCCGCATTTTTTCGATTTGCGGGAGTGCGGGATTATTCCCGCGAGATCCCGTCCAGCATATGTTTTTAAAAGTTACTCCCGCATGCGAGAACCCGCAAAACGATTTTTTCGACCTCTAGTTGAAACCCCCCATCACCTTACCATCTTCTTCTTCCCATTCAGTCGTCGTACTTTGAATACCACCATCAACAGAACTTGAAGATTCTGTTGTTAAAACAGGCTCGGTACTGTTGTTGTTGTTTACATTGTAGTTCACAACCGTGTTGACTTGGGAGGATGAAAGGCTTTAAAAACAAAGAAAAACTCTATGCCAAAACAAAATCTAAACTTACAGAAACAAATGAAACAATAACGGGACATACACTCCAGCAAAAGCGAACATAATTCTTGAAGAATACGAAAAAGGTTTTGGTCACAATTGAGAGGGGGGAGAACGAGTGAGATAAAATTGGGCTTTTATAGTAACCAAAGTACATTTATACGACTGTTTCAGTGCGAAAATTTGAGTGTTCAACAAAAATGGACTGTTTGGTGCCAAAAATTTTGCGGTGAAAAATTAGAAAGTAAAAAACCGATAACAAGCGCCTTAAAATTTTTTGTAGATTACCCGTTCGAATAATTAAAGGATCCGACGTCTTACTATAAAAATCAATCAAATTAATTTTAAAAAGATTTAACAGAAGTTGAGTAGAATTTAACGGATTATTTGTGTTTAATTCAATTAAATTACTAATTCTAGTCCACTGTCATATTAAAAAAATATTTTTACCGATTGAAAGATATTTTTAATTTTTTAGAGAAAAATAAAACAAAAAGACAGAAAAAATAAAAAGTTTTCAAGTGGTGGACTCGAACCCTACCCCTAATTTCGAATACCCCACCCGTTAGCCTGCGCCCTAATCCACTCGGCCAAACACATATGCTACGACCTTCCTATTTTCTCCTAGTTATTCAACTTGAAACAAACTTGAAATTTGCTTCTACATTTTCTCTTCACCGTTCAAGTTATTGACCTTGTATTATTGCTGCTTTTAATTTAAAAAAATGTCCGTTTTCTTCTTTAACAAGTTTTTCTAGTTTAAAAAAAGAGCAGTTTGAAAAATGAGAGATTTTCTTACCAAAAGAAGACGACCGAAATTTTTATTTGAAAGAAAAACCACCAAAAAATTAACCATTTGAGAGAACGAAATGAATTGAAGCACAAGGTGATGATCAATTTTGAAGAAGAAAAAAAATTGTAAAGAGCTCCTAAAGGCACATATAGAAACAATTAAGGAGTGCAATGAGAGAGGAGAACGAAGAAAAAAAATTTTTTTAACGGGCGACTCTTCACAAAACAACTGAAAAATGTCTTCTTCTTCTTCTTAATTTTTGCTTCTATTTAATTTACACACACATACAAAATTGTGTAAAATACCACTAAAATACTAATAGTCACTTTTATAATTTATATATCTGCGCAGCCTTTAACAGGTAAAAATGCAAAAGAAAAATTTTTATTTTTCTTTTAACACACAATAAAAATTTTGAAATTTATTTTCAAACTTTACTTCTTAAACAGTTTAAAATAATTACCCCTAAAATTTATATTCTAATAAATAACCCACCCATGTCATTTAAAAATATGTAGGGATAAGCAGGGGTGGTGGGATCTCTACAGTCATTTGCCTACTTGCCCCTTCTTCTTAGCCCTTCCGCTTCCACCTTCCTCCCGTCTTCTGCTTTTAAAAATGCCGGAAGAAAAAATGCCCTGCTAGCAGAGAGGACTGTTCCAGGACCCAATTCCGGTTTCTGAATTTTTTTAAAAATTCCTGGACTGAAGGAAAAGAAGAAAGCTCATTACTCCCTTGCCTTCCTACTCCCTCTATATGTACAAGAAAATTCTAATTTCAACCCAAAATTTTATTTAAATTTTAGAATAACTCCAAAAAACCCCTTCCGCAAACCCCTTCCAAAAAAATTATGCAAATATCTATTTTAATATTAGTTTATTTTTAATCCAAAAAAGACACAAGTCAATCTATACTGCAACACGTAATAATAATAATATTATTATTAAATTCTCCCCTTCCAAAACACTAATCATAAACACATATAATCTTGTTTATGGAAAGACTGGTTTAAATAAATATATCCCCAATTTTAAATATAAACTGACTCTCTTTCAGTCAATTAAATAAAAATAAAAATTTATTTTGGACATATTTCCGTCGTTCCCATTTTTAAAAACCCCCCAACAACACAAATAAATATTTTCTATCTGATTTACCTCTATCTGATCACTCCACCCACCCCTCCACCCACCCCCGATTAAATTCATTTTTCCGTCCCAAAATCAAAACAAAATATTAGAAAAGCTATTTATTTATTTTCCATTCTAGCAGCAATTTATTTATTTTAAATTAACACAAAATAAATTTTTTTCTAACCAATTAATTTTCCCTTTTTTAAGCGATTAAATTTGCTTAATATAATTAATTTCCCCTATATTCCCCCTATAATAGGAAATTCTGATTTTATTAATTTTAAATTGTATTTCACTATCTATCGATCAAAAATACAAATTCTGATTCCGAAAAATACAAATAAAACACAAGTAATAAAAATAATTCTGATTTAAAAAATACAAAAATTCTGACAGAAAATACAAATTAATACACTATAAGTTCTGGTTTTAAAATAAGAATAAAATTCTGATTTCAAGAAAAATACAAAAACACAAGCAATAAAAATAGTTCTGATTTACACAAATTCTGAAGTAAAATACAAATAACTAACAAAATAAAAATAATTCTGATTTCAGAAAAATACAAAAACACAAGAAATTCTGATTTCACAAAAATACAATTAAAACACAAGAAATTCTGGTCTCAAAAAAATTCTGATTTATAAAGAATATTAGTTCTGATTTCGAAAAATACAAGCTAAAACACTTGCAATAAAAATTATTCTGATTTTAAAAACACACACTAACAATAAACATTCGCAATCAATTTTACACTACCCCCAAAAAATTTAAAAAATTATTAATAATTTAACGGAAATGATTCCAATCATTTTAAGAAAGAAAACAAAAATAATATATTTTCTGACCTTGACATACAAAATTAATAAGAAAATACAAAAATAATATGTTTGTAAGATTTTGTGTACTTGTAACGGTCAGTTAAAGGTACAAATAAATTTTGCTGTTGTTTTGGGCGGTAAAAAGCAAAGAATAAAAATACAAAAAAAATTTTTTTGTATTTTTAAATATATCGCTACTTGTAATCTCTTTAAAAATAAAAAGAATCCCATCTTTTATTTAAATCTGAAACTCATTTTATTTTTAAAAATATTTTAAAAATAAAAATAAAATTTTTAGCATGTCTACAAATAATAATAATCTTTGTGTAGACCCTTCAAGATTAACTCTAGCTATTTTTGGGGCAATTTTTGGGACTCTTTTGTTGTGTACTGGGTTTGCGTTAGCTTTATGGTATTTGGTCAGAAATCATCAATTTGGTAAGGGTATATAATTAAAATCAGAATTTTAGTTAAAATAAAGAAACACAAAATTCTGGTTAAAAAATACAATTTATTAAAATTCTGATTTTGAAAACAACGCATTAAAATTAAAATTCTGGAAAAAATTCTGTTTTAGAAATACATCAAAAATACAAAATTCTGGTTAAAAATATAATTTGTTAGAATTCTGATTTTAAAAACACACGCATTAAAATAAAAATTCTGAAAAAAATTTCTGATTTAAAAATACACTAAAAATACAAAATTCTGATTTTATAAGAAATAAATTCTGGTCTCTAAAACACAAAAATATTTCAAAAATACATAAAAATTCTGATTTAAATTAAACACAAAAATACTTTAGCAGATAAACTACTCTTTCCGGAAGCAGCCGGAAAATACAATAATAGACGGAAGAAACAACAACAAAAAACAGAAAATGAAGCAGAAGCAGCCCAAGAAAACAATACTATTGAAGAAATTACTTCAACAACCCAGAAAGAATTTAAAAATGAAATAGTGCTGGAAATGAATGAAATAAACAAAACAACAAAAATAGTTGAAATAAAATCACCTCAAGCTCAGCAACAACCATTGTCCCCAAGAGAAGAAGAAATTTATGGGACAGCAGAAGACTATCAAATAAAAAGACCCCCAAAAATTAAGGAAAAAAATTTTGAAAAAATAAATGAAGAAAATAATAGAAAAATGGAAGAGGAAGAAGAGAAAATAAGGGAGGAAGAAGAAAAGAAGAAAGTAGAGGATGAAGTGGATAAGACGAAAAAGACTGAAATTAGTAATGGGAAGAAATTTATGAGTGAGGTGAGAAACTATAATAATTCTGAAATACAAATTCTGATTTGAAAAATACAAAAAAAATACAAAAGCATTATTAACTGAAAAAATACAAATTCTGATATATAAAAATACAACCAAAATTGGTACAAAATAAAAATTCTGAAATACAAACAAAAATACAAATTCTGGTTTTCTAAAAATACAACCAATAATTCTGACAAAAGAAAATACAAATTCTGATTTACAACAATAGGAATTCTGATTTATAAAAGCCTTATTAATTTGAAAAAATACAAATTCTGATTTTTAAAATAAAGAAAAAATACAAATTCTGATTTTTTAAAATAAAGATTGCCGCCGCTGCTGTAATTTCTACCATAAACGGAAATTCTAAGAAAAATGAGGCTATTAATGAAATAAAACAACAGCAAGCAACAACAATTATTGGATCACCAAAAAATGGCAAATTATTAAAAGAAGAGAAATTAGAAAAAATAAAAGAAGATGAAGAAGAATATTTAAAAAATAATTTATTAAATAAAGAAAAAATAAATGGATGGACAGAAAATAATAAAAAAGAGGAAGAAAATGAGGAAAATATTCAACAAGAAGAAGAACTTGTACCTGAACATTTACGTTCAATGCTATCAGAAGAACAATTTGGAATGTTAGAAGCAAATAAACGCAGATTAGAACAAGAACGGAGACAATTAAGGGAATTGGGTGTTATTTTTTAAAAACACAAAATTTTTTAAAATTTGAATATTAGAGTAAGAATTATTATTAATAATTCTGATTTTTGTATTTTATTTGATATTAATTTTTATTTGTATTTTTCCGGAAAATTCTGATTTTATTGTTTGTGTTTTTCCGGAAACTCTATTTTATATATTTGTATTTTCCGGAAAATTCTGATATTATCTGTTTGTGTTTTCTGACTATATGTATACAATTCTGATTTATTTTAACAAATTCTGATTAAATATTCTGATTTTATTTTTTTTGTGTTTTACTGATTTTTGTGTTTATTGTTTGTGTTTTTCCGTTGCATTTATCAGAATTATAAGTATGTATAGTGTTTCTGAAACAATTCTGATTTTTGTATTTTATTTGTATTTTTCCGGAAAATCTGATTTCTGTGTTTTTTTATTTTTTTCTGATTATCAGAAATGTATTTTTGTTTTTAATTTATTCTAATTTTGTATTTTCTGATTTTGTATTTTCTGATTTTGTATTTTCTAATTTTGTATTTTCTGATTTTGTATTTTCTGATTTTGTATTTTCTGATTTTTACTTAATAGGAGATAAAATGTTTCAGAAATTAAATTTAATTGTTAACTATAATGTATTTTTATTATAATTTATATTTTTGAATATTTACATTTTTTTGGATAAATTATTAAAAAATTTATTAAAAAATTTAATTTTTTTTACAAATTTTCTCCACGTATACCAATTACTCCACATCCAAAACGAGGACCAGCATTTCCAGTTTTTAAACTTTCATCATTCCCTCCACGCCCAAGATCATCAACCTTTTCATGCACTAAAAGTCCCCTTCCAATAATATTGTTTACACCCTTAAATGTCATATAACGATCTCTGATGCGTATTATGGCTGTTCCGTTTTCCTTTAAAGAGAAAAGAATTTTTGGATTTTTTAAAATTTTTAAACAAAAAATGTTTGTTTTGTAAAATTTTAAAAATTTGATATTTTAAAATTAAACTCACATCAGCCTGAATATTGCCCAAATCACCAACTGAAAATAATTTTAATATTTTAACGATTACCACCAGTTTGTCAGTTCCTGGAAATTCCTCGGATACCCGAAACCAAACCGAAAAACCCTAGGTTCTTCTTAATGTTTACTAGAGTTGGGAATTTTCAAATTGTCGGACCGGTATCTAAGCCTCTCTTTCAGAGACCTGCCTTTTTTAAAGTTAAAACCATAAAAGCACGGAAACACCGAAAAATCTGATTCTACCAAAACACCCAATTTCCGAGATAGGAAGACCTTCCTTATCCAAGCCCCTATGTTGACCTCCAAAAATGATTACCATGTCTTTCCAAGTCCTGAGGCGCTCCATGATGTCTTTTATGAGGATTAAAGTGCAATCCTGCACCTGTACAGAGTTGGCTTAAATCACCAAATTGGTGGACATGGAAGCCGTGTAGACCTGGAGGGAGACCTTTAAGGGTTCCATTTATCTATAAAAAATTAAAAAAATTTTTTCAACACTAAAATCATCAAAAAAATAAACTCACAGCCATCAATCCTTTCCCAAGATCACAAAAATCGACAACTCCCAAGGGTTGAAGGGCAGTTAATTCGGGAGACTGAACAGCTTTAAAGAGATAAGCACGGGCTTTGGTAACTAAATTTGTGAAAAATATTTTTTTATTAAAAATAATATTCACACCTTTAGGTTCCCCACCAGCATTATGTACAATGCATAAAAGTGTAAAAATAAATATAGGGAAGGATTGTAGTGAATTTAGCATTTTTATAATGTTTAAATTTAATAAAGCTTTAAAAAAAATCTAAAAAAATTTTTCTAATTAAAACCATTGCCTAGAAGTCGGTAAAATCGCATTCCCAGGATCCAGGTTTTTTCAAAAATTTTTGCGGGACAGTATCCCGAAAACCCCGTACGAAATCCTGTCTCGTGCCGACCTCTACTATTAACCCATTTAAAAATTATTATAACACCATCACCTCCCAAAAATTAAATGGACCTAAAAAAAGGCCCTTTTGAATAGCCTTTTATGCCCAAAAATAAAAATAGTAAAAAAAATTCTCTTCAAAATTCTTCACAAAACACAAGTCACTTACCTATTTTTATACATAAATATTTTTTAAATTTATGAAATTTGATTATACTAAACACTAAAAGTAAATTAAAAAATTTTTAAAAAAATTAAAATTAAAAAAAATTAAAATTAAAAAAATAAGAAAAAACAAGCTTAAAATAAATAAAAAGTCAATTATAAACCCTAAAAATATTTTTAAAAAATATTTTTGCCTAAAAATAAATAATAATTTTAATAGAAAAATAAAAATATTTAGTAAATAATACTACCAAAAATATGATACATTTTAGTAAACAAAAAATTATTATTTGAAAAATAATACTCAAATTAAAAATAAATAAAAACAAGTTTTTTTTTTGAATTTTTTTAATAAAAAATTTTTTAACAAAAAAAAATAAAAATATGAGTATGAAAAATAAGAGTTAAAAAATCAATTATAAAATTGATTTAAAATCGGAAAAAAATCAGAAAAAAAATCTTAAGGTTTGGGTTAAAAACTTTAAAAAATAGGGAAACAGGCTGGGAATATTTCTAAAAAATTTTAATAAATCAAAAAATATTCTTAGAAAAATAAAATAAACATTAAAAAAAATATTCAACCTTCGACCATAAATAAATTAAAAGAAACAATTTTGTGGAACACACACACTCGCGCATGCGTGACTTTTAATTTATTGATATGTGGGAAAAACACTACCCACAAGTTTCTTTTAATAATTATTCTGGTTATGGGTAAATAAAGGTAAATAGAAAATAAAATACAAAATAAAAATCAGAAGAACAAATAAACACAACAATAACAGAAATACAGAGAAAAATAAAACACAGAAAACACAAAAATAAAATCAGAAATACTCAAAAAAATAATAAAATCAGAATATAAAACACAAAATCAGAATTACTCAGAAAACACAAAAATCAGAATTACTCAGAAAACACAAAAATCAGAATTACTCAGAAAAAAAATAAAACACAGAAAACACAAAAATAAAATCAGAATTAATCAGTAAAAATAAAATCAGAATTACTCGAAAAAAATAAAACACAGAAAACACAAAAATAAAATCAGAATTAATCAGTAAAAATAAAATCAGAATTACTCGAAAAAAATAAAACACAGAAAACACAAAAATAAAATCAGAATTAATCAGCAAAAATAAGATCAGAATTACTTTAAAAAAAGTAAGACACAGAAAACACAAAAATAAAATCAGAATTACTCAGTAAAAATAAAACACAGAAAACACAAAAATAAAATCAGAATTAATCAGCAAAAATAAGATCAGAATTACTTTAAAAAAAGTAAGACACAGAAAACACAAAAATAAAATCAGAATTACTCAGTAAAAATAAAATACAGAAAACACAAAAATAAAATCAGAATTACTCAGTAAAAATAAAACACAGAAAACACAAAAATAAAATCAGAAAAACCGCTTTTTCTCTCACCTGCGGGGTAGCTTAATCATCGCCTTCTCTGGCGGAATTTCATTTCTCTAACCCAGGGCCTATGGGATGGATCGTCATTCGTTCAGCGTTCGCTGAACCATCCGGTGCTACCAGTAAAGCAGCTGGGCTATAGCTATTTCTCTCCTTTAGCTAGTGCAAAAGGTTATTCGGCGGCTGGGAGCGAACCAGCATCTTCAGTAGACCGGACTGATGTGTTAGCCATTACACCACGCCGCCTACTGCTCAGCCTTAGGAAATTAATAGCTATATGCTTTACAATAAAATCAGAATATACAAATCAGAATCATTTAAAAATACTAACGTGTTAAAAATCAGAATTTTATTAAATTTTTATCCAAGTCGAAAATACAATAAAAATACATATACATCAGAATTTATGTATTTTAGTATATTTAATAAAAATAAAACAGAAAAACAAAGCAGAGAAGTTTGCGAAAAACAGAAATAATGTAAAATTAAAAATAAAAATGTTTCAGGGGGAATGTTAAATACATAGATGATTTTTAAGTTTATAAACTGGCCATTTTTAAAGGAAATAAATTTCAAATTTAGAAAAAATTATTAAAAAAAATTTTTTTAATTTTTAACCTTCTCAAAAAAATTTTTTTTATTTTAAAATTTAAATATTATTTTTATTTGACAAATTAAAAATCGTGGCTTGTCATAGAAAAAAATTTTTTTAAAGAAAAGAATTTCAAAGTTTGAGAAAGCATTTAAAATATAAAATGAATATTAGTAAGAAGAATGATTTACGTACAAATAAAAGTTTTTTTTTTCAAAGAAGCGAACATATTTTCTAATTTAAATAACAAACATTAAAAATGTTTCGGAAATTGATAAAAAAAAGTTTCGGAAATTGATAAAAAAAATTTAACAAAAAATTTTTTTCTTCTAAAAAATAATTTGATGAATAGCGGAAACAAAATTTCAATCGAAAAAAATTAAATAATAAAGCGATAAATTTGGATTTGATAATTTAAAAATAGATAAAAGAAGCTTTTTTAACATGTGATTTAATAATAAAATAAAATAAATTTTTGGAGATCCAGATAATGGGAATATAAAATAAAACCATGAGAAAATTTGCGCAAAAAAAATTAAATAGAGGTGAGAGAAAGGGATGATTGATATAATAAGCAAAATTAATATAAAAAATAACATTTAAAAATTTTTGAAAAAAATATTATTTTAAAAGGAGGTAAAAAATTATTAGAAAAAATGGCAAGTAAAATCTGAAAAAAATTCTATATTTTTTAAAGGTTTAAAGAGATATGGTAGAATATATGTATTAATTAAAAAATATTTATAATTTTAATTATTTCAAAAGCAAAAAAACAATTTTTTAATTAGCTTAGCTTGGGTAGTAAAATTTTTTGAAATTCAAGAAATATTCAAAAATTCTAAAACAAACAGTTTAATTTTTAATTTCCCCCTACAAAAATAACCAAGTCATTAAATAAAAATTATCTGCTTTTTTAAAGTACATAAAAAAATAGTGTCGGCAAGTCGGATAAAATAACAAAAAAATGACATAAGTTGACCGATATTTGATTTATTAAATTTTTTCTGAATAAATAGTAGCAAAATTCTTAAAAATTTTCAAAAAAAAAATTTTTTTAATGGTCAAACAAATTTCAGTCAACCCTTTTAAATAATTAGAGCCCGGCCAAAAGTGGCTTCGGTTAAATTCAAAAATACGAAAAAAGAATCGAGCAGGGCCTTAATTTTAACAAAGCCTAATCTATACATTAAAAAATCACATAATCATGATTTTTTCAAATAAGTTAAATTTATTTTTTCATTCAAATGAGTTTAAAATATTTAAAATATACAACCTATATTTAAGTTAATATATTGTCACAAAATTGTACAGAAAAATAAATAAACAAACATTTTTTAAAAAATGAGGCAAAATAAAATTTTTTGGGAATAGAGACACCGGACATTGGGAAAGTCATAAAAGAATGAAGATCTCGAATAGTGTTAGGCATTTGCGATTTTTCGAGATCGAGATTATCGAAAAATCTCGATATCGAAAAATCTCGATTTTTTCAAAAATTGATCGAGACGAGATCGAGATCGATAATCTCGAAAAAAATCTCGCGATATCTCGAAAAATATCGTCGATATATCGTCTCGTGACTAACACTAATCTCGAAGAATATCAATTCTCAAAAAATTTGAACTCAATAATCAAGATTTTTTTCGAGATCTCGTCTTGGTCCGGAGTCTAATTTTTTAAGTATAAATTTTTAAAGAATACAATTTAAAAAAAAGCACCAAAAAAACCGGAGATAAAATTCTCAATTTAAATTAAAAAAAAATTTTTTTAAAAAGCACCTACGTATATTCATCTAATAGAGAAGAAAGGACCTTTCTTATGGAGGTGTCATTGTAGATATATGGCCTGTAAGTACACAAATATCCTCTTCTTCTTCTTCTTCCTCTTCTCCATCTTCCTCCTCATTAATATCATCAACAGCCTCATCTTCAACATTAACATCTTTTACATTTTGTGAGGATAATAAAGAAGAAATTTTGAGGTTTGTACAGCGACGTCTTTTAATCATTTTTAAAACAATAAGACTATCTTTACCAATTAAATGATAATCTTTTGATGGGTCATTTAATTCTTGTGTTATTGTTCCACGGAAGAAAGATTTTCCCTTAAAATTGATAGAAAAAATTTTTTTTTTAATTTTTTAAATTTTTTTAGAATTTTCAAACGATTTTTAAATTCGAAAAAATTTTCGCAAATTTCCAGAAACTTTTTTAAAAAATTTTGAAAAAAATTCCCCTCCACGAAAGAAAGATTTTCCCTTAAAATTGATCCAAAAATTCCTTTTTAGTTAAAAAAAAATATTTTAAGAATTTTTAAGCTATTTTCAGATTCCTAAAAAAATTTCAAAAATTTCCAGAAAAATTTAAAAAAAAATTTTTATAAAAATCCCGCCTCCCTCATACTTGTATTCCATGTTTATGAAAACCTAAAACAGAATCAGACAGAGGAATTGCATATTCTAAACGAGAATCAAAAATAAAATGTGTTTGCATTAAATCAGTTTTCTTTTGATTGCCATTCAAGTCAGTAATGAGAATCTGAATTTATAAATTAATTTTTAAAAAATATTTTTGATTGAATTTTTATTATAAATTTAATAAAGACTCCTTAGGAAAAATTTTTTTAAAAAGCTTAATCCTTAGGAAAAAATTTTTCCAAA